GAGAAGTGCGGGGTTAGTTTCCAGGGTGCTGGGTGATGCCAAAGACGACTTCCAGAGGCAGCTCAAGGGCCAGGTCCAAGGCTGAGACGAGGCTCTCAGCCAGAGGCGGGCAAGTGGGGCACCTGGGAGACGGAGGAGATTTCCAAAGCCCCGTGAGCGATTATTTCAACAACTATTTCTCACTGTGCCAGGGACTCAGGAGAGAGCAGTGAATGAAACAAAGTCTCCCACCTTCGTGGGGCTTACGAGACGGTGCCGGGGAAAGGGACGACACACACACACAACCGTGCAGTATGTCACGGAGCAACGCTATGGGGGAAAATTAAGCAAGGGAAGGGGTAGGGAATGTGGGGGCAGGGGAGACCACAACTTGTAATAGTGGTCAGCGGAGGCCTCACTGGTACGGCGACATTTTAGCAAAGACCTGAAGAAGGAGGGGGGCAGCCACGCAAAGATCTGGGGAAGTATGTTCCTCAGCAGAGGGCACCGTAGGTGCAAAGGTCCTGGGGCGGAAGCGAGCCCGACACAGTCACACTCTGGGAACGGCAAGGACGCCGGGGTGGCGAGGACGGGAAGGAGGAAGGGCAGCATCGCAGGAGGTGAGGTCAGACTGAGGGCTTCGCTGGTCCTTGGAATCAATGTGGCTTTTACTGAGTGAGATAGGAAGCTACCGGAAGATTCTGAGCAAAGGGGCTAGCTAGCTTAACCTTTCCCAGGGTCACTCTGGCTGCTGGGCCGAGAAGAGGCGAGGTCAGAGGGGGCAAGGGCAGAAGCAGGGGGACCAGCAGGGCCTGCAGCAGCCGTCCTGCGGAGAGACGAGGGTGACTGAGTCCAGGGTGGTGATGGCAGGGGCGGTGAAAGGTGGTTGAGATGTGGATGACTTCCTGTTGGACTCGATGTAGCATTTGAGGGAAACGAAAGGGTCACAATGACTTGGTGCTGGGCACCTGGAAGAAGGGAGTTCCCATCGACGGAGGTGGGAGGCCAGGCATGGGGGGCGTCTCACCAGACTCCTCCTGACACGCGCTGGCCCCAGGTGGCTTCCTGCATCTCCGCAGCAGACTGTAAGCACCCCGAGGGCAGGGCCTGCGTCTGAGGTATGGGGGCCTCCAGCCCCCCACTAGGGCCCAGACAGCGCACAAGCTCCGCAAGTGTTCCTACAGGGCGCAGGACTGGAGACGTTCAGATGCCGACACAAACACAGGTGCCAATGTCCCCCCCTCCACGGCCACAGCAGCATGCTAACAGGACTCAGAAAAACAAAACAAAACAAAAACAGGAGTCGATTTGTTCCAGAAAGCACGGAAACCAACGTGTTTTTGTTTCCTCACCTGCACATTGTTGGCCGGCCCGCGCTTCCGCGCGCTCCCGCCGCTGCTGCAAGGCCCACTCCCTGTTCTGCTCCTGCTGGAACCGCCTCCTCTCCCGGAAGTTCAGGTCCTCTCCCAGGAACCTCTGCATTCCCGAAATCGTGTTCTGCAGGTCGCTATCTGACTGCCGGGCCGGCAGGTCCTTCCTGAGGGCTCGGGGGTCGGAGAGGTCAAATTCTCGGCGAGTTTCTGGCGTCTGAAAGCTCTGCTGGAAGTCGTTGATGGCTTTGCAGAGGTTTTTCCTGTCTCTCCTTTGCCGGTCTTCTAGCAGGCATGCGATTTTGTCGTTGCGCCTCATTTCAGCAGCTGGAAGGGACAGAGGTTATTCCCGAACTTAAGATGCAGAGGGAAAAATCAATTTGATTTCACTTGAAGAAAATTATTTTCAGGGATTCTAAAAGTAATACAGCCCTCCAAAAAGGTAACGTAACCATTAAAAGATTAGAATTCTGATTGTACCAAGCACACCTATAAGTCAATGAAGAAAACAAATAATCCCACCAAAAAATGGGCAAAGGATGGATGGGAACAGGCAAACAGAGAAATCTGAATAACTGATATACTTGAGAGAAGATGAGCAACCTTCCCAGATGGTTAGAAACATCCCATAGGTTGGCAAGACATTAAAGATGCTAATGATAGCACGTACTCAGATGTGGGGACACGAGATTCCTCACGCCCTGCTTGTGGGAGTGTAACTGGTACACTCACAGCGTTGGGAAGCAATCTTCCAATATCCCGCGAAACTGAAAGCACGCACATCCTCCGACCTAACAATGTGACTTCTGCGCATCCCTCCCTCATGAACACTGGGACATAGTGCAGGGTAGTCATTACAGCACTGTTTGCGATTATTAAAAAAAATGGAAAATCTAAACGAGCCACCCATGGAGGAATGGATAATCAACTATATTTAGTTCATATACCAAAATATCAGAAAATAATTAAAATGAATATTCTATGTGCATACCATTGATTAAATTTGAATATACAACAGGGAATTTTTTTTAAAACTTACAAAGAATCAATTCACTATTATACCATGTATGTAAAATTTCAAAACACACCACAAAACTGCATGAGATGGTCATGGATACACACGTCCATGGTGCGAGCACAGAAACAGGCGTGGGAAGGGTGCACCTCTCGGAAGAGGGAGGAAGAGGGAAATGATGAGGCGAGAAATATGGACATATTTTCAGAAAGCATTCTTAAAATGTATCTAAAGCCAATCTGGCAAATGTTAACTTCTGATCTAGTGGTGGGTAGGTATATATCTCATATCATTTTTGTAAGTTTTACTTATTTTAAACTAAAAATTAAAAGGGTAAAACATTTAGAAAACACAGAACAGTATAAAGAAGAAAACAAACATCACCCATAGTTTCATCACGACGGCATTACCACCGCTAACGATGGGCCATATTTCCTTTCCTTTCCTAAGCGCATCTTTCCTATGTTTTAAAATCTAATTAATAGCCCACTGTGTATAAAATTTTGTTCCGCCCCTGGCTGGCATAGCTCAGTGGATTGATCGTGGGCTGCGAACTAAAGTGTCGTAGGTTCGATTCCCAATCAGGGCACATGCCTGGGTTGCAGGCCACGGCCCCCAGCAACCGCACGTTCATGTTTCTCTCTCTCTCTCTCTTCCCTCTCTAAAAATAAATAAATAAAACCTTTCAAAAATTTGTTCCCTGCTTTTCTCTATTATTTCTAGACAGAAGAAAGTAACCACATTCATTATGTATGTATATGTGGGGGTCCCGTAAGAATGTGGGGCCCCTGCTTTTTTCCATTTTAAAAATCCTTCTAGTGCTTTAACAGAATAAGCTGAAATTGTTGCACATGCTGTGGGAAAATAAATTCTATACGAAAAATGTATCTGGAAAGAGCTGGAACACTATTATCTGAACTGCACCTAGTTCCGAGCCCGCTCCGGGGTGTGAGCGGGGAGTCCGAGTGTGTCGTCTGGTATAGAAGGCTGCCCCGATAGGAGGTCTTAAACTTTTGCGCAGAGAATGTGCGTGTTCAAGGTTTCTCATAACCAGGTTTTTTTTTCAAAGACATAACATTTATCATGAAAATGTATTTCTTAGAACTCACATAGAATAGCTGTTTTTCTTTTAACGAAGTAAGAATGAGCACATTAAGTTAACCGAGCACAAGGAATGGTGCAATTTTAAAAGGAGGAAGAGAGTAAAAATGGCAAGTTTGTACATATGTGAAGAAATCAGGGTGGAAGAAATAAAGGCACACGGCCCCAAACCGCTAGGACAGGCATTCAGGAAAATCTAATGTCACGGATGCACTCAGCTCACCAAATGTTTCATGTTTGGCTTTTTCAGTTGCTTCTTTTATCTTTTGGTCATGAACCTGAAGATCCCAGGCTTCTGCATCTCCCTGGAACAGAAAACAAGGGGAGAGGAGTCAGAGCCAGATAACTGTATTCCATTATTAACAGTCCTACTTATCTTTTTATCCTTGCCCCACTGTCAGTGTATTTTCTTAGGTTCACATCCGGTCTTTTCATAACTGAATGCCTTTGCTAATAGTTGGTTCCTCAACCTGTCCTCTTCACTGTCCTCAGAGCCTCCTTCCCCTTTACCTTAGTTACCCATCCTCACAACACTGCTTAGACATCACCACCTCTGGGAAGCCCTCTCTGATTTCCTCTTCTAGCCCCAGTCTGTGCTCCCCTCCTTCCCTGCATTTTAATGACTGCCTCCTCCAGTGGGCCATAAACCTTGAAAGTCAAGAATTGCCTTATCCCTCATCTCCTGGGCACCAGCTCGGGCCCCCACAAACTAGGAATTTTGTCAAATGAATGGATTGGAAGGAGCCGCTGGCAATGTAGAAAATCTGGCTCAGAGAGAGAACCCATTCTAGTCTCTCTTTGGCTACAGACTCCAGGCCAACTCCCTCCCTGCCGCAGGACTCCATTTGCCCGAGAGGGAGTATAATTCTTCCGTTAAGGCCTCTCTTACGTTCAGTAAAGTCAGTATATCCAGCTAGTCTCCCCTGTAAACGCCTGGTGCCGTCCGCAGCTGAGCCTAGATCAACAGTTTCATTCGAGGGGCCCATCTCCTCTTCTCTCCCGCACCCAGCTCTCGCTCCCCACCTGCCCCTCCACTTCCCCCCGGCCCCCCTTTCCCTGTTGGGCTGAGGGTCTCACCCCGATGATCCTGTTCCTGGCGTCGAAGACCCGTTTCTGCCTGCACAGCTCCGCATGCCTTCTCCTGGCCAAACCAAAGTCCTGTTGCAGGTCCTTGGGCTGCACTACCTCCATGGCTGGGAATCCTCAAGGAATTCCAAGAGGTTTTAAAACACACGAGATAAAGAGGAGACAAAACAATAAGACAAGAGGTAGCCGCGCGAGGTAGTCTCCCTAGGAGGTAGACGGGTCAGGGACCAGCAGGCTCCGGCTCCGCAGGCTTTCAGCGCAGCCCTGTCCCACCGCCGGAGCGAGAGGAGATCGGGTTTCCTCGGAGACGTAAACAGCCCGGTTGCCAAGGAACCGTGCGGCGCTCCTCGTGTGGCCCCCCCCTCCTCTCGCGAGACGTCGCGAGGCCCTTCCCGCGCTTTTCCCTCCTGCGTGTGAGGACGCCCCTGAGGCGCGCGGGGGGCACAGCCATGGGCCACCTGGAGCTGCTGCTCGTGGAGAACTTCAAGTCGTGGCGGGGCCGCCAGGTCATCGGCCCCTTCAAGAGGTTCACCTGCATCATCGGCCCCAACGGCTCCGGTAACTGGAACCCAGAGCGCCCCGGCGGCCCGGCCTCCTTTTGCCCGAGGGGACGTGAGGGCGGCCGCGGGGCCTGGACTCCGTCCCGCACCTGCCGCCGGGCCGGGGAGCGGACCCTGGCCTCCGCCCCGGGGTTCCGCCGGGCCCTGCCCTTCGACCCTGCCGCCTCTGCCGCCCTCCCTCCCCCCCCGAGACCGCGTGGGAGCGGGGCGGGAGGCAGCCGTGGCGCCTCGCGGGGGCCTGGCGCGAAGGACGCCGTTGGCCCGCCTCCCGGAGTGTCCTCGCCCTCGCCCATGGGTGCTGGCGCCACTTTGGCGCCATTTTGGCGCGGAGGTCGGGCCGACCCTCCAGGGGCCCCCGGGGAGCGGCGGACGGCACCCCGGGCCTTCCCGCGCGAGCTCAGGAGCCGCGTGGGAGCCGGCCGCTGGCCGCCACCTCGGCGAGGGGACAGGGACAGGCGGACGGCGGGGACCGGGCCGGCGGCTGCAGGGGGCGGCGGTGGGCGCCCTTACGGGGAGCCCTCGTTCCCTTGCTCCTCCCGCGCTTCCGGCCCGGCAGTGACTGTCACCTTCTGACGGGTGGCAGAGGGTGACAGGGTCGCCGGGGCGCGGGCCTGACCTCCGGGCCGCCTCGCCCTGCGCCCCGACCTTCCAGGGTCCGGGGAGAGGCGCGCCCTGCTCCGCGCGTTTCCCACCGGCTGCGAAACCGCCTCGTTCTGTTAGTTCGGAGACACGAGTGGCGCCCTGGGCACGTGTCGCCGCGAGGTTATTGCGACCACCGCGCCCCGGGTTCCTGCCCGGCCCCTTCCGAGTGCCACGTGCTGCCGCCAGCCCGCCACCGTGTGTGTCGCCCGCTTTCCCAGAGCGGCGGGCGCGGCCCCGCCCAGTCCGTGTTTGGGCGCCGCCGCCGGTGGCCTCGTGCGCGCGACGTCGCGGAGCCGATCCCCGAGATCTCTGTCCCTGGGCGCCGCCCGCCGCCCTCGCGGCTGTTCCTGCGGCCGCTTCACCTGGGGCTGGGGGCTGCGGGCTGGGGCTCCGGCTTTGCACGCTTTGCAGCTTCGTACTCGGTGTGGCCGCGTGCGAGCGACGGGTCCGCCGCCGCCGAGTTGGCGGGTCGCGCGCCCTGGAGTGTAGACGCGGCCATCTGCGTAGACACGTGCTTCGACCGCGTTTCACCTCCCCCAGCGTCCTGGTGGCTCCTCGGGCTCCCGGCGAGGCTCGTTTTTTGTTTATCATTGAGAACGAATAACCCTCCCCTCCCCTCTTCTCGTCCGCAGGGAAGTCCAACGTAATGGATGCACTTAGTTTCGTGATGGCAGAGAAAATAGCTAACTTGAGAGTGAAACACATTCAAGAGCTCATTCATGGCGCGCATGTCGGAAAGCCCGTGGCCCCTTCCGCGAGTGTGAAAATCGTGTACGTGGAGGACAGCGGAGAAGAGAAAACGTTCGCGAGGATTATCCGAGGTATGTGTGCCCCCGTCGATGTTGGCCCGGGAGTCAAATGCGGCGTTTCCAGAGTGGAGGCGGCTTGCCCGCGCCGCTGGCGCCTGGGCTGGCGCGTCTGCCTTTCCTCCGGGAGAGGAGAGCGGTTCCCGGAAGCCTGCGATAGACGCCCCCCAGCCCCGGACCCGCTGTGACGCTCCCCCGGGACCCTCCTTGAGGCAGACCCGGTGACCTGTCCGAACGCCTCCGTTGCCGAGCAGCGTCCTTCTGCCCGGTTGCTGGGTGAAGACGGAGCAGGGGGCGCACCCGAAAGACGGGGAAGTCGCGCGGTCCTCCCTGAGGGTCTTCGTGGGTGTTTGCGTGGTCCTGTTAGTGACGAACGGCTTGTGTGCGTATTTCTGGTTTGTATAGGTTTCTTCTGCCATCAAAAAGCAACTTCAGTGAAGCATTAGAATTTGCATTTTGGGATTTATTCCTGAAATCCCTGTTTTCTGAGTAGGCAACATTGGAGGTGTTTATGTATTTTTTTTTCCAATGTGCTAGGAGTTTACAGAGCCTCATAAAATAGGTGTTTCTTGGTTTTGTCGGGGTTTTTTTGTTGTTGCTATTTTCAATCTGGCCCACTGGAACATGGTTTTAATATTCTAATGTATAGATGCTGTTTCATTAATTTCCCCCAAATTCAGTCACAGCTAATTTTAGAAATACTTATATACTTGTGCCTCCATGTCTAGTTGAAGTATTTCACTCTACTACCTAGATGTCTTCACTGGTTTTCTCACTTTCTTTCAACTCTTACTCAAAAGTGTCCATCTCACTAAGGATTCCTCAGCCTACTGTATTTATTTAATAAACCATCATAATTTTTCTCTTTATTGTATAGTTGACAAAATTTGTACGTATTTAAGGTATTCAACTTAATGTTTTAGCATACATTGTGGAATAAGTGACATAATGAACCTAACTAACATACATATCATATGTATCACCTTATCCGGTTACCATTTGTGCGTGTGTGTGTGCATGTGCGTGAGCGTGCGTGGTGAGAACATCTACCCTCTTAGCAAGTCTGAGCTGTATAGTGCAGCAGTGTTAACCACGTCACGCCGCTCTGCCTCACCTCCAGAACGTTACGTCCCGCGGAACTGAAACTCTGCACCCCCGGACCCTCTCCCCACTTCCTCTCCCCCGGCCCCTGGCAGTCACCGTTGCACTAAGTGTTCTGCGGGTGTCGGCTGCGCTCAGTTCCACACACAAGCGAGGTCGCGCAGATCCGTCGTTCTGTGCCCGGCTCATCTCACTTGGCATAACATCCTCCAGCCTCACCCGTGACATTGCAAATGGCGGGACTTCTTTCCTTTTTAGGTTGAATGACGGTCCCATGTTTTCTTTACTTATTTATCCATTGGCAGACATTCAGATTATTCCTTAGCTATCATTAATGGTGCTTCAGTGAACGTGGGGAGTACAGATACCTCTTCAAGACAGTAACTGCGTTTCCTTTGAACGTGTGCTCATAAGGGATTGCTGGGTAGATCGCAAGGTGGTTCTGTTTTGAATCCTGAAGAGCCTTCATGCTTTCCATAATGCCTGTACCGATTTATGTTCCAACCAACAATGCACAGAGTTTCCCTTCTCTTCACATCCTCCCCAACACTTGTCTTTCGTCCTTCTGATTCTAACAGATGTGAGGTAATCACTCACTGTGGTTTTGATTTGCATTTCCCTGGCGTTTTCTAGTACTGAGCACCTTTTCATATACTTCTTGGCCATTTACATGTCATCTTTTGAGAAATGTCTATTCAGGTTATTTTCCCATATTATGTATTTGGTCTTTTGCTATTGAGTTGTATGAGTCCCTTATATATTTTGGATATTGACCCCTAGTCAGGTACGTGGTTCCATCATCATGACCTAATTACCTCCTAAAGGTCCCGCCTACTAATCCCATCACCTTGGGGGGTTAGGATTTCAGTATGAATTGGGGGGGACACATTCAGATCACCATCCTATTGAAAATTGCAATGCCTATTCCTGCTCCACAGAAACTTTCACATCCCCTTTCCCCATTCCGTTTTGCTTACTCCTTAACATTTTCTCACGTGATACTGATTTTACTTACATATGTTGTTTTTCATCTGTCTCCATTACTGGGACATAAGCTCCTTGAAATCAGACTTTTGTCTGTTTTGTTTATCGCTGTAGAACACTCCTTGGCATATAGTGTGTTTGTTGATTGACTACATGCATTTGTTAACATGCATATTATTGCATAACAGGCCATTTCAATAAGAAAAATAATTTTATAAAACTTCCAATAGTTGTTGAGGTATGTCTGATATTTATACTTTCTATGACAGTGTTTATTTTATTTTAGGGGGATGCTCGGAATTCCGTTTTGATGATAGTCCTGTGAGCCGTTCCGCTTATGTAGCAGAGCTGGAAAAGATAGGTATAATAGTCAAAGCCCGGAACTGTCTAGTTTTCCAGGTAAGTAGCTGTAAAGGTTATTTGGTTTATGATTTTGAAAAAGACCACTGTAACTTACATGTTGGTTGCTTTACTCTTTTTAAAAGGGAACTGTAGAGTCAATTTCTATGAAAAAACCCAGAGAAAGAACCCAGTTTTTTGAGGAAATCAGCTCTTCCAGAGAGCTTGTAGGAGAATACGAGGAAAAGAAAAGGAAGTTACAGAGAGCCGAAGAGGACGCCCAGTTTAATTTCAATAAGAAAAGAAACGTAGCTGCAGAGCGCAAGCAGGCCAAGTTGGAGAAGGAGGAGGTAGGTGTCGCGAAGACGTAACCAATCACCTGTTGGATACGAGAACTGTCAACATTGCTTGGTATTGGCTTGGGGTTACTGATAAGGTTCTGCTAATGATATAAGACAAATAAAGCCCCAAATTCATTAATGATAAATTTTTTGATATGTTTTTCACCGTTTGGGTTTTTTTCCCCCAAATAGATAGGACGACCTGAACTACAAAAATGATTCCTCTCCCAACTAAAAATAAGCCTGAAGGGTATATACCTTACATGGCAGAGGCACTCAAAATTCTGGTTCTTATCTCCTTATACTCTTAAAAACTACTGGGGACCACAAAACAGTTTTTGTTCATGTGGGTTATGTCTACCAATATTTATTGTATTTGAAATTAAAACTTGGAAATTTTTAAAATATATTTTAATGATCAGTGTAAAAATAACAATAATAAACTCATTGCATGTTAACATGAATAACATTTTTATGAAAAAACAATAATTCTAAATTACTCAGTTTTCTAAACTAAATAATTAAAAATATAACATTGTTTTACATTTTTGTAATCTTAATATCTAGCTTAATAAAAGACAGATGAATTCTCACATCTGGTTCTGTATTGAATGTTGTTTGTGTCAAGGCCCAGCCACACTTGCCTCACCATTGGCCCTTGCACCGTCATTGGAGATACCCACACAATGAAAAAAGCAAAGTCTTAGTATTATCATGAAAATAGTTCTCACCTCAGGGACTCCCTAATATAGGGTTGGGGTCCCCCCTAGGAGACCATGGCCGTACTTTACAAATGCCGTTCTGTGCTAATTTCTTGGTACCTTTCACATTGCCTAGTAGGGTGCTTTGTGTAATGGTTGATGAATTATTTGTGTTTAGAGTGATCTTTTTAAAATGCAAATCAGTTTCTGTCTTTCTCTTGTATAAAACCTCTTCCCGTGCAGTGCTTCCCACTGCGCTGAGAATCTGCTGTCCTGTCCGGCCTTCTGATTTGGCCCCTGTTCCCCCCTCAAGTCTTAACTTCCTCTGCTCCAATACCACACTGACCTTGACTGTTTACTGAGTACCCCACACTCCGTGCTAGCCTGGAGCTTTCGCTGTTTCCCCTGTCTAGATAGCTGTATTCCTGATCTTTACATGGCTAATGCTCTCATTCAACTTTTCATTAGAAAGCCATTTTCTTGGGCCAGGATTTGCCATCCGTGCCCTTAGTCTAAATTAGTACCTTCTCCTTACCCCTCCCTGGTACTACTGCATTATCCTATTTTGTTTCTTTTGTAGCATGTATTGCTATAGGAGATCTTGTTTATTTGTTCGCTTAATTACCCTCTAAGTTCTCTTCATTCCTCCCCACCCCACTAGAATGACTAGATTATGAGCATACAAGAATGGAGACTGTTTCTATCTTGTTCTTCACTGTATTCCCAAGAACGGGGCCTGGCACATAGTAGGCAGTCAAAAAATATTTGAAGAAATAAATGAGAGGTAGATGTGTTCCTGATTAGTGATTTTTTTTTGTTTTTTCCTGTTTGTACATGTGTGTATATGTCCTCAGCTTTGTCAGTGAAAGTCAGACTATAGCACTTATACTGAAACAGCTTATGGAAGTGAAGGATTGTAGAACTTTAAACATCGTAAGGACAATTAGAATAGTCCAACTCCCTAATTGTGTACAACATCCTGGCAGATGGCCGCTTGCCTGCTCCACGGAGTACTCCATTGATGAGGGGCCTTCCTCTCAAGGCAGCCCATCCTTTTGTCAGTAGTACAAATGCCGTTTCTTCACATGTGGTTTAGACTTGTAATAGTCCTATCAGTTCTCTTAGTAGAAAAATCACACCCTGTAGCAGGAATTGTCCCTGGAATCGTTGAATTTAAAGTTGCTAGGGGCCTTACAAGTCATATAACTGCCTTCAGTTTGCAAGTGCGGCTGATGTCAGAGATGGTGATGGACTTGCCACACTCCGAAGTGAGGGCTGAAAGGGGCCGAGGACACAGGTTAGTGGTATCACTCCATTGTTCTCACCCCACACCCCTGAGTGAGTGGAGCTAAAGATCACTCACTGTTTTACTGGTTGACCGTAAAAGTGTATCCAGAAACCTTCTCCAAATAATGCTACTTTTAGTGAGAAGACTGTCTCATAACATTCAGTAGAGATCATTTGTTAGCACTACAGTTGAGTTTATGAAGTCATTTTAAATGTACTTCCATCTAACTATTGTTGAATTGTACTGTTTTATAGGCAGAACGCTACCAGAGTCTCCTTGAAGAACTGAAAATAAACAAGATTCAACTGCAGCTTTTCAAACTATATCATAATGAGAAAAAAATTCTCTCTCTGAACAGCGAGTTAGAACATGCAAATACAAATCTAAGTGTCACGACAGAGTCTCTTTCTCGTCATGAAGCCATTGTGAAAGCCAAGAAAAGGGAACATGGAGGGCTAACTAGACAGCTACAACAGACAGAAAAAGAATTAAAGTGAGTTTCTAAAAATGGTTATTAACAGTTGGATTTTATGTAGATCAAGAGAGAAAGTAAAATTAAAAGTGACGTTTTGAAAGTTGATTTTTTAAAATAAACTTTTACTTTGGAATACTTTTCGATAACAGAAAAATTCTAGAGAACAGAGTTCCCATATTGCCCACACTCAGTTTCTCCCGCTTCCAACATCTTACATCATCAGTATGTTACATTTGTCAGTTAATGACCCAGTGTGGATACATTACTGCTAACTGAAGTCCATAGTTTATTTTTATTTTCTTAGTTTTTACCTATTGTCTTTTTTTAAATCCAGAACACTGTATTTCTTGTAGTCACCACAGCTCCATAGACTCCTCTTGCTGTGACAGTTTCTCAGGCTTTCCTTGCTTTTGATGGCCTTGACAGTTTCCAGGAGTGCTGGTCAGGTGATTTTATTGAATGTTCCTCCTGTGGGCTTTGTTAGTTTTCTCATAATTACACAGGGTTTGTGAATTTGGGGGAAGAAGATCACAGTGGTAGAAAAATGCCATTCTCATCCCACTAGATCAGAGATGTTAACATAGCACAGGTGTCATGTGACATCTCTCTATTGTAATGTTAGCCTGGCATCACTGTTGGTGTTGACCTATCCTTGCTTATCTACAACCTCCCACTCCAAGAGTAAGAAACCCGCCTTCCACAAAATGCCATTCATTTGCTTAATTGTTCAGTTCCAGTAATCACGTATGGCAGTATCAGAATTGTTGATCCATACCCTCCTAGGAAGCAGCTTTATCAACCAGCCTATGATGCTTGTGTACAATTCCTTTTCCTTGTAGTTTTACAGCCTCTGCTCACCTCTAAAGTTACCTGGGTTAGCACCTTTACCCCCTCAGGAAGGCGGCTTCACACATATGTAATACAGGCAGTGTTCTGTCACTTCCTGTGTTCCATCTAGGACGCCTTGGGCTCTATGTGTTTTTTTTTTAAATTTGCATACATAAAATATACTCTTGGTGCTGTAAAGTTCTGTAGGTTTTGATAAATGTGTGATGGTATATTCTGTCATTATAGTATCATACTGATTATTTTACCACTCTTTAAAAATTCCCCTGTGTTGCTCTGGTTGGTATGGCTCAATGCATTGAGTCCCTGGCCTGGGAACCAAAGGGTCACTGTTTGGATTCCCTGTCAGGGCACATGCCTGGGTTGTGGGCCAGGTCCCCAGTTGGGGGGGGTGCTAGAGGCAACCACACACTGATGTTTCTCTCCCTCTCTTCTTCCCTCCCTTCCCCTCTCTCTAAAAATAAATCAATAAAATCTTTTAAAAAATTCCCCTATGCCTCAACTATTCAATCCTCCCCCTCACTTCTGTCAACCACTGATGTGCTTATGGTCTCTGAAAGTCAGTTTTTGGAATTTATTTTTAAATGTATGATTTGATCAAAAGAACTACTTTATATATCATAAATTTAATTAAATTTAATTTAAGTTTAAGCAAACTTTATATTTATTTTTAGATCTCTTGAAGCACTTTTAAATCAGAAGAGGCCTCAGTACATTAAAGCCAAAGAAAACACTTCTCACCACCTCAAGAAATTAGAAGTGGCTAAAAAATCAATGAAGGACAGTGAAAAACAATGTTCTAAACAGGAAGATGACATAAAAGCCCTAGAGACAGAGCTGGTTGATTTAGATGTTGCATGGAAAAGCTTTGAAAAGCAGATTGAGGAAGAAGTCCTGCGGAAAGTGCGAGACATTGAATTAGAAGCCAGTCAGGTGAAAAAGTCAACATGAGGGGAACCTTTGTTTCTGTCGTTTCCAGCTTCTCCTTTTAGTTAGCAAAAATTGAAGAAAGGCCTCTCTTTATGATACTTTAAGAGAGTGTCCTCAGAATCTGCATTATGGGGATTTAAATTTTTTAACTTGCGTATGAAATCTAAACTTAATATTTAGGCTATTTTTTCTTTATAAGGTTAAACGGCATTAACACTTGAATTTATTCAAGTCAGGATTATACTTCAAGAAGATTACATGATATCTTGTACTAAAAGGAAATTATATTTTATTTTAAAAGTAATACCTTTTTTCTTTCCTGAATATTATAAAAATTTAAAAGCCAGATACGCATGGCTTTGAAAAGCCATATCACTTAATTGACAGAAGGGAAATTGATTGCTTAAGGTGATGTAAAATGTTAAGTGATGAGTTAATGTCTAATTCAGTATATAAGATTTAATTACAAGTCCATAGTTGATATACAAAAATTGGTAATTCACATTTTCTAGACAATCTAAATTGGTAATTTAGGTTTTCAACTAAATTTTTATCATCTCTTTCATTAACTTGATAATAATCTTATATTACAGTATGCACATTAAAATATTTGTGACTGTATAGATTTAAAAAATACATAATTTTCTCTGAGCTCCTCTTCCTTTGAACTAGTAGTTTTAATCTTTTTCTTTTAAGAATTTCATAGACCTTATAGAGTTGATTTTGAATACTTTATTGTATCTAAACAGTTTTAAGTACAACATTCATTTTTTGTTCGCATTATCTTATCTGGAGAAGATGGCCAATTCTGATCTAATTTACATAAAACACTTCAGATAAGGTTATCTGTTAGTAAGGTAAGCTGTTAGTAAAAAATATCATATAAAGAATTCCCCCTCATCCTGGCCAAGTTGCTCAGTCGGTCAGAGTGCTACCCTGTACACCGAAAGGTTGGGCACGTACCTAGGTCTCGGGTTTGACCCCTGGTCGGGGCGCGTGCAGGAGGCAACTGGTTGATGTTTCTCTGCCTGTCTCTCTCACTCTCTCACTCTCACTCTCTCTCCCCCTTCTCTAATATCAATAAACATATCCTCAGGTGAGGATTTTAAAAGGATTTGAGTTAGCCATTTTTAATTGCTCTTTATGCAGCTGAACCGTTATAAAGAACTCAAGGAACAAGTAAGAAAGAAGGTGGCCATAATGAACCAGCAGCGGGAGAAACTGCAGTGGGAGCAGAAGGCCGACACGGAGAGACTGGCGTTTGAAAGGCGGAGGCACGGAGAAGTTCAGGTACCTGGATGTGTGCCGTCATGATTTAGAATTGTTCTCGGTGAAATTTTACTACCTTTTTGTATTAGCTTTTCAGTATATAAGTGGATTTACATCAGGCATAAGTGATTAATGAAAAAGTTCTGGATTACCTCTTAATGCTGATTAGTATCATGTAGATACTCTTATGGTCTGCGATATGGATAGTGCCTTTGTTCGTGCAGTCAGTAGCATTTGCTGTGCATCTGTATAGTGATAGGCGTTAGCTGATGATACAGCCTCTGTTTTTACATGTATTGTAGGCCAGTGAGGCTAGGAGGAGGGTAGATGAAGGAAAAAACAATTAGGTATCATTATAGAGGTGAATGCAAAGTTATTTGGAAACAATATGGACATAGCCCAAGAGGAGTGTAATAGTCTACATGAGAATTAACCATCAAGATAGCATTATAGCCCTGGCTGGTGTGGCTCAGTGGATTCAGTGCCGGCCTGCAGACCGAAAGGTCACTGGTTCGGTCCCCAGTCAGGGAACATGCCCGAGTTTCAGGTCAGGTCCCCACTGGAGGCGTGCAGAGGCAACTGATGGATGTATCTCGCACATTGATGTTTCTCTCCCTCACTTTCTCCCTCCCTCCCACCCCTCTAGAAATAAATAAATTTTTGTTTTAAATGACAGCATTATAATGGTTTGCCTTAAAGTAAGACAGACCTGGCTTCCAGTCAGGCTTGTTCTTTACTGACCTATGTAATTGTGGTAAATAACTGAGTTATTTAACTTCTCTGAACTTTGATTTCTTCATTTCCACAGTGAGGGTAGGTGTGTCTACTCATAGTGATGGGCAGGTTGAATAAGAGGACAGTGCGTATGATATTACACCAAGCATCTGGTATTTCCCTCCAATGCCTCATGGTGTATTATAGGATAATCATATGCGTAGAAGAAAGTATAGTTTGTGGAGGAAAAAACCAAATGTAGTAACATAGCAGACATTCGTTGTAAAACACTTGTGTAATTTGTATTGTATTATAAAATTGTATACTGATTTCTGCAAATTCTCATTGCACAGTTTTGCTTTTGCACATGCTAATTTTGGAAAACCTTAATTATTTGTGCATGTTGAGCTCCATGGTTACCCACACTACAAAGCCTTACCTAGCTTGCCTGTTCTCCCCACTCCACCCCCCCAAAAAAAACACCTGAAAATAATTTCTTCTGAATATAGTCACTCATTATCCTTATCTATCTCTAGGGGATTTTATCGTATTGGAAGAAAGTGCAGTTAATTAGTACAGCTCTACTAGACTGGAAGCTTCTGAAAGGCAGGATTCATAGTAATGTCCATTGTAAACCTCGTACTTATAGGTACCAGTAAGTGTTGATTGGATTGCTGTTGTCTTCTGAATATGGAAACACTGATAGAAGAAGAGCTATATCCAGGTAGAGAGAGATGGAGAAATCTGTGCCCATGGTCAGTTTCCCACAGGACTGCTGACTCTGTTTCCGGACGGTGGCGGGGGCTATAACTGTCCACAGGTGCCAAGATGGCAGTGCTGGGCAATGGCTGGCTTTCCCAGACCATGAGCATACTCAGCTGGCGCCTCAAATGCCAAATGCCTGGTACCAAGGCGGTCTCATTTTTCCCCACTATGTGTGCAGTGGAGCGCCAGTCCCTGACACACCTCCCCGTGGGCTGATGCCCCTGGCCTTTCACGTTTCCTCCGGCAGAGCCTGTTCTTCAGCCTGAGCCGTGTCCAGAGTTCGTCCCAGGCTCTGTGCATAACAGGTGGCTGCCCCTCGGAGACCCACCTGGCGTGAGAAGCAGCGAGCACAGAGGAGCCCTGCTGGCCTCGCACGGGCCTCGGGGGAGGCGGAGGAGGGAAGGCAGGCTTTCCACCCGACTAAATGTTGTATGCTTTACTAACTGACCGTGGTTTTTCCCCCTTCGCATGGAATTCTTAAGAGAGATACTAAAATTTCAATATGAGGGCTCTAATTTCAAAAATGTGTGAGTTCCTAGAGAAAATTAACTGTGTCTTGCTCATCTGAAGAACTCTGCACCTAGCACAGACATTTGTTCAGTGAATTTGTGTGATGCGTGAGCACAGTGGGATAATTACCTGCGTGGAATAATGACACTTTAAAACTTCGGTATTTCAGTTCCTGCCAAGGTGGAGGTGTAGGTAGAAACGCTTTGCATTCTCACACAACTGAGAGAAGGATAACCACCAATTTAAAAGCAGTAAGCACCCAGAACTGCCAGAAAATCAAACTGCATGTAACTCTGACAACCAGGGAGTTCAGCATTCACCCAGACTGGTAGGATGGGCGAAGAGGACACGCGGCAAGGTGGCAGAGCACACATGGGCGAGGCGGGGCTGGCTGACCGGGAAACTTAAGACTTAAAACCTCTAGCTGTAAGATGCTGTGGGGGTTGTGGAGGTCGAACAAACTTCCAGACTCACCGGAGAGTTGGTTGGAAAGTGGGGCTAGGGCCCTGGTAAATACCTAAGGCTCTGCTTCTTTCAACATAAGGGGTGCCCTGAGACAAAGAAATAGGGCCCAAATGAAAGAACAGATCAAAATTCCAGAAAAAGCTAAGTGTTGAGGACACAGACAACCTATCTGATGCAGAGTCTGAAACACTGGTAATCAGGATGCTCACAGAATTGATTGAGCTCGGTTGCAAAATGAAGGCTGTACAAAGTGAAATAAAGGAAAATGTATAGGGAACCAACAGTGAAGGAAAGGAAATTAGGACTCAGATCAATGACTTGGAGCACAAGGAAGAAATAAACATCCTACCAGAACAGAATGAAGAAATAAGAATTCAAAAGAATGAGGAGAGGCTTGGGAACCTCTAGGACAACTTTAAGCACTCCAACATCCAAAACACATCGATGCCAGATGGCGAAGAAGAAGAGCAAGAAATTGAAAAATTATTTGAACAAACACTGAAGGAAAACTTTCCCAATCTGGCAAAGGAAATATACTTCCAGGAAGTTCTGGAAGCCCAGAGAGTCTCAAAGAAATTGGACCCCAGGAGGAACACACCAAGATACATCATAATTAAGTTACCCGGGATTAAAAATAAGCAGCAATGGGAAAGGAGATAGTTACCTACAAAGGAGTGCCCATAAAACTATCAACTGATTTCTCAAAAGAAACCTTACAGGCAAGAAGGGGCTGGAAAGAAGTATTTGCAGTCATGAAAGGCAAGGACCTACATCCAAGATGATTCTACCTGGCAAAGTATCATTCAGGGTGGAAGGGCAGATAAAGTGCTTCCCAGATAAGGTAAAGTTAAAGGAGTTTATCATCACCAAGCCCTTATTACATGAAATGTTAAAGGGACTTATCTGAGAAACAGAAAAAGATCAAAAACTAGGAACAGTAAAACAACAAACTCATAACTATCAGCAATTGAACCTAGAAAACAAAAACTAAGTAAACAACTAGAACAGGAACAGAATCACAGAAATGGAGCTCACAAGGAAGGTTATCAGTGGGGAGGGGCAGTATGGGGGGGAAATGTACAGGGAATAAGAAGCATAATTGGTAGGCACAAAATAGACAGGGGGAGGTTAAAAGCAATACAGGAAGTAGAGAAGCCACAGAACTTACATGTACAACTCGCAGACAGGAACTAAGGCGGGATTCTGGAGGGAGGGCGGTGGAAGACAGAAGGAGGATAAAGGGGAGAGAAAGATTGGAACAACTGGAATAGCATAGTCAATAAGATATACTTTAAAAAAACTTTAGTGTTCTGTTTCCTCGTGTGGTATACTGAAAAAGAATTGTATTTTTTACTTTTGTATACTCCTGGTTTTAAATTACTTAAGTAACGGAATAAGACAGATTAATCTTGCTGTGGTGCATAGGGTGAATGAGACAGGGGAGAGGTTAAAGCTGCGAATACAAATTGTGTTTGGACTCAGTGATCATGTTTAACGGAGCAAGACTTTTGTGAAGTCCTCCTGCCCCCAGCCTATAGGTACCTTGTGTGTCCTGTATACACTAACCCACTCTACCAGATTTACTTATTTAATTTTCTATCTCCCACCAGACCTTAGTCGTCGAGAACAGAGACACTCTCCTGTTCTTTATTGTATGTCTAGTTCCTAGCACATGGTAGCCGGGGGATAAATATTTACTGCATGAATTAGTTTGCAGTGTAGGGAATATAGTCGCTAACATTGGGATGAGTAAGTTTGGGGCCAGGCTGGTGCTTGAAGCAGCCAGGAGAACTACTCTGTAGAGTACGTGATTTTCTAACGCCTTTGCTGTACTCCTGAAACTAATACGGAATGATATTGAATGTAAACTGTAATTGAAAAGTAAATGCTTAAAAAGATTCATCATATATAATAAAGCACAGGTAGATTTATAATAACACAAAGCAGAAGTCCCAGAGGAAATGATTGATGCTCTTATAAAATATTCAGTTTTACTATATCATTTTCAAACCACATCTCTTCATTTATGAACTAATTTTATAATGCAAGATGGTATTTTTCTTAACTGCTATTAGTCAGAAAAGGTAGTCCTTGTTTTTATTTTTCTGAGATTTATTTTCTTTTAATTGTTAATTAAAAGGCACATTCAAAGTTAGCTTCTATTGTTATTCCGTTGTTTTTTATTTCTCTGTGGATGACCTGTTTACTCCATCTCAATTTGGTACAAATTTAAAAATTTTTAATTAAAAAGTTCCAGATATGTGAGAAAAGAGAACTGTATATAGATATTTGAAAATCTGTTGGTGTTTGAGTTTACCAGAGTAAACTTCGTGATCAGATATACAATAAGTGGTAGAGCTAGGGTTTGAACCCTGATTCCTGTAACCTGAAAGCTCTGTACTATCCTGCCTTTTCAAAATGAAAATTTGCTCTTATGAGTGTTTTTGTGTGGTTATATTTGATATATTTCCAATTCAGAGCAACTAAGGTTATTACAGTAAGTTCTAAGCATATAGTGAAAATTAATTGATTTTATTTATTTGGAGTTGCTGTAATTGATTTTAGGTTTCATTTCTAATTTAGGAAAATCTAAAACAAATAAAAGAACAAATAGAAGATTATAAAAAACGAATAGAGAAGCTGGAAGAGTACACAAAAACATGCATGTGGGTATTGTTTAAAGAGAAAGTTCCTTGCAGCTGTCTTACATTTCTAGAGGCTGGTTTATTTTTATTCAGTCAAATGAATGCTTTCATTGTATCATTGTTTTTGCTCCTCCATTACTTTTATTTCATCGTGTACAATTAAAAATTACACTTAAGCACATGAATGAAATATTTACATTTTGAAAATATAAATGTTTATCAGTGGTGAAACTTAGGACTCCTTTTTGGTATTGATATTTTATAATAAAAGTTATGTCATGAAAGCTAGCACAACCTAAGTATTCTGCCATTAAGAATTTTTTAAAGTGGTATTTATTTATTATTAAGCTCGTGATGACTGCTGCAGTTAAGATGATCCATCCTTGCTTTTTCAGTATCCAGAAATACATTATCTTTTGAATCAATGAAGAATGATCAAAATCTCTTTGTCCAGATTTGGTGCTAGGTTTATTTTATTGCAGCATTTTTCATCCACTAGAACTGTTAGAGCACCCCCATTCCATTCCCCTGCAGGGTCAGACGTGAGTATATTGTACCCTGTCATTCCTAAATTTTAGGTTTTCTTTTTGCTGTATACTTTATTATTGTTCTTATTATGTAGGGATTGCTTAAAAGAGAAAAAACAGCAAGAGGAAACCCTAGTGGATGAAATTGCAAAAACAAAGTCGAGAATTTCTGAAGTTAATGAAGAGATGAGTCTTGTCAGAAGTGAACTGCAGAATGCGGGAATTGATTACCACGAGGGGAAACGCCAGCAGAAGAGGGCAGAGGTCATGGAACACCTGAAAAGGCTTTACCCAGACTCCGTGGTAATTAGAATGAATCGTTAATTTGAACAAACAGGCTAAGCTTTCTTAGTTGGGATTTAAAATGTTATCATTATTTGGAGGCAAAATTATCTCAGAAATCGTTTTAAGTTTTGTGTTTGATAGTTTATATTTAAAATGTAATAGTAAATAATTGGGATAAAATGTAACATTTAGCAGGATCTGTAGATAAGTAATCACTGGGGAGAAACATCGATGCGAACCATTACCCAGAAAGTCCACGTTGTGGCCGGTACCCCCAGAGGGCTTGGATACCGTGAACTAGTCTCCCCGCAAAAGTCACACAGCCTCAAACCTCACGTTTTTCAGCCTTTCAGTTTTTTAAATTATATTTGCAATAGATATCACTGGAATTCTTTTGTAACAATGAGCTTTTATTCTCTAAATCTGACTGTGCATCTAGTTTTGCTAGTATAGTTCATGGCCCCAAAACAGCAGTATCTAACCTGTAGCTTATGGTATCAGCTTCAGAAAATTACCTCCTCTGGTGTTGGGGTCTGGCATCCCACCCTTGTGTCCCAACGCCAGTGTACGCTTCGCAGTCCTCATTTCACGATGGCCCGTTGTCAGCACGCGACCGTGTTAACCACTTGCACTGCTTTGAAACGCCTTGCCACTGGCTCCTGTGGTACCACAGCCTCATGGTTTTCCTCCTGCCTCTCTGGCCACCGTGTCTTCTCCTTTGTAGCATCCTTTTTGACTTTCTGACTCTGAAATGTTGGTCTCCGCTTCTAGATAGTGATGGAGGAGGTGTAAGTTTTGAGCATAAAATCCCTCCCCCAGTACCAAACAAAATGACTAAAACTATTTTTTTTTAAAAATAATTCACCCTGGCTGGTGTGGCTCAGTGGATTGAGCACCGGCCTGTGAACCAAAAGGTCACTGGTTCGATTCCCAGTCAGGGCACGTGCCTGGGTTGCAGGGCAGGTCCCCAGTTGGGGGTGTGTAAGAGGCAACCAATCAATGTTTCTCTCCCTCTCTTCTGCCCTTCCCCTCTCTCTAAAAATAAATAAATAAAATCTTTTAAAAATTAGTTCAACAATCAAACAAGGAAAGGGGCCCATACATCTAATGCCATAAACTTCAGAAAATGGTAATAGTCCAGGATTAAAAAAAAAAGATTGAAGGTTAGCATTTTAAACCATTTATTTTTAATTGAAATTATTGGGGTTACATTGGTAAATAGAATTACGTAGGTTTCACGTGTACAGTTCCACAACACGTCATCCGCACAATGCGCTGTGCGCTCACCACCCAAAGTCTAGTCTTCCTCCATCGCCCTTTGCCCCCTTACACTTTCTCCCACCTGCCCCGCCCCCTTTCCCTCTCGTAATCACCGTGCTGGTGTCTGTGTCTGTGTGTGTGTGTGGTTTTTTTTTTTTTCACTTTTTGCTTAATCCTTTCACCTCTCTCACCCAGCCCCGAGCCCCCCCCCCCCCGACAGCTGTCCGTCTGCTCTCTGTGTCTCGGAGTCTGTTTCTGTTTTGTGTGGTTATTTTGCTCATTAGATTCCACATACAAGTGGAAGCATATGGTATTTATCTTTCTTTGGCTTATTTCACTTAGTATAATACCCTCTAGGGCCATCCATGCTGTCACAAAAGCTAAAATATCCTTCTTTTTAATTGCCGAGTAGTAGTTCGTTCTGTAAATGTACCACAGCTTTTTTATCCATTTGTCTACTGATGGACACTTGGGCTGCTTCCAGATCTTGGCTACCGTAAATAGTGCTTCAGTGAACATGGGGGTGCATATATTCTTTGGGATCAGTGTTTTGGGTGTCTTTAGATATATTTTCGGAAGTGGAATTGCTGGATCATAAGGGAATTCCATTTTCTATTTTTTGAGGGAACTCTATACTCTTTTCCACAATGACTGTGCCGATCTGTATTCCCACCAGCAGTGCTCAAAGGTTCCCTTTTCTCCACATCCTTGCCAACATTTATTTGTGGGTTTATCAATGATAGCCATTTAAAGCACTTATAAGGATATTTTTATCTCTGCAAAAAGCAAACTGATACATTTATTAATTCCTGAGAAATTCCACCTAGTACGCCTTAATCTAGCAAGAAGGAATTTCATATATATTTGTTGCATTGCTTAAAAAACTATTGAATCAGGTCATGTGAACCCCCAATGATCTTAGATAGAAGGGATGGCTCTAGGACTCCTCATTAAAGTGAGAGGCCAGTTCAAAGCCTTCCCCCCAAATGGGACTTGTCCTCTCCCCCAGGGTAGAGGAACCTCAGTATGGAACATTGATTAAAACTCAGAGGAAGGAGCCAAACTCCAGAATTTGAGCAAAGCGTATGCACAGCCCAGGCTCAGCTCTCACTTGTTCCTGCCCTCCGAACCCCTAGGTGACAAATAGATCAGCAAATACTTAGAAGATAAACAGAAAGTACTTAGTTCATCAGCTGTTGTTCAGAGGAAATAACCATCTCAGTTCTAGGTGAGGCAATCAAAACGTATCCATCACAGCAAATAAAAGGTCTGAACAGAGATGCCCACATTAAATATAAGCATGGCAAAAAGCACAGATATGGCAGCTGTAGGTACATATAATAATAAAGAAAAAGAATAATTTTTTAAAGATTTTATTTATTTTTAGAGAGAGGGGAAGGGAAGGAGAAAGAGGGAGAGAAACATCAATGTGTGGTTACCTCTCGCCACACCCCCTACTGGGTACCTGGCCTGCAACCTAGGCATGTGCCCTGACTAGGAATCGAACCAATGACCCTTTCGTTCAGAAGCCAGCACTCAATCCACTGAGCTACACCAGCCAGGGCAAGAAAGAATGATTTTTAAAAATCCACATTCCAACATATGTTTATTAATTTTAGAGAGACCGAACCATCGATCAGTTGCATCCCGTACGGGGGATGGAACCCACAACCTTTTGGTGTATGGACAACACTCCAACCAACTGATGCACCCAGCCAGGGCGTGAGAGAGAATGATTTTAAAAGCATTTAAAAGTCAAAGAGCCTCATCGGGAAGGTTACAGAACAAAATCCCCCATAAAAGCAAAATGTAGAGCTAAGAAAACACATCAGGGTAAACACTACTGAACTGATAAATTGCAAGGAGCAAGGAGCGGGGCACCACAGCCCAAAATCAGAGCTCTGACCTGGCAGTGAGACTGGAGTCACGGCAGGCGCCCCTTGCCCGCGGGGTCCGTTCCCATGTGCCCGCGGGTGGCTGGAACTGCAGACGGTGCTGAGCCCTGTGCATGTGCAGGGGGTATGCGTGTGTGTGTGTGTGTATGTATGGGACATGTTTTTTCAGTTCATGCATTTCATTCTCAAGTCGGGTGCCGTTTCCTTCTTTATGAAGCACTTGCGCACTGTGGCCGGAACTCGGGTGGTCTGGCAGTAAAACTGGCATGATTTTGTTTTCTCCTGCACAGTTTCACCTGGAGGAGATTTGTTCTTACTGTAGATCTTAGCAGTTTCAGCATGCGGTTTTCGCCTTTCCTTATTGAGTCTAGACTTCTTACCTTTTCACTTAAAGGAAGTACTGTCCAGCTTCTCGGGCATATCTGAACTGCCAGCATCACCGCTCTTGTGCTGGGGGGCTGTTATTAAGTAAAATAAGGGTGACCCAAAGACAAGCATGGCGCCCCGCCACCGTCCCTCTGAAAGCCGCGGTGGCTGTTGGGTGACTAATGGGGAGAGTATGCAGTGCGAGGCCGCCAGACAGAGGGGTGGGTCATGTCCCAGAAGAGATGGAATGAAGTTCATCACCACACTCAGTGCACAATGTGAAACTTGGGACTTGTCTGTTGAGTCATTTATTTCTGGAATTTTCCATTTAATATTTTTAGACCATGGTTGACCACAGTAACTGAAACCACAGAAAGCCACACCACAGACAATGGGGGCCCCTGCAATTGCAGGTGAACGGAGAAGAAAAGACAAAGCAGGATAATAAATATTAACAAAAATGATCAATCACTTTTAAAAAATGGTATTCCCGAAGTAGAACAGAGCCAATGAAAAAAAGTCTAAAATGTAAAGCTGAGTCTTCAGATCGCCTAGGGAGCCTTGATGCAGGCCTGTGGACATTCTGACACTTCTAAGGAAACTTCTTGAATTTCCGTCTGATGAACTCGCGACCGTTCGTCAGACCTCAGCACGTGTTGGCGGGAGGCCCTCTCTGACGTCTCTGCCTGGTCCCGCGTGCTCGCGGAGCTCGCTGCTCCCCAGCGCGTGTCCGGGGTCCTTCGGTTTCGCGCGCGTGTGTGATCAGCTGACTGCCCCTCCCCCTGCCCGCTAGACCGACAGCCCCATGGGACGAGAACGCATCTGGGACGCTCGCCCCGTGTCTAGCTCAGGGTCCGCATGTGGTGGTGGAACGGGGTCCTCACAGGTTCTCACTTAGTAATTAAGGGAATGGGTGAATTTAGTGATTGCAGCTTTGTAAAAATACTTTAATACCTTGGCAAGGCTAATCCCCCTCCCCTGTCACTCTTTTCTTAAACGAAGTGTGACCACCTGAATGGACATTTCATAGTAAGACTTATATCCAATCCAGTGAGACTGTTACATTCTGATGTTTATAATTTTATAAAAGTAGTTTATAGTTTGTGCTGTTTTGTTACATTAGAAGACAAGGAATGAATTGTATGTTCTTCACGAATGTATTTGCTGTTCTCTCCTTTTCTGAAACCTGCCAAGTTTGGAAGACTGCTTGACCTGTGTCACCCTATTCATAAGAAGTACCAGCTGGCTGTCACGAAGCTTTTTGGCCAGTACATGGTCGCCATCGTTGTAACCTCTGAGAAGGTAGCAAGAGATTGTATTCGATTTCTGAAGGAGGAAAGAGCTGAACCTGAGACATTCCTTGCTCTAGATTACCTTGATGTAAGGAACTTACGTTTAGTACTCAATGATAAAATCTTGTCTTTTAAAGGACGTCTTTACTGCCTAAAACTGTGGTTCAGTGGTTGAGAAGTACCACAGCGCGGATGCCCGTCCGTCCATCTGTCGGTCGTGCAGACGGCCGGCGTTAACGTGCCGGCAGGCTGGGAATAGTACCGAGCGTGCGCTATCTTTCTTGTCTTCGTATCATTTCTTCCAGGTCTGCTTTTGCCGTAACCCTGCCTTCATGACTTTGAGGACGTTGCCCTAGCCCACTGGCCAGCCTTACTCGCGTTCAGTAGCAAAGTGTCGAGACGGTCCGTTGGTGAGACGCCAGCCCAGAGTCTCAGTTGTAACTGTGTAATCCCGTACCTGCTCTTGGCGAAGCAGGCTGATGCTGAGCCCTGGAGTGTGCATTGAGAGGCCTCCAGAGTCTAAATTCCCAAGGCAGGAACTCGATCAGTATCGCGATTGCTGTCCTTCAGCGATTTTTTCCTTGGCTACTGAAGAACGTGTTCTGCTGGTCCCGCCCTCAGGCCCTGCCCTGAAGGCGGTGTGCATGGCAGTCAGGAGCACGGGCCCTGGACTCGGCCCGACCCGAGCGCGAATCTCAGCCCTGCTTCTAATGCGTTCCCCCTAATTCTTAATTTTTCTTGAGCTGCCATTTCCGCATCTGTGGAGGAAGCAGTCCACGCCCTGTAAGATTATTGCAGGGAGTCACTACTACACGGAGAGCGCCTGGCGCAGGGCCGGGCGCAGGGGCGAGCTCAGCCAGCGCGAGCCGGGCTCCGGCGGTCCAGACCTGACCTTTGCGTCCCGCCTTGTTGCCTGTGCGTCCTGCCGCTGGGGCTGCTTGACCTGACTCATCCGCCTGTTAAAATCCTGTCTTACTTATTTCATGCTTAAGGTGTTTTTCAAGGCACCCTCATTTTCTAAAAATCTGATACAGAAAGTTATAAAATATAAAGGAAGTGTTCCTATCCCTTCTTAATGCCTGATTCCTTAGTTGTAACTACTTTAGATTGCTTCTATACATACACATTTATAAATATATATATTCCCGGGTATATTGTATATATACACATTTTGGTTTTATACGAGGGGCGGCCCCCCACAAAAAAGGAATTATCTTTTGGAGGGCAGGCCCCTTACTGTAGTACAGGCCTCCCCACTGCGGGAGGGTACTGGGAACCCGTCTGTATCGGTGCACCAACGGGCATCGTGAGAGGCTGCGTTCGGCTTCAGTGAATTTTTTTTAAGACTTTTCAGTACGTTTGCCCATTTCCTGATGGGTGGTTTGCAAGCGCACCTGCCCGCACCCTGCTGAGTGTTCAGCAGTTTTTGACCAGAAATGGCATGACCTCTATGCCCTACAGTCCCAGTCTTGCCATGAGCAATTTTTTTGTTTGTTTGTTTGTTTCCCTGGATGGAAAAAGTCCTCCAAGGGAAATGTTTTGCTGATGTGGAAGAGGTGAAACAAAAAGTGGCAGAAGCACTAAAAGGCATCAAAATCGATGAGTTAAAAAAATGTTCTGAGCAGAGGAAAACGTCTCCATAGGCGTACTGCACCAAATACAGAGTGCTTTGAAGGTCGCCAAAGTTTAAACATGTAAGAATAAATACACAATTTTTTATAAAGAAATTCCCGTTTTTGGGGTCCCCCCTCGTATAGGGTTTTTGCTTTGTTTTGTTTTACAAAAAAGGAGATCATACTTACTGTTTTTGGGTAACACATTGCTGATACTTCTTTGACCTATTTATGGATACAACGTAAAGGTCCTGGCGAAGGAGACGTGAAGGCTTTCCTCGTCACTTAAGCCCGCGGCGAGCTTTCGAGCGCCCAGTGCTGCGCCCTCTCCTGGCGCGCGGAAGCGGGCACCCCTCTGACCAGACGTTGTGACTTGGAGGGTGCGGGGCACTTCTCATGCATCGCTTTGTCCCGGACAGTTAGTGACGGCGTTGAATTCGGAAATGCTCTCTTCTGGCTTTTGATGAAATGTATTTTTAAAGGACAGTACCCAAGCCAGTGGTGGGATATGGTTCATCGGGTTCTGGTCAAACCTTTATTGCATATAAGTGTATACAATTAATTAGTCTCTTGCTGTCATGCTTATGTGTATTTTTTGAGAAAGAATGTACTATTTGGTTTTTTATTTTAGTGTATCTAATATATTAAGTATTTTTTAAACCTCTAGATCAAGCCAATTAATGAAAGGTTACGGGAGATTAAAGGCTGTAAAATGGTGATCGACGTCATACAGACTCAGTTTCCTCAGCTGAAGAAAGTGATCCAGTTTGTGTGCGGCAACGGCCTTGTCTGTGAGACCGTGGAAGAGGCGCGGCATATTGCGTTTGGCGGCCCGGAGAGGCGGAAGGTGAGACGCCCAGGTGGTGCTTTTGGGTAACCTGAAGCAACCTGTGTAGGACCGACATATTATACAGGCAGGTGTTTGTACAGGACGTCACATGACTCTCTGTAGTAAGGAAAACTGACAGCCTAAGATGGCTGTGGTTCCAGTACTTTTTATAGTATTCAGTTGGGCTTTTAAAAAATGAACTCCTGTATAGTGTTTTCTAATATCGTACATTATATTTTGAAAATTAGATTTATTGTAATAATACCCTCAAAGCAGTTAACTTATTTTTTATTGACATGCATGAAATGTTCTTCTGAATCTCAATATGCCCTGCATTTAAATATATGGTACAGATGTTTTCTGAATCTCAGGAACGATTTTAAATGCTTACTTTATATTCTGGGTTAATTCTTCCATGGCTTCATAGAGATACCACCTCTCCTGCTACACATTCACGGTTTTAACACATTTGAGGTTACAGAAATGGCATAAGTGAAAGTGAGGTTACTAAATATTAATCTCTCGAGAAATTACTGCACCTGTGATGGAGTCAGACAGTGCCTAGGGCATAAGCTGTGATGTAAGGTCAGGATGCTACTTAGTAAGTTTCTAAGCCTCTAATTTTACTTTTTCCTCCAAAATTTGGAGAAATAGTAGTGCCTATTCATAGAATTGTACAGGCTAAATTAAATAATAACATGCAGAATACTATTCCAGTGCCTCGCAAAAAAACTCAAAAAGTGGTGGTCAGTTTTTTATTTATTAGTGAATTAAAATATTTGATCTGGAATGCACAGAATTGCAAGTTAACACAAAACAGGCTGTTAGTATGAAAGATAGTAGTTTTTAGTTTTAAATGTATTGACTGTCTAACATGATTAACTTCTCACATATTTTAGTACTTCAGTCAGAAATGACCTTAATGACAGTGTGATCAGTCTTGGTAACCACTGTCATTGATTTCTACAGATGAACTTTAAGCAGGTATAATAAGTGAGCTACTAACATATCTTATTTTGCTACCTAATTAACTATTTTAAAATTTGTTTATGTATATTTGTAAAATTGATTTTTGAAGATTTGTGGAATCATTTTTAAAAAGCCACATAAAGATAAAATGGTACTTAATCCTTGCCTCATTCAACAAAAATTAATGGTTTATAGCTGCCCATGGTAAGAAGTCTTAGCCCCGTAGGCCATGCCTTGTCCTCATCATTACTTCAGAATTGTAATCAGCTTTGTCATTTGTGTCTGAAGTATATTACAGGCACTTTATCTTCTTCCTATTATTGCTATGCCACGGAAGGGGTTTTCAGTGCCCTAGGGCGCATACAGCGGTTGGATAGATAGATGTCACAGTTTCACAGATGCCTGTCTTCAGTTCGTGCTTTTGGTTTTTCACGGACTTCATATCTTTTCCTAGACCTGATGTCACATGTTAGGATTTCCTTTACTCACACGCTGCAGGTCACGTCACAAAAGGGTATTTTGGTCAGTTCAGACCTGGGGAGCGAGCGAACTCATTGCCGAGCTGACAGCTGGGAGGGAAGGGCGCTCTCACGGCCTCGCATAAAACAAAGCGCCCGTCTCCCTTGAGGAGACGTCGGAACACTGAGGACCTTAGACCTGTATTGTAAGAGTCTGCGTTAACTCTGGAGCCACCCTGCAGACCCTGGGACGCTTCCTTCTGAAATCCCACGAGAGGAGTAAACCGAGTTTTCTGCGAAATGTAACTGGTTCAATTCCAGTAAGACACGACGCAAGCCTCCCCCGCTCAGGAAGCTTCTGTGGCGCTCCGGGCTGTGTTAGACCCCCCCGGCGTGCGCTCTCCCGGACATCCTTCTGTCTGCTCGCCACCTGCGCCCTAGTGATATGTTCACGTGTCTCTCTCCCTGCCGGCACGGCTCCCTACGGGCCAATGCCGTGTTTCACTCTCGGTCACTGCAGCCCCCAGTGTACAATGTCTGTCGTGGCGGTCATGCAGGGGATGTTGGTCTGAATGAAGGAATCGAGGATTCAATGAGACTCTTGTTAGTTGACATTTTAAAAAATTAGCTCATATTACATGGTTCTAGTTCTCCAAAAGTTGTTTCCTTCTGCTTTAACTAGAAACATTTGCAAAACATTGAGAATTGCTTTTATTTATTCCATAAAGTATATGTTACTTAGGACTATAACTTCAAACTATTTTTTTAAATAGATCTCATTTTTATTATTTAAGATAACATACTTATTACACATTCTTTTCATTTTATACCTTTGACTCCATTTAAATTTTTGTCCTTGGTCCCAGTTCACGTCCACCTTGGAGAACATGATGTTTGGGTATCCTGAAGTGGCTAGGGCTGTTTTCATAGTAGGTCACAGACATGGGGTATCAAATTCTTCAAAATAGAAGATTATATAATGCAAAGTATTTCGTGTTAAATACAATGATTCTCAGTTTTTTCTTCTCAATATTGAATATGTGTGGAACTAATACCACAATTTATTTTGAGCCTTTTTAATTTCTAATTTGGTGCCTAGAATTGCTTTGGGCCTTAGCAAAACAGGGTTTTGTGTTTGTGGTTTATTGGTTTGTGTCTTTTCATATGCTAGACATTTTATTAAATATGGTGTGGTGTTTCTCATCTACAAATTCTCAGCTGTAAAAACTGACTTATTATGTTCTAGTTTATCTTCTTTGTGTACATTTCCCCAAGGTAAAATACTTTTGATTTTCCAGACAGTAGCTCTTGATGGAACATTATTTTTAAAATCGGGGGTGATTTCTGGAGGTTCAAGTGACTTAAAATACAAGGCTCGATGCTGGGATGAGAAAGAGTTAAAGAATTTAAGAGAGAGAAGAACCCGGCTAATGCAAGAATTAAAGGTAAATCCATGTTGTAAAAGTTGTAGAATAATTGTTTTTTAAACTAATTTTTTGTAATGTACCATGCCTATAGTTTTTTAAGAACTTAAATAATGCAAAGTGGAATAAAGTAAAAAATAAAAATACCTTACCCATGCTACATCTCAGCGATATTTACTAAGCAATCTGATGCTTAACCTTTGGAAGTTTTCTCTATACATGCAACTATATGTGTTACATTACCTGTTTGCTTTATAAAAGACTTTTGACATAGTGTCTGCAACAAGCTTTTTCACTGGTGTCATAATATGGACATGTTTTTATGTTGCCATACAGAAAAGCACTTTATTTGTAATGAATCCTGCCTGGTATTTCATTGTGTAGATTTTTAAAATTTAATTAATCTTCAATAATTTTGTCATTTCAGTTTTTGCTATTACAAATGATACAACATTAAACATTATTTAGAGAGGGAAAATAATGATGTAGTGAAGAGTATAAATTTGGTAGCAGCACTGCCTGAGCTCGAATGCTGGTTCTGCCACATACTAACAGTGTAAACTTGGGCAAGAGGTTAAAGATAGAAAATTAAACGCAGCAAGAGAAAAGCAGATCGTTACCTACAAGGGAATTACCGTAAGACTGTCAGCTGATTTCTCAAAAGGAACTCTGCAAGTTAGAAGGGACTGGCCAGAAATACTCAAAGTCATGAAGCATAGGAACCTATGGCCAAGAGTGCCCCACCCAGCAAGGCCGTCGTTTACGATCGAAGGGCAGAGAAAGAGCTTCCCAGACAAGGAAAAACTGAAGGAGCTCATCATCACCAAACCACTATTATATGAAATGTTAAAGGGATTTATTTAACAAAAAGATCAAAACTATGAACAATAAATTGGCAATAAATACATGTCTATCAACAGCATAATCTAAAACAAACTAAGCAAACACGAAGAACAGAATGATGGGCAGGAAGAGCATTTCGATGGTTGCCAGATGGAGGGGGGTGTGGGAAATGGGTGAGGAGATGAGGGGACTGGGAAGTGCAAATGGGTCGTTACAGAACAGCCACAGGGACGTAGAGCGCAGTACAGGAAGTGGAGTAACCAGAGAACTTACACACGACCCCTGGACATGAACAATGATGTGGGGACTGCCCGAGGGAGCCAGGAGTGCTGGGTAGGGGAGTGATGGGGGCGAGAATTGGGACAACTGTAATAGCATAACCAATAAAATATAATTTTTAGCCCTGGCTGGTGTGGCTCAGTGGATTGAGTGCCAGCCTGAGAACTAAAGGGTCATTGGTTCGATTCCCAGTCAGGGCACATGCCTGGGTTGCAGGCCAGGTCCCCGGTAGGGGCATGCGAAAGGCAACCACACATTGATGTTTCTCTCCCTCTCTTTGTCCTTCCCTTCCCCTCTGTCTAAAGTAAACAAAACAAAAAAATCTTTAAAAATACAATTTTTAAAACAAAAGAAGACATTATGGAGACACATCTGAGCAAAGGATAGAACTAGAAGAAAATCCATAAGGCCTAGTAAACATGAAAAAATGCTCAAAATAGAATATAGTACTCAGGGAAATACTAATTAAATTAAAATTACTTCATTCAGCCCTGGCTAGTGTAGCTCAGTGGACTGAGCGCAGGCTTCCAAACAAAGGGTCGCTGGTTCGATTCCCAGTCAGGGCACATGCCTGGGTTGCAGGCCGGGTCCCCAGTAGGGGGTGTGTGAGAGGCAACCACACATTGATGTTTTTCTCCCTCTCTTTCTCCTTCCCTTCCCCTCTCTAAAAATAAATAAATAAAATTAAATAAATAAATAAATAGCTAAAAAACATAAACATAAAAATAAAATTACTTCATTCCTAACAAAAGACTTGGAAAAAATGCATATGCTCGTGAAAATGTAAAAAGCATGAGCTCATACATTATTTATAGAAACGTGAATTGTTACAGCATTGGGGAAAGCAGTTAGCCCCAGCTACTCAAAATATGAATAACTTTGACCCATCCATTGTAGCCCGGAGAATCTATCACATGAAAATAAAAACACCAGTACTTAGGGTATACATACAAATATGTTGTTGCAGCATTGTTTGCGGTGGCAAAAACCTGGAAACAAAGTAAATGCCTATCATTTAGGGCATACTTGAATAATTTTGGTACAGTCTCACTCAGATAATATGCAGCTATTCAAGAGTGAATTTAGAGCTTTATCAGGTGACTTTTGTAACTGAAGGGAAAAAAAAGGCAGAAAAGTATGTTCAGTGTGATTCTGAATTTGCAAAACAAGACTGAAAAATATCTATAGGTGGGTATGTTTATATGTGAATTTGCGTAAAGACTTGGAATAAAAATACGGAAGAACGTACACTAGGGAGCTAATTGGGTTGAGTGGGTGAAGGGAGAGGGCGTGGACGAGGCAAGCAGAAAGGCGAGGGTGCACGCAAAACCAGGTGCCTAGCATCATATGGTCCCATGTATGTGCTTGGTTGGAACACACATGCCCCGTTCCCCCATTTTCATGCCTGTTTCCTGTTAGGCAGTGTGTTGGTTTTCGGCGGCTGCTGCAGGGCACCGTGGTTGCCCCAGATGGCCTGTGTACTCAGTTGCCCAGAAGAAGGGAAGATGGATGTGGGTGTGGCTCCATCTAAAAAGTCAGTGAATTATGGCTTACAAAAGTGCTTTTCCATAGTAGTATGTTCTCATCATATTTCTCTTTTTCTTTAGGATTTATTGAAGATGCTTCGCAAGGAAGCAGATTTGAAACAAATACAGACTCTCGTGCAAGGAACGCATACGCGGCTCAAATACTCACAGAGTGAGCTGGAGATGATTAAAAAGAAGCACCTTGCTGCTGCTGCCCGGGTAATGTCCCACACGGAACGTTACGGAAATTAGAACCGGGGCAGGGGATTTCAGGAGGCACATTTGTGGAGCACCGTGTGATTTTTTCACTTTCCTCCATGACTGAGATTGTATTGTAGTCCTCTAATTACTTTATTTTTATGGTTGTTAACCTTATTATACAATTGTACCTGAGTTCACCTTAACTCACAGATTCCCTTTTGGGCTAAAAGATACCTCTCATGTTTTGGCTTCACTCTGTAAAGCTGAAATAGCCATGTTAAAAAAGAAGTTTTTCTCTTTTGTAACTAGGAACAATCTCGGCTGCAAAGTGACCTGCTGAACATTGACTCCCAGTGCTCTATGCTGGAGGGAGCAATCCAAGCACGGCAACAAAGAATTGAAGACTTCCAAGGGAGGATAGATAAGGTCCTGAGCGATATATTTATCATTGATTGGCTTGTAGAATACTCTTCTAGACCAGCCACCAGATCTAGGGCTTCTTGAATATGTGCTAACGTTTAATGGTTTGCAAATTAATTTTCTTGGGTCTTTTAAGTACCGCCGTTGCCCGTCTCAGGAGACAGCGGACCGTGAGTGGCGCCCGCCCCCCCGCCCCGCTCTCGGACCCTTCCGTGCTCCTGGTACAAGTCGCAGCCTCTTTCTTTCTCCTGCTGCCCCGACACTGGGGGAAAAGAACTTTGTCGTTTGGGTCGTTTTTTAAGATTAATTATTCACATTCAAGTAAAACCTTAAAGTTTTTAACATGCCCTGCTATTAAAATAGGTCTGTTTATCTTACAATTGAACATAAATGTAGTGCTTTAAAAATATTGAGGTTAATGGTATTTTGTTGGATTTGGATCATTCTTGTTTTTCTAAATCTTTTTAAGTCTTAATTCTCTGCTGTAGTCCCTTTGGCTTTATATGGCCTAAGAAACTATGGTATTACTCATATAAAGACTATTTTGTTATTTATACTTTTTAAAGTTTTTACAATTTAATCAGTATTGTACTTCTTTCTCCATTCCCATTGAGCCCTCATACACCCGCCTCCCCCTACCGGTCACCACAGCGTGGTCCAGTCTACACCCGAGAGTCCTGTTTCCTTTCCGCTCAGCCCCTCCACCCCCAGTGTCTCCGCCCCGGCTGTCATCCTGCCCTCCCTCTATTAGTCTGTCCTGAGGAATATTTTATTTGTGTAACAGAGTATTTGGTGTGTCTGATGTAATTTAAATGTTTTCTATTTTAAACAGTTCATGAAGCCAAAACCCTTAGTAAAAATAGTTTTGCACTTTATTATTTAATTTTTAGAATAAGAAATTTCAAAATAGATGGGCGTAGTTTATGGAGCTAAAGAACAAGAATGCACTAGCTGCTCAGAGAACCGTAATGCTTGTTGGCATTAGTGTTTGGCCTGATCCAGGAGAACCTTGGAGGGGAAAACTTAGATTTAATCATCATCTGTATATTTTCTTAAAACTAATTATTAAATCAGTTGTTTTTAAATCATTTAAAAGGTTGAAGATGATATTTTCCAACACTTCTGTGAAGAAATTGGTGTGGCAAATATTCGCGAATTTGAGAAAAAACATGTTAAACAGCAACAAGAAATTGATCAAAAAAGGTATTTTTGTTTTAAAATATTGGTAAGCAATCTATATATAAATGTAACTTATTTCATAATTTAAGGGAATTATGTCTGAGGTAGACTTTATTTCAATTTATCAAGAAATAGCTAGTAAACATGCATAGTCTATATTATAAAGAGTTCTCTTTATTTTTTTAAAGAAAGAAAATACAAATAAACAAAATAAGAGAATGGGTACATAATTACACAGTGGCTATTAAAAGAATAATAAGACACTAATTTATTTACTTGTCTGTAAATATATATATACATAGATAAAATTGGTAATTTTCAAGAAATAATTATTACCAAGATAGAAAAATCTAAGGAGGCCAGTTACCATAGGAAAAGAAAGTAAAAAAGCTTCTACCCACTCCCATCCCCAAATTTACCAGGACGTATGGTTTCACAGCGGAATCAATCATCCCAGTAAACTTGAAAGGCAGAAGAAATACATTTAGTATTTCAGAAAACCTTCAATATTTAAACTGTTTCATAGTTAGAAGAGGGAGAAATACATCTTTTATGAAATGAACATAATATCAATGCCAAAATCCAAAAAGGTGTATGCACATACAATAAGAAACTATAAATCAATCTCACCTATAAATAACAAAATAAAGTTACATAGAAACACATTGCAACAACATCAGCAAAACAATATACCATCATTTAGTGAACCTCATACCAGAAATAAAAGAATGGCTCAGGATCGGAAATTATTGCTGTAGTTTGCACATTAACAGTCAAAGGAGAGAAATCACATAATCAATTCTATAGATGATAAAAAAGGCACTTGACAAAATTTGCCATCAATTCTTGATGAAAAAATTCTTAAAATATGAGTAGATACCTGTGATATGAGAAAATATATCCATTTTTTAAATCCAAAAGTAATAATGTGCCTCTTGGAGAAAATAGAGAAATTATTTTTTAAAAATTGGTCATTGTCTCATTGTCCAGAAATAAATTCAACATTTGGCTCGTTTCCTGTTTTTATAATTCTCTCACAGTCTGCTCACTTACTCAGCAGTGGTCAGGGAAGGTCAAGCCCCTTTGCACTTCCGTTACTGTTTTAGGATCAGCTTTTCAACTGCTGTAAGAAAGTTTGCTAAAATTTTTATTGGGATTATGTTGAATCTGTAGATCACTTTGTGATCTATAGTATTGTTAAGAATTGACATCTTAACAATACTAATCCGAGAACATGGTGTCTGTCTTCCCTTAATTAGGCCTTCCTTAATTCCTCTCATTAATCATTTTCATTGACAGGTTTTACACAGAGTTTGTTCAGTTTATTCCTGAGTACTTCATATCTTTATGCTATTATAGATAGAATTGTTTTTAATGATCAATTTCAAGTTGATTAGTGGTGGTATATTGAAATAAAATTGTTTTTTATATAAATTGGCTTTGTATTTTGCAGCTTTGTTACATTTATTAGTTCTAGTTCTTTTATAGATTATGGAGGATTTTCTACATGAGATGGTCATGTTGTCAGTGAATAAAAATTTTTATTTTTTTCCTTTCCAATTAATATGGCTTGTTTCTTTTTCTTGTCTCATTGCACTGGCTAGAACTTCCAGTACAATGTGGAATAAACAGAAATGGTGGGTGCAGACATCCTGCCTTATACCCAATCCTAGGTGCAAAGCAGTCTTTCACGGTGACGTATGTTAACTGTAGGGTGCCCTTTAGCAAGCCAGGTTCCCCTCTGTTTCTTGTTTGCTTAAATTTTTTATCATGAATGAGTGTTGAATTTTGTCAAATACTTTTTCTGCCCCCTGTTTGAGAGGACTGTATGATTGGGTTTGGGGGTATGGTAATTGATATGGTAAATTAGATTGGTTAAATGCAGAATGTTACACCAACTTTGTGTAACTGCAGTGAACCCACGTGGTCTTATTCTTTGCAAACGTTTTTGTATTTGATTTGCTAAAATTTTTATAAGGAGTTTTTTCATCTACATTTATGAGCATATTGGCCTATAGTTTTTTTCTTTCAATGTCTTTGTCACATTTTTATTGTCAGGGCAATGCCAGACTCATAAAATTAGTCAAAAATTGTTTTTGTTTTTGTTTTTGTGAAAGAGTTTCTGTAGAATCATATTATTTCTTACCTAAATGTTCAGTAAAATTTGTGAGGGAAACCACTGGGGCCATCCACCTTTCTTGGTGGGAAGGTTTTTAATTACAGACTCCGTTTCCTTAAAATACATAGTGTTGTTCTTTGGGGGTTTATGTCTTTTAAGGAATTTGTGTATTTCATACCAGTTGTCTAATTTATAAACATAAAGTTATTAATACTCTCTGTTACCTTTTTAATGTCTGTAGGACCTGTACTAACGGCTCCTCTTTAATTTCTGACATTGATGATTTGTCTCCTTCCTTTTCTTCTTGATGTCCAGCTAGTGATGTTTTAGTTTCATTCATCTTTTCTAAGATCATTTCTTGGCATCATTGATTTTCTCCATGGTTTGCCTTTTTATATGTTGATTTCTGCTCTTTATTATTTCCTTCTATTTATTTTGGGTTTAATTTACTCTTTTCTTTCTATGTTTTAGAATAGAAGCTTACATTATGTATTTCAGACTTTTATTCTTTTATAATATAAGCATTTTAAGCTGTATATGAGGTCTGTCCAGAAAAAGCCTAGCCATTGTTAATATAACCAAAATGGTTTGCATGACATGGATGTAGCCTGGCGGCCAAAGAGAGCGGACTGGGGTGCGCATGTGTGGACAACGATGACTTCACTGTACTAGACCACGGGGGTGGTAGACGCCACTGAGTGAGCATGTGTGCTGTGTGGCCATCACATTCAAAATGAGCAAGTAAAGCAACAAATCTGCAACAGATTTTGCCTTAAGCTTGAACATTCCTCCACAAAACTATTTGGACATTCAGGAGGCTGCAGCTGTGGGCAGCTGGTGATTGGCAGCGTCATCACGGCAGTGCGCCTGTTCACGCATCTTGTCTCATGCGGGACTTTTTGGCGCAACATCACATCACCCACCCAGGTGACGCAGCCCCCGCAAAGCCCAGAACTGGCGCACTGTGACTCCTTCCTGTTCCCAAAACTAATAACACCTTTGAAAGGGAGGAGATTTCAGACCATCGATGACATTCAGGAAAATACAGCAGGGCAGCTGACAGCGCCTGGGAAGACCATGTGAGGTCTTATGGTGCTTGCTTGAAGGGGACTGAGGCGTCACTGTCCTATGTACAGTGTTCCTTGTATCTTCTTCCATAAATGTCTCTATTTTTCATATGGCATGGCTGGACACTTTCTGGACAGACTTCGTATTTCCCTGTAAGTATTGCTTAAGCTGCATCTCACTACTTCTGGTATGTTGTATTCTCATTTTTATTCTATTCAGAGTGTTTTCTAACACTCCTTGTGATTTCTTTCTATGACTGATAGGGTATTTAGAAGCATGTTATTTAATGGGGGGATTCAGATATTTTTCTGTTACTGATTTTTAATTTTGTTGTGCTAAGGAATATATTCTGCATTGTTTCAGTCCTTTTACATTCATTGGGGCTTATCTGATGTATTCTTTCTTAGTAAATGTCCCGTGCACACTTGGAAAAGTGCGTCTGCTGTTGGGTGGGGTGTTCTCCGGGTGGCAGTTGAGTTGCTCGGTATTCCTCACGTCCTCCGTGCGCCTGCTGACCCTGTCCGGCTCCCCCCGCGGCCGCTGCGGAGGAGTGCTGACACCCCCAGGTGTGCTCCTGGGTCCGTCAGCTCCTGCATCCGGGTTCTGTCCGTTCTCGCCTCCTGTGTTTACAAGCCTTGGGATTCATGCGTGTTTGGGATTGCTGTCTTTTTGCTGGATGAATTCTTTTATCACTATAAAATATCCCTTGTCATCCCTGTCAAACTTCTTATTCTGAAGCCTACTTGAACTTCAACAGATTTTCTTTGTAAAGAATTCTGCCTATCACTTTTTATTGAGCTTCTCATATAATGAAACTGGAAGTCTGACTGAGATTGCACTGGATTTATAGATTTATTTGGGGAGAACATCTTCAAAATATTAAGTCCTCTCAATAAGAACATTGAATGTCTTTTATTCTAATCATCCTATTCTTTATTATAATTTTAAAGTTGTTTTCATAGAAATGTGTAGTGTGGTGTCCCAAAGCCAAGTGAAGAAATGTCTCACTTACCCACAGTCCGTGGGTCTGCCTCCTGTGGCAGAAATAAACCCCTCGAGTTTGTTCCTAGCCGCTCCTACAGGCGGAGGGGTGGTGGTCAGGAGCAGGGGTTCTGTTGCCCCTGCGTGCTGTGTCGCACTGGCTCCATCGCGTCCTGAGTGTGCAGCCTTGGGCAGATGCTCACCTGTCTGTGCCCTGGTCTCTTTGTTAAATGAGGACTGCGGGCCCTGCCTGGTGTGGCTCAGCCGGTTGGGCATCATCCTGCAAAGCAAAAAGCGGGCAGTTCAATTCCCGGTCAGGGCACATGCCTGGGTGGTGTGTATAAGAGGCAACCAATAGATGTTTCTCTCTCCATCGATGTTTCTATTACTGTCTTTCTCCTCTCCCTTCTTTCTAAAAATAAATAAATAAATCTTGTAAAAATTAGGGACAGTGGTATTACCTGCATCAGAGTCAAACAACTTGAGTTAATGTATGTAAAAGCATTTATAACAGTGCCAGGCACAATAGTAAGCTGTCATTAAATAGTATTCTCCGTTTTTATCACTACTGTTGTTTTTGTTGTCTTTGTATCAACAGTATCTAGCACAGTTATCTTACATAATTAGTGTTTAAAGTGTTTCTCAAACAAATGACTGTTAGCAAGATCTGAGGGAGAGACGGTGGGAAGGATGAGCTGGGTTGTTACTGGAATCCTCTGGAGGACTGTGTGGGCTCGCAGCACAGGGAAGTGGGTAAGGAAGGAACAGGGTCTTAACTTGCCAAGTTTGGAGTTTGTGAATGAATAGCTATTTCAAATGACTGACTAAATAAATAAAAATAGACACAAAGTTGTAACTTAAAGAGGAGAGGACAACCATGGATTATGAAAGATTTAAGAAACACATTCATATGCAATGTATGGCTAATTGAGTCAAACAAAGCAGTTTTTAAAAAAAAAATACTAAGACTCAGGAAATTTGTCAATGATAGCAATTTGGTATCTCAGAAATTATCATTTTTATCTGTAATAGTGTGTGGTTATGTATTAAAAGGCACTTCACTTTGAGATACATACTAAAATATTTACAGATGGAATTACATGGTGCTGGGATTTGCTCCAACAATCCAGGGGTGGGAAGGAGTAATAGGTGGGGTGAGAGGTCAAACAAGATGGACCGTGCGCCGGAAGTTGTGAAAGCCGGGCGGTAGTGGCCTGGGAACTCGTTGTAGTGTTCCTTCTACTTTTGTGTGTTTGAAATGTTCCGTATAAACAGTAAAGAAAGAATTGGAGGACTGTGTTTACCACTTGTAATGCTTGACTTTATTATACTAGATTAGAATTTGAGAAACAAAAAACTCGGCTTAATATTCAACTTGAATACAGTCGCAACCAGCTGAAGAAGAAACTAAACAAGATCGGCACGCTAAAGGAAACTATCCGGAAAGGCGCAGAAGATATCGGTAACCTGAAGAAGGTAATTACTAGTGACGTGTCTCATCACTGACATAACGACTTCCTTCATTGAATACACCTTGTTGTGCTCCTGAGTGTTACAGACGGGGTAGGGGCGCAGATGTGAGAAAGACGCTGAAGTCAAGTGGGCCCAGTCTCAGGAATGACTAGATTTGGGAGTGGGAGAGGAGGCGGAGGCGGAGGCGGAGGCGGAGGGGCGGGCCGCAGAGGGCTGGCCGTCACACAGGCAGCTGGGAGACAGCAGGAGCCGGTTAGGGAGAGAAAGCTCTGGACCTGTGGGGCTTGAGTTGCCTGGGTGACGTCTACCCAGCAGTTCCCATCAGGCAGTTCAGAGCGTGTAGGTAACAGGGGGGCCAGACTGGGCTGTGGGGTTCATTTGAAACCGCCTGTGAGTGGTTGAGACCCCCAGGCAGGGAGGAAGGCGGTGCAGAGCAGCAGAGGGGAGGGTTCTGGGGGAGCATTCACACGGGGGATGAAGCCCAGAAGCCACAGTTTCCAGGAGGAAGTGATGAAACTTGTCCAAAAAGGAAAGTCTGGCAAATGTCTAGCTTGCTACTGAAGAGGTCATAGCAGCAAGGACACTCACCGGACAGTGGGAAGGGAAGGCAGGGGCAGTGAGCCGAGGACTGAGTCCGAGCGCAGGACGAGGGCGGAGCGGCTCCCGAGGAGTGCGCGGGGGAGGGGCCTGTTCCGGGAGAGCTCCGGGGGCGCGCGGGGCGCGCGGGGCGGGCGAGAAGCCGCAGAGCTGTTGGCCTTACTGATGTGAACAGTGGTAAAGCTGCGATGCGCATCGCCTCCCCTCAGGCTGAAGAAGGCTGCCTGCGAGCTGTGGACGAGCTCGTCCAGAAGCGGCAGCAGCTGGAGGACACGTTTGCTGCTCAGAATTCCAAGGCTGAGAAAGTCCAAGCTCAAACTGAAGAGGAGCGGAAGAAGTTTTTGGCTGTTGACAGGTAATTAAGAAGTTCATCAGTTTGAAAGGCTATAACCAGAATTTTAAAGATATTTGCCATGAATTTGACATTTATTACAGGAAGTTTTATTATTTGAATATGTGTCCTTTGTTGCTTTTGGTCTCACATCACAGCTTTTAAACATCCTCATTTAGGGGAAAACCAAGCCACAGAGACCAACCAAGAGACTGTTTGGTTGTTTAGAGTGAGTAGTTTTGTTTGTTTGTTTGCTTGTTTGTTTTTATCCGCACCCAAGGACACTTCCCCATTGCCTTTGGGTGGGGAGAAACACTGATGCAAGAGAGAGGGGGGCATTGAATTGATTGGTTGCCTCCCGTTCGCCCCTGAATGGGGCATCCACACACGCCCAGATTGGGGATCAAACTCACAACCCCGGTGTGCTCCCTGACCAGGAATCGAACCTGAAACCCTCCGATTGCAGAATGGTGCCGCTCCAGCCAGCTGGCCCACACTGTCCGGGGCAAGAGTGCGTGGTTCTTGTTCACGGGTGAAAAGGTGGACCTGTGGAAGGAGTCCCTCACCCGCCCTGACTGGTGTGGCTTGGTTGGGCATCGTTCTGCAAAGGGGAAGGCTGCTGGTTGGCTCCCAGTCAGGGCACGTGCCTGGGTTGCAGGGTCGGATCCCAAGGCCACCAATCGGTGTTTCTCACATTGATATTTCTCTCCCTCTCTTTCTCCCCTTCCTTCCGCCTCTCTAAAAATAAATAAATAAAATATTTTTTAGAAGAGAGCCCCTTACCCTAAATTCCTCTTGACGCTGGTACTTTCCTTCTGCAGAGTCTCCCTCTAGTCTGTTTGCGCGACAAGGCGTGACAGGTGGGGACCATGACCATGACACGGCTGCATGTCCCATCTCGGCTCCCTGAATACCGTGCCCTCCTTCCCTCGTCAGCGGATGGGGTGGCAGTGCCTACTCAGGGAGCGGTGGTGAGGCTGAACGAGCGGCCGCTCACGTGGCTCTCAGAACAGTGCCTGGCACCTGACGGGCGTGTGCACTTGCCACGGTGATGACAGTAACTTTCTGGATCAGCTGGCTTTGTCGCACCAGCGTGACAGCGGCTTTCCCGTACCACCGGCACCACCCTCAGCGATCGGGTGCAACGTGCTCTGTCTCTGCTCGGCTTCTCGGCGTTTCACGGTTTTACCCGCTGTTCAGGGATGTTCAGTGTTGCAGGTGTTGACAAAAGAACATCCAACGTAAGAAAAAGTCTTGTGAGAGTTTACTTGAGCCACGCTTTAGACAATTACCAGGAGGCAGAATTGCAGTGGATCCAGAAATCCTTTCTCCATCTCTGCAGATCGAGAACGCTCTACAGAGCGGCAGTTCTACCGCTTCTTTTATACTTTGGAGTCTGAGGGGCAGACGTCAGAGTCACGCGAAACCCACTGGGTGTAGAGTGGGGTGTGTGGGGTGTGGGAGGCAGTAAAGCGGGGAACTCTCTGGGGCTGGGTAGAAACTAAAGCAGACACGCTGGTGGGTCGGGAGAGTTAATATCTAGCATCACAGCGCCTGGCTCTCGTTGCCCACAGGCCGTGGCTGGTGGCACGGTCTGAGGGCTCTGTGGCCGTGGGCTCTGGCTCTGGTGGGGGTTGCACCGCCCTGAGGGGTCTGGAAAGGGGGTTACTTGGACTTTCCACCATGTGCTGGATGCAAGAGACAGTGGACAGGCTCCCGTAGTGCAGACTGACCTTGGCAGGGCAGCTGCGGGCCTGGGACGCGACTGTCCGTGCCTTGTGTTTAGCGAGGAACGGTCAGACCGTCCCGTGAGGCCCCCTTCTGTCCCTGAGTTTGTGGGCCCCCACGAAAAGCTCCCCGGAGCTCGTGAGGGTCCGTGTGCGGCCCCTTTTCCATCTGCCCAAGACACAGCCAAAAGCTTTTTGTCTAAGATTCTTGAGTGCTATGAAAGTTTTGGGTTTTTGGTTTTTTTAAGATTTTATTTATTTATTTTTAGAGAGGGAAGCGGGGGGGAGAGAGAGAGAGAGAGAGGGAAACATCAATGTGATTTGCTGGGGGTTATGGCCTGCAACCCAGGCATGTGCCCTGACTGGGAATCGGACCTGGGACACTTTGGTTCCCAGCCCGCGCTCAATCCACTGAGCTACGCCAGCCAGGGCCAATGAAAGTTTTTTTACTCTTTAAAGTTTAAACAGAACCACATCTTTTGTTTGTTGTCATATTCTTGAAAACCATATAGTTTTATTTTTTGGTTCTGTTTCTAGGTTCTCTCTAAAATCACGTATTGTTTCAGCTGGTAGAATTCCCAGGCCCTCACTGAAGACAGAAGGCGCTACGTTAGTCAGTGGTGGCGGTAGTAACACAGTGCCGCGGGCTGTGAGGCGGAAAAGGGACTGAAGTGCGGGGTACCTCACCTGGCAAGGCGTCCCCGTCACTCAGAGACTTTCTTGGTCCAAGGGTCTAACATGCAGAGCTCACATCCAGGGGGGAATGCTGCTTGGGGGGGCGGTGAGCACACTGCAACGTGCAGGTGTGTCACGGGGTTGTACGCCTGAGGCCCGTGTGATTTTATTAACCAGCGTCACCCGCTCGATTCAATCAAATAAGTAAATAAATAAAAAGAAATGCAGCTTGGAAAATTGCACAGATTTAAAATGAAAGCAAGCAGAAAAGAAGTGTGTTATCGGTAGCCCGACAGAGGAAGAATGTTCGTTGTTGAGTGGTTCTCCCTTGGATTGACTCACCACCTCCCGCGGTGTTCAAGTTTCCGTTACCGCATCAGTAAGATCGCTTGAGAACTTACAGTCCTCACAGGAAAAAATAATTTTGGCAAGTTTAACATTTTTCTTCTTTGACGCAACTCTACATAGTGAGTAAAATATAATCGCTTTTTCATATCTGCGTGTTTGCAGGGAGGTGGGAAAATGGCAAAAAGAAGTTGTAACCATTCAGTCTTCGCTGGAACAGAAACGGCTCGAGAAGCATAACCTGCTGCTTGACTGCAAAGTCCAAGACATCGAAATAACCCTTTTGTCGGGGTCCCTGGATGACATCATTGAAGTAGAGGTATTCCCGAGGTGGTTTTGAATGGGCACGGTTGTGCCGAACTTGGTGCAACGCCCTTAGCCGCCCAGTGGCGTCCCCGCTGTGCAGGTCCTTCCCATGTGCTAGCACCCTGCAGGGCAGAGAAGACCCCCGCCTCCTGGGGCAGGAGAGGACCGATCAGGCGTCTCCAGAGGACCAAGCGGCAGTTCTCTCCTCCCTCTTGCTCCTCCAGGCCCTCTTAGCCCACAGACAGGCCTGTTTCTTACCTGTGTGGAGACCCGGGAGAAGTCAGAGAGTTAAAGCTTTGGGAGTTGAGAGGGGAAGGGACTCAGACATCTCGGGGACAGCTGTCCAGGCAGAGGCCGTGTGCTGGCCCCGGGGGGATATCGCCCGCCTGGTGCAGGTGGGGCAGAGTGAGAGCGGGCGGACTGGCACGGAAGTCAGGGAGAGGGGTGGCAGAGCCCCGGCTGGCTGGGGCCAGGCTGTCATGGTCTCATGGGCCAGATGTGAGTGAGGTGACAGTCGCTGGGAGAGGCGGGGCAGCGGAGAGCACCCCCGTGTCGGATGGCGAGGGAAGGGCTTCCTGTGTTTTCCAGCTGGGAACTGAAGTGGGAAGCACCCAGGCGACACTGGAAATGTACGAGAAGGAGGCAGCCATTGAGATAGACTACAGCTCTCTGCGAGAGGATTGGAAGGTAACTGGAAGATTTCCATTGTTTATGACTGACTGGCAGTATAGTGAATACTTAAATAATGTAGCATACGTTTTAGACCTTAGAGCATAAATTCAAGGGAAATGTAGATCTTCTAGTGAAGAAACAGCTGATAAAAATTAAACATTTATATCAGCGTTTCTCTCACTGTGCATTTTGCAGCGCACTAGTACCATGAAGTGTGTTGTGGAAGAAGAAAGCTTTTTGTGGTCACCAGTATTTTGATTCCCAATGAATTAGAGCATTTTAAAAGTCCTGCAATAGACGCGAGTAGCCAGCGTGCTCCGGCATGCTGATTGGCCCTGACCGTGCCCTGGGGCGGGACCTCAGCAGGCGCCAGAGCCTTCCCGGCTGCAGAGCGCAGGCTTGGAACCCAGGTCGCGGACTCGAACTCGGCGTCTCTGGCCCTGTTCTCAGTCATCCCTGGGGGCAGCTGCTGTCCGTGTCCGACCCGGTCCTGCACTGCTTCTCTCCGGGGGGCACAGGACTGCAGCCATTCTCGCTTTCCAGCCACAGCCGTGACCTTCAAAGGAGAGAGAGGCCTTTTGCAGTGGGGCTGTTCTTGAGGTTGAAGGAGAGCTTTTCCTACAAAGCTCCAGCGACCGTCCCCTCATTACAGTGCCCCAATGTGGGTCACGTGTTCATTCCACACCAGTCACTGTTGGGGTGGGCTGGGCTTAGTCTTGGGCCCAGGAGGCCCGCCACCCCGCCTCCCCCAGGCACGGGGGTCTGTGAGGGAGAGACGGTCAAACGTGGGCTGTGTGGGAAAGGGGGGGATGTTGCTGAGGGGAGGGGTGCCGCGCAGCAATACCCGCCACATCTTTTCATGTGTTCGTGATGTATTTTGTTACATTTGTTGGGCCTTTTCATTGTATTTGTGGTATTTGTGGGCAGTCAGAAAGAAGCTTATATCTTTTCTACAGTCTGTTTAGTGCTTTCATACTTGGAGAGTCCTTTACACCTCATTACTGAATAAATATAAGTATTTTTCCTGTTTATGTTTTTTTTTGTTTTCATTCACTTATGTAATTCATCTGCAATTTCTTTTAGCATATGGTATAAGGTAAGAATCTGTTTTGGAAAAGGTACCTAAGTTAAGCAGTTTACTCAGTGTTTTTCAAATAATTCTTTTCCCGATAAATTAAAAAGTCCCCTTTATCGTGTGCCGATTAATGCCCTGGCGGGGGGGTCAGGACAGTTTTCCCGGCAGGTCACGCCCACACCGCTCGTTCCCTCCTCCTCGCCCCTAGCTGCTCGGGCTTCGGGCCTCGGCTCCCCTGGCGCCCCGGGTGGGCTGGAGGGCGCCCTGGCCTCGGGGCCTGCGCTCGCCTGCCGGAGGCTTCCGCGCTGCTGTGGGTGCCGCACTGCTGTGGGTGCCGCACTGCTGCGGGTGGGTCTGGCTTCCTGTGAGCTCTTCAAAGGCAAGAATAGGACAGGTGGAGTTTTGTTTAAGATTTTATCTATTTATTTTCAGAGCAAGGGGAAGAGAGGGAGAAAGAGAGGGAGAGAAACACCAATGTGCGAGAGACACATCAATCGGTTGCCTCTCACACGTTCCCAACTGAGGATCTGGCCCGAAACCGCGGCATGTGCCCTGACCGGGAATTGAACTGGCAACCTTTTGGTTTGCAGGTTGGCACTCAATCCACTGAGCCACACCAGCCAGGGCAGGTTTTTTGTTTTTTAGTCATTGAATTCTCCATATCTGATAGTAGATGGTCAATATTTTTAATGGATGAGTAAATGAAGGAAATACATGAATTGTTGGTTTTTAGGCAGATTAAGAAATATGGAGGTGAAGCACGTTCCAAGACAGCGGCATCTATAACAGTAACTAAACCACAGCCCACGTGGGAAGCCGCACACGGCCCACCTGATGCGTCAGACGGGGACAGGGCGGTGAAAAGGGCGGGGTCGGACCCTGCAGGGCCCTGTGCCCGGTCCCTTAGCAGTTCGGGTCTAAAAGGCTTGCTAATCCTTGCTGTTCTTTGCCAACAATAGGCTCTGCAAGCTGATAAAGAAGTGGAGGCCCACCTGAGGCTCCTCCTGCAACAAGTAGCAGCGCAAGAAGACGTCCTGTTGAAGACGGCGGCCCCAAACCTAAGAGCCCTGGAGAACCTGAAGACCGTCCGAGACAAGTTTCAGGAGTCCGCAGACGGTGAAGGGGGGGCTCCAGTCGTTGGCAGGGTCGTGCTCTGGGGGTTGGGTTGGTTTCTCCAGCAGTTACCAGCCGCTCCCCCTGGATTGTGCATGTGTTTTTATTATATATTTTTCTTTGTTGTCTTATATTAATGTGTACTTTTAACACTGAATCACTTTTAATTGCTTCCCTTTTGAAAAGTGTTCTGCTTTAATTTAAAAACAAGTTCATTGTTTTTGAACAGATAATATATTTTTTAAATCAGCATAATAGGCATATTAGATACTTTATTAGAACTAATCATTGTTACTTAAAAATTCACCCCAACAGAAAAAGGGCTTATCAATTGCACAAGGCATGTTTGTGGAGTTAACAATAATTTATGTTTTCAATGTAGATTTTATTCAAGATATCCAACCTCAAAATCCAGTTTTTAAAATATCTTATGCTGTAAAATCAAAGAGAAGCTCCCCAGTGGTCTCTAAAATAAAGAACGTTGATTCTCTCTTAGCTTTTGAGGCCAGCAGAAAGGAAGCCAGAGTGTGTAGGCAAGAGTTTGAGCAGGTGAAGAAAAGGAGATACGACCTTTTCAGCCAGTGCTTTGAGCACGTCTCAGTCTCAATTGACCAAATCTACAAGAAGCTCTGCAGAAACAACAGTGCCCAAGTACGTATTTTTCACCCCAAAATGTTGTTGGGAACTTTGTGTTATTGGTGGTGCTTTTTTCCGGTGGGGAATGAATACCCACCACGTTATGTGAGTGGCCCGCTGACGGGGCAGGCCCAGCGGGTTAAGACCGGTTATCCCGGTGGCCCGTCCTAGACCCCACGTGCCCGACCTCGGCCGGCCGGGACAGTTCCAGGAATCCAGTCCTGGCCCTTCGTCTGCAGAATGAGTGGGTTCACGCACCTGGTTTCCCAGTTCTCTTTAGTTCGGGACTTACGTCGACTGGCACTAATTTGGTTCTGTTGAACTGCCAGTGGTCTCTGTAGCGGCGGGGGGGGCAGGGGGAGTAGAGAGGGTCCCGCAGATGGTTGAGCTGGGGTCTGTGGAGTTGGCCCGAGTAGCGAAGGAGAGGAAAGAACTCAAGGCCCGGTCCAAACCCACACGGGTGGACCATAAAGGCGGTCCCTGCGGCGAGCACTCCCCCTGCCGTCGTCAGCACCCACGGCGGGTACCGTGGGCCTGAACGTGGGACAAACACACGGAGATCGGGTCTTACGTGTCTGCTCCTGCTCTTTCTCGTGGTGCCCTTTATGGCTGGGAGCTGCCCTGGAGCAGATGTAATTCCCTCAGCTTCAGTGAAGTGGGACCGAAAAGACCCACTAACCCGCTGCGGGCAGGGCTCACCTCTGTGCCTCCTGCACACGGCCCCGAACGGGCGCTCAGTGAGCCATTGGCAGATGGACCGAGGCGCGAACGCATGCAGACCTCTCTGAGACCCGCACGTGCTGCTGCGGTGTGAGTGGCAGCCTCCCGGGAGGCCCGGTCCTTCCCGTGTGAGAGGATGCCGCCCTCCTCCCAGACAGGCAGCCCCGTGTCTGACGACACGTGGGGCTAAGTCGTCATTCACGGGCATCGGTCCTTTCCATCAAACGGGGGGCGGGGGGACCTAACCAATAAAATACTTCGCAATTAGCCCTCTCGCAAATCCAGGTTAAAATCTACTGACTGCTTCCCTGATTTTGCTAAATAGATACGTGTGTTTCAGGCATTTCTTAGCCCAGAGAACCCTGAAGAGCCTTACTTGGAGGGAATTGGCTACAACTGCGTGGCCCCCGGCAAGCGGTTCATGCCGATGGACAATTTGTCAGGGGGAGAGAAGTGCGTGGCCGCTCTGGCTCTCCTGTTCGCCGTGCACAGGTAAGGTCGCCGTGGGCCGGGGACGCCACAGCAGGGCGGACACCAGGGGACCCCCCACCGGATCCTGCTGACTGCGTGTCTTTGCTCGGGTTTATTTAGCAGTATGTGATACAAAGCTGTTTTCACCAACCAGACAATTCAGGCGATGTTTTATGTCTACAGCAATTTAAACAAAATCTAAGAGAATTCGATCTTTGGCAGATTTTTATTAAATTTCTGTTACTAATATTTCAGCTTTATACAAAAGCAAGTAGAAAAATAAATATTTGGAATGGCCAAATGTGAGTGACATCAGAACTGCCAAAAAAAAAAAAAACAGTTAAAACAAAACACCCAGCGTGTACAGTATTTCCTAGTCCATATTCAGAGATCTGCTGTTTAGTAAGAATGTTAAGCAAAGTATTTCTTCTGAAAGAAAAAAAAGTTTCACCCCCCTCATTTCCACCGATGATGGTGGCACTGTTCATAAGGTCAGTCAAGAAAAAGTTAGCTGATGAAGGCAGTTAGCTTGCAGCGTCCAAAGCATTGCGTGAAGGTCCCGGGTGCAGGCGCTGCTGCCTGCATCCCCGTGGTCTGCAACAGCGACCTGGGAGTTCTGCGGCTGGTTGTCACCGGTCTGGAGAAGGAAGGGGAGCACACCCTGCAGGAAGAAGAAAGACAGTAGCGCAGGGGCGCTGAGGAAGGCAGGGGGGGATCTAAACAGGCGCCTGCGCCGAGTAAATCTTCCCGGAGAGATTTCCGCTGTCACCCCGTCCATTGCCGCAACAGCTACTCACTCAGTGTCTACTGTGTGGCCAGTGGTGGTTGTGCACTGGGGAGACGGCAGTGAACAGAACGAGATCTATGCCTCAGAGACACCTCGTTCTAGGCAGGGAGACAGGTGGTAAATCGGGTGTACTAGCAAATGAAATCTCTCATGTGGAGACTTGGAGAAAATGCCAAATGCTGCAGAGAGACAGAGCAGGCAATGCGGACTCTAAGCAGCAAGGAAGAGATGTAGCATTAAAAAGGGTTACCTGGGAAAGCCGCTTTGAGAAGGTAACAGCTGAGCAGACACGTGAGGGCACTAAGGAAGCAAGTGCTGGCACAGTGAGGGACAGCTCTTGCAGACGTGCAGATCCGCGAGTGCGAGGCCCTGAGGCCAGTGACACTGTGCGGCCGCGGCAGGCACCGGGACAGGACACCGCTGTCGGACGGGGTGCGGGGTGCACACAGAAGGGGCGGAGGCGGGCGTGGGTGGGGCGGAGGGGTCGGGGAGGGCGGCTCCGTGCCCTTTGGTAAATCAGTCCAGCCGGTAAGAGCTGCCATCAGCTGAGGAGGGGAAGGCCGCAGGAGGGCATAGGGTGGGGAGGACAGGTGAAGAGTTTGATTTTGGGGGAGTTTGAGTTATTTATTAGACACCCACCAGGCACTGCTGAGTAAGCTGTTGGGTGTTTGAGGTGAGTTCAGGGGAGAGATCAGAACCTTCGGCAGAACCGTGGACCCATCCACGGGTGGATGTTGTTTATGACCTTGGGAGCAGGTGGAATCGGCAGGGGAGCCAGTGAGAGGAGTGCTGGGAGCCTGAGCCCCGGGGGTGCTGCAGTGCCCAATGGGGAGGCAGGGGCGGTGAGTACAGGGGGTGGCGGGGAGTAGACCCTGTCGCCCTCGACATCGGAGGAACAGGCGAGAGGACCGCCCCAGGCTCCGCCACCTGCGAAGGTCACGTGGGATGTGGACGAGAATTGAGCATTAGGTCTGGTGACATACAGCTCATCGGTGACCTAGACGAAAGCATCCAAAGCGTGCATCTCATTTATCGGAATGTGGCTGATCCTCTCCTCCCGGTCTTTTGTAAAACAGATGGGAAGTTGTGACTTGTCCTTTTTCCTAGTTTTCGGCCTGCTCCGTTCTTCGTTTTGGACGAAGTGGACGCAGCCCTGGACAACACCAACATTGGCAAAGTAAGTGTCCTCCTGCTTCTCGTTTCCAGCGGGATGCCTGTCATTCAGGGAGCATGTTCTGGTCAGGCGGCAGTGTACCCTGAGCAAAAATCGTTTGTTTGGTAATTGTTGATGAAGAGTCAAATGTAAGTTAAATATCTAAACACAGAATGGTTTGGACAGTTTAATCCAAAGCTTAGGGGACCGTCCGAGTTGAGGGTTCCACAGGAGCCACGCGAAGACGGCGGTGCCAGCCCCCAGCACCGCCCCGAGTAACCAGCTGCCTTCCGAGTTACATGCTGGGACGTTCGAGTCACCGGTAGGCCCCGGGGCAAGCAGGGCCAAGTTAGTTGTTATGAAGTCCAAAAACAACATCTCTAAATAAAATTCCAAAGCAATTAAAGTTCACAGTCGTGCCCCTCTGTTTTATTTATTAAAATGTATCCAGTTACTGCACTTGTGTGTGGCCCAGTTTCCAGTATTGGAGACAGTGAGGGAACCGAGGAAGCAGTTAACCCGAGAGTTCAGTTTCAGGTCAGCCGTGAGGGTCAGTGCGCAGACGCCCAGGCCGCACGTCTGACTTCTGACGTGAGGAGGGGGCCGGCCACGGAAGCATGACCAGAGGACAGAGGCCCACATGGGCAGGACCCATCACTGCCTGCGTCGGTGGGGGGGGCAAGTGCCTGTGGCCTGCGGACTCCTGGCGCGACGACCCTCCTCCTGCCCGCGCACACCCACGTTTAGAGCCGGGTGAACGGGAGTGCTGGTTCCGATTTGAGGCACGTGCACCTTCCACAAACGACTGGGCTGCGTGTTACGGCTGCCAGCCAGGAGACTGCTCCGGTCGTGCTGACGCATGTGCTCTCACTAGTAACTTGCAAATGGGCATTCTGGTTCACACCTTAGTCTCTCGAGCTTAGTTGGGGTCCCCCTCCCTGAGACGTGCATTTGCTCTCGGGGTGCCATGCAGGCCCCGAGTCTGAAGCCGACCTCCCTGATTTCTTACTGAGTCTCGGGTGAAGGGCCCGGGAGAGGGAGGACTTGCGGGAGCTGCAGCCCCAGGCGGCTTCTGAGGGCGTGCACACGGCCTCTCGGCATCTCCCAGGACGCACGCGTCTCGCCCCGGCCTCTCTGGGAGCCCGTTTCTGGACGTGTTTCAGTGCGACTAAGAACAGCACAGCTCCAGCCCCCCAGCACTCAGTCCCCCGAGCCCTGTAGCGGGCAGGCACGGGCCGCGTTCTGTGACCTCCCAGACTTTAGGGGCACTGGGAGAGGAATACGGGCACAAAAGAACACCTTGTCTCTTGAATGCCAACCAGTCTGCATCAGGGAACTGGGCTCCAAGGCCTGGCTCCCTCGGGAGAAATCACCCCTTTGATTAACTGGGCACTGTGTGTCCTCTGTCCTGTGTGTTACAGAGCAGTGGGCGTGTGTCTTAGTAGACGGCGTCTTTTCTCAGTGGCATTTGAGATGCCTGTATCTTCTAGCAAAACGCAGATGTTTGTGTTAATGGCGTCTCCGGGAACTAGGTCTTACTTAAGACTCTCCTCTGTTACTCTCCATCCTGCGTGTTACAAACTTCTTCACTCCAGTTTCCCTTTGAGATGTGCGTTCCTGGCGCTCCGTTGCCGTACTGAGTCTCGGCACTTAGTACAAACAACTGTGACGTAGCTCCTCTCCCGCTCGGACCAAGGTGCCCAGCATTCGTCCTAGGTCACCCTCCAGCAGAATGCAGGCCTTCATCACTACATCCTGTCTCCTCTTCCTCCGGGTCAATGTCCCAAGACTTTTCCAGTCCTGCAGCACAGTGGCTCCCGCGGCCTACAGTGCGGGGGTTCTTCTGTCCGCTCAACCTCTTAGCCAAAAGCCATCCCCCTCTCCTCACCTTTCAGCTCCGCTAGTGACTCGGTGCTCACCAGAAGCTTGCCGTTCCTGCTTCCGGCGCTGCGTCCTCAGTGTCTGGGGTGCAGTCGGGACTGAAACACACGGAGAAGACCCATTCTGGGCACAGGGGGAGCCGGGGAGCTGGCAGGTGTCTTGTTCAACTATGGTTTAGGTCCAGGTTCATCATCGTTCTCCAAGTTCTGAGCAGTTTGTTACTAAGGCCCGTTTCTATCCGAACTGTTCTGTTCTTACTCACGTCCCTTAGAACTGCCCTCCTTGAAGAAACTGAGTTCACCTCGAACCGAAGGACCGGATTGTAAACACGCGTCATCGCCGGGTCCTCCCTGTTTCCAGGCTCTGGGCTGGCCAAACAGGGAGTGGGGAGCCCAAACACCACTGTCCTTCACCCCCGTCACACATCCGCGTGGTAGCTCTTGTTTCATCTGGTTACAGAGGCTGATTGCATATTTATAGCACATTGTGGATAAAGAAAAGTTTACTCTGAAAAATATTCTTGAAGTTTTAGATCCTAGATCTAATGAGGTTTGTGATTTTACTAACCTCTTACGTTAGAGCCTGAGCTCGCACTGTTCCTGCGCTTGTGCCGGGTTTACCGGACTACCGGGAAGCAGGCGGGTGTCCGCCACCTCAGACGGGCCGCCCGAGGCCGGCCCGCGGGGACACTCTCCCCAGAATCCGGACACGAGGGCCTTTCTCACTGGTGGAAACTGTGCTTTCTCTCTCCTCCCAGGTATCAAGTTACATCAAAGAGCAGACTCGAGAACAGGTTCAGATGATAATCATTTCCCTAAAAGAGGAGTTCTATTCCAAGGCCGACGCTCTGATTGGCATCTACCCGGAGGTAAAGATGGGGCGGGGGGTTAGACCACCTTCCAGGGTCCTGACGCACAACCGCAGGCTCGTCATGGAGACCGTAGATACTGTTTGGTTTCTGCTGTTGATAACTACGGGCTTAAATTGTTTTTAATCAAATAAGATTTAAAAGTGCTCAGATATTTTTCTTTGGCAATACAGAGACTTTAAATATAAAAAGCAAATACAAAACTGCAGGGCATTTCTTTGAAAATAATAATATACATTAACTACACAGAGTAAACTTAATATCGTAGTTCATACTTCTGTAACGTTTGAATGTTTCAGGCAAAGACAAATGCATTGTGGTAGAACTAACAAGGAACCATGTGCCTTCCGAAAGTACCAGAGGAGAAAAAAAACATTGACCGGAAGTTCCAGGTTGCACAGTACCTGGTAGAATTTGGACACGCCTTTCTTAGGCTGTTCCAGAACACTCAAGCTCATGCAGCAGAGCAGCTAGTTCTAGTCATTCCACTTTTGACAGTGAGGCTTTCCTCTGTGAGTTTCCTTTAAGCTGAGATAGAACATAGTTTCCCTTCCTGAGCCTATACAATGTTCGGGGGCCATGGGAGCTTTGCCGCAGGAGGGAAGTGAGAGCTCTCACCCCACGTGGGAGCGGAAAACAGTGTCCTTCTTAGGGCCTCGGCGGGGCCTGCGCGTCAGACGGGCCAGACAGGTTCCCGAGAGAGAAACTGGCCGGGGTTCATGAACTCGAGCGTGGCGCCTGAGTAGCCAGAGGGGTGGCCAGAGCTTGGGCCCCTCTGCTGCCTTAGGCTGTAATTAGCGAAAGGGGCTTCCGGCTTCAGCCAGGGTGGTGACGGGAAGGCGACCGGGAAGTGTGTGGGAAACAAGTCGGGTCTGCGCTGCAGACTCAGACGGGCGCCTTCTCTGTTGACAAGTTGTTAAGAGTAGGGAAGGCACCCTCAGGTACGGAATGTAAGTTTCCTTCACAAGAGGAAAGCTCGTACCCAGGTCTTGTAGCTCTTCCTGCATCTGCGGGTTCTCGGAGCTCAAAACAGTCCACGTGCCCAAGAACCATATTTTGGCATGGAATAGTCTAGTACTCTTTACCGGATAATACACAAAATAAATCAGTAAAGCTGATGGAAATGCAGACAATTGATACCTTCTTAGGTGGCCATAAGGAATTTCCTTTTTAAAGGCAAATCTAGATTCACTATTGGCTCTAACTTTACATGTAATAGCACCTTTTCCTATGTGGAAGGACTAACTTTCGACTCTCTGCTCTCGATTGCAGCATGACGACCACATGTTCAGCCGAGTCTTGACCCTAGACCTTTCTCAGTATCCAGACACCGAAGGCCAAGAAAGCAGCAGGAGACAGCAGGAGTCTTTTTAGGGTCCACAGTGCCCTTGAGCCACTGCCAGCTCTCAGAGCAGGTCAGGCAGCGGCCAGGGTCCCCACTGTTCAGTTCTCACGCGAATGTTCAGACCCAGGCTGGGCTGTTCAGTTGGCCGCAGCATGGTTCCGTGCACCGAAAGTCTGCCGGTTCAATCCCCGGTCAAGGCACATACCTAGGTTGCAGGTTCAATGCCCAGTTGGGGAGCATACAGGAGGCAACTGATTGATGATGTCTCTCTCTCGAAAAAGAAAAATCAATTAAAATAAGTCCTTGGGGTGAGGATTTAAAAAAGTGAAAGCTTAACCATTTCCAGCCAAAGAGGCTGTTGCTCATTTCCATCAAGGAGTGCTCAGGCCTCGTTCCGGCAGGTGGGTTCCTGTGAGTCGGCGTTGGATGACTTGCCGAAAGAGGGTGCACGTTTGCACCCCCATTTTCACTTCATGTTGAAAGCCAGAAAAACTTTGAATTCCACATCATCTTCACTCTGGTCTTGCCTTGTTCGTTTAAGTCATCTTTAAAGGGTACTCTTGGTTTCTAAATGTACCCGTTACAGGATGTTGAGCCTGGGTTTTATGAGAAATAATTTCAGAGGAACTGATGTCAATATGAAAATATCAATTAAAAATATTCTAATTTCAAACGTCTCCAGTCTAGTTTTATAAGCAAAAAACTTAAGGAAAAATTGAATTATGACTGCTCCAACGTAATGTAAATTTTTTCTAAATTTGTTAGGAAGGACACGAGCACAGGTGTTCCCAGCTGCCTTCTCCACACACGCACTCCATTGTTAACAGGTGGGGGAGAGAGTTGCGTAACTGTCAACAGTGCTTCCCCTCCCTTTCAGAGCGACTGAACCACGCCAGGGTGCGGCAGTCTTCTACTTAAGGTTGCTTTGGGCCCCAGAGCTACCACCCGAGGAGCAGCCTCCTGAAGTGATTGAACTGCTTCTGAACAACACTCGTCGTTCCATGTGACAGACCGCACCTGTGCCCGAGAACTTAGGTCCCAAGCCGTGCGTCCTGCCCTCAGCAGTTCGTCTCTGAACCGCAGAGCAGAAGCCACTCCTCGGGTCCTTTGTCCTTGTCCCAGTGCTGGCAGTGCCATCTAAATCCCCGACTTCCTCTGCCTGGAAAGATATCAGCCTGACACTGTAATGTCCCTGTAGTGCCACCTGAGCTCAGTGCCAACCCTCCTCTTTCCCTGGGCTGCTCTCGTAACTTGGAGTCAGACTGCCAGTTCTGAAGCGGCGTCCCCACCCACCCCACTCCTGAAACCACCCCGCTGTGGAAGACAGAAGCACTGGGCAACGGGAAACACGGGGCTGGAGCACCACGTCCCCGCCCCCAAAAAGGGAACCTAATAAAACAGTTGGTTTACACCCATTAAATGGTTAGGAACTACTGTAGTAAACGTGGCACTTTATCCTGAGAGCGCCCTGAAGTCAGCCCGTGAGCGGGCGTCCCCGGATTCGGTGGTGGAAGGGGCGAGTCGGCGGGAGCTGGCGGCGGAGGGGCCGGCGCAGGTGCACTCGCTGCGGTCGGCACGCACGTCTCCACGCGCTCTGCACAGCTGGGCGCAGTTGTCTTTAAGGGCCCTCGAGTAAGTAGTTCAGGCTCTGGTGAGGCAGCACAGGGTATTGCTTGTGTAACTTTAAAATATAACCTCATGCTTCCCGTGGACAACGCTGTACATAAGCAAAGCTAGTAAGCTCGAGTTGTTCCTCCTTGATCAACCGTGCTGGACTAAGTTTGCACTTTAAAACAAGTGTCACAGCAGAACTGTGGACAGGTCCACTCGTAACAGGGAGGCCTGCACCCCTCGGCACGGCTCAGAGCAGGTCCTGAACCGGCTCGTGGGACCTTTCCAGGCTCCTGTCTGTTTCACGTCGCCTCCGTGCTTGTGCCCTTGCCGTACCCTGTGTCGGCCAACTTGCAGATTCGCAGAGCCGTCCCTGATTGCACTTCGTGGGTCCTTGAAAAACAATTTAAAGTCACTTTTTAAAAACCTGAAACATACTTCTGGCCAAGATGGAGGCATCGGTAGACACACTGTGCCTCCTCGCACAACCAAGATAGGGACGACAACAGAAACAGAATATTTAACAGTGACAACCAGAGCTGACAGAAACTGAACCGTATGGAAGTCGGACAACCAAGAAGTTAAAATAGACCTGTCCATCCAGACCGGTAGGAGGGGCGGGGGCGGGCAGCCGGGCGCGGGTCACGGCTCGGAGAGCAGAGCGCGTTGGGACCGGGCACGTAAAGCATCCGGGGCGCGCAGGCGGCAGCGGGCGGACCCCGGCCGAGGGGTGGCAAACAGCAGACCCAGCGAGGCGGCGACTGTGAAGCAGGGCACTGCGCACAACCCAGGGTCCCGGCGCTGGGAAACGGAGCCTCGGGGCACTGATTGAAAACACCTGTGGGGGTGAGGCGCAGGGAGAGACTCCCGGCCTCTCAGGAGAGGTCGCTGGAAAGTCCCACGGGGTGCACAAGCCCACCCACACGGGAATCGGCACCAGAGGGGCCCAGTTTGCTCGGGGGAAGAGGCAGAAAGGACTGAGGCCTGACGGAGAGCAGAGCAAGTGCCACTGTTCCCTCTCGAACCCGCCCCCACACACAACGTCACAACCCTGCGACTGGGGTGCCCTGCCCTGGGGAACACCTAAGGCTCCGCCCCTCATACGTAACAGGCGCGACCAGACCAAAGGCGGGGAGGGAGATGGCTTAAACGGCATGGAAGCCCCACAACCAGTTCTTTTAAGCGACAGAGAGACAGCCAACCTATCGGATGCAGTTAAAAGCACTGGTGATCAGGATGCGCACAGAATTGGTTGAATTTGGTCGCAAATTAGATGAAAAAATGAAGGCCACGCTAAGTGCAATGAAGGAAAACGCACAGGGAACCAATAGTGATGGGAAGGAAATGCACAGAAAAGCATATGGGAAATGTGGAAGCTAAAGAACTTACGACGCATGGACATGAACTAAAGGGGGGAATGTGGGCGGGAGGGGGTGTGCAGGGTGGAGGGGAGTGAAGGGGGGAATGGGACAACTGTAATGGCATGATCAATAAAATGTATAAAAATAAACCACATTCAAGTAATCACCTGATTTCACAACTGAGTGACACCTCATGGTAAAAAGTCTCATTAAATAAATTAAAGCAAGCTTTGTCATAACTGAGGAAAAGTTGAGCACACAGTTGAAGTTAAATTTTTATTTATGACCAGAGTAGCATAAAATTTGTTTTTCATGCTTTGGAAAGGAGACAAAGGTCTGACATAGGCCTCCGGCTTATCTCACCCCCTCCGCGTCCCAACCTTACGCTTCTTGTTCTTTACACCCGTGGGGAGCTCCGGTGCCAGCAGCGGGAAGGGGCAGAGTGCTCGACACGAAACGCCTTGTGCAAACAGCCCCTGACACAGAAAGCAGGCAGGGCCTTTGCCGTTCACAGAGCGACTCCCTGCACGGGCACAGCGGGTGGCAGCCCTCTCTGCCGCCTGCCGAGGGGCCCCGGGAAACTAGTGTTGGCGTCTCTGGTGCTGCGGTCCCTCCCTTTGCAAGGTCTGCCTGCCACGCCCTGAGTGAATCCGTTCACGGGGCCGTGGGAGGGGATGTCAGGAGATGTGCACCGAGAGCCTCGGATGGACGTGGGAAGCTTGGAGTTTATACTCAACTAAAAGTTAAAAACCGGGTCTGTGCTCCACTTGTAACTTCTCAGATACCAGCTGCAAAACGGACCTGCAGAGCACGGAACTGCACTTGGGAAAAGGTCCTCCCTGTTTCTCCGTGACTTCGCTTCTGGCGGTAGTTAGACTTGTCCTTCTTTGGAACTGAAGTTACTAAGATTGTGGAATTCCAAAGAAGCCCTATTGGTCTAGTCACTCTTTTAAAAGTCATACCACTCTCACTGGGAGAGTCCATGCCTGGAATATTCTTACTATATTACAATATAACAAACACACCTGAAAAGTTTTTTCTATAGTAATAGAGTTTCTGCATAAAAATTATAAAATTTAAGAGTTTAGGTTTTTATTTTCTCTTTGGCAACTACTGTTGCTTGGACAGTCTTCACTCTCTCCCTTTTATTAGAAAACCCACTTTGACAAAAAGGGGGGTGTCGAGTGGGAGCCCAGGATACCGGGCACCGTCCTTCCTGCCGATCGGGCCCCTGAGGTAGTTGTCCACCAGCCCTCACAAAGGGCACCTGGAGTGTGCGCTTCACCCCCCCGGCAGTTAGACACACACGGGGGACTGTCACCCAGCCTCCTCGGGCCACACCCCCGCAGGGCCCTCTCGGGGAGCATGACAGTTTAGAAGCGAGAGATCTGTGTGGAGTTCGGGTGCGGCGCTGCGGTTACCGAAGGCTGGCCTTCAAGTCACAGGTTTTACTGGTTTTAAAAATTTCAAGATGCTCCAGCATCATCTGTTCAAACAGAAAGAAAGGAATACCAAAATGTTAAGATTCAGTTTCAAAAAGTATGTGCCATAGGGTTTCTGTTTTGGAAAAGTCAAGTTTTTTTTCTTTTGTGCCAAAGACTCAGAACACACGTCCACAATGGAAATAGTAGCCACGGTCCAGAAAAGACCACGGAGCGGTAAATACCATCAGGGGACATGGTGTTTACAAAGACACGCAGAAATCTCCACCCGTGAACAGGGGTGCTCTCTCCCTTCTTGGGGCACCGGGGGCGGGGCAGTTTCAGCACGCGTAATGGAGCCTGTTCAAGTGCAAAGACACATGAAGCTCAGCCCACACGGATGGGAGCCCACCATGGTCCCCTCCGCTCTCCAGCCTGCGGGAGCGGCCAGCAGCACCAAGAAGATGGACCTTGGCTCTCACCTGCATGCAGAGCAGGACAGCTTTCTGCAAGAGAGACCGAGCGCTCCGTCTGAACAGACAGTTGCTGGACGGGCAGTGGCACCGGAGGGGCCCGGGGATGGCCGCACAGCAGGTCCCCGGGCAGAAAGCCCTGCCGCCGGATCCACACACTCCCGCTCCGAGCCCCCACCGAGGGGGGGAAGCTGCGTGTCTGCGGCAGCGGCGGAAACCACCACCTGGGCCTGCCTTTCCACACACCTGCCGGCCCTGCGGACGCCGGTGGAGGAGAACCACTCACCTGGAGGAAATGACTCAAAAGCACGAGTCTTGTTGTTTGTTTTTACTCAGTTCCAGTCTCTGCCGGCTGAATTCACAATCCACATATTTGCTACAAGACTTGGAGGAATTTTATACAAGATGCTATCACAATGGAATTCTCCTAACGACTATATGCTGAAGTTGTACAAAACACACTAAATTTGTGCAAAATCGAAGTGAGAGCCTGTGGAATCTGCTGCAGTTGTGGCTCGGCCGTTTTCCCACGAGGTCCCCAGTGCACGCTCCCCGCACCCGCCGAAGACAGCAGGGGGCCACAGCCTCACCCGTCTCCTGCCGAGGGTCCTAACTCCACTCTCTCTGCAAGCGGCCGTTTTAACAATTGCTTTGTTTGTTGACTTTCTTTGATTACATGTTATTTGCATTCATTATGAATCTTCTTATCTACAACAGACTATTTCAACAGTTCATGATCCTTGTGTCGTAGAAGGAAATACGTATCGTGGTAGGGCTCACACTTATCCACTGAGAAATTAGTTTACATGAGAAATAAGTCACTAGCAGGGGAGGTAAATGCTTCATGGCTCCAAAAACTATTAGATTATTATACAGGTGTTTAAGAGTGTTTTCCTGAGGTTTTCTTATAAAGTAGCAAAAAATAAACTCTGGCCCAGGCTGGTGTGGCTTAGTGGATTGAGTGCCAGCCTGCAAGCCACAGGGTCACGGGTTCGATTCCCCGGTCTAGGGCACGTAACTGGATTACAGCCGGGTCCCTGAGGGTGGGGGGTGCGTGCAAGGCAACCACACACTGGTGTTTCTCTCCCTCTCTTTCGCCCTCCCTTCTCTCTGGAAATAAATAAAATTTTTAAAAAATAAACTGTTATCTGAAAACCCTGCACACCAGTGTTTTCAGGAATGAGGTAGAGTCAGGTACCCAGAGAAGTCTCTGGTTTGTCTAGAGATTTAAAAATATTAGTCATATAATGATAGGCTATGAGAAAGAATAAGAAAACAAGAGTCCCTAGAAATTAACCATAACACTGTCAAAATAAAAGTTTAACCCAAAGGCTAGAATATAAATTCAAGAACCTCAGATTTTGAAAAAATGAAAATTAAAGCATTACAGAAACAGCAGACAGGGGAACTCAGTCTGGGAGACCCCAACTCGTGTGAAGAACGCAGGGAGAAGACAGAAAGGGACAACCAGGACAACCACGGATTACCCCAGAGCTGGGGACGCGAGGGGAAAATGGAGCGAGGTGTATGAAAGAACCCGCCTAAATATATCTTCACGAAATGTCTAAACGCCCAGGAAAAAGACCCTGAAAGCTTCCAGAAAGGATAGCAACAGGCCGCCTACAAGTCACGAAGAACTGGGCTGGCATCAGACTCTTCAGCGGGGAACCTGGACACGAAACTGGAGTCCGGGGGGACACTAGGAACCAAGAGGCTACAGGCCAGCGGCCACAGGGTGTGAGGACCATGCGAAGAGGCGGCAGACACACCAGCCCGGGGGCATCTGGCCTGCGCGGGCCCCCGAGGGGCTCCGGGCAGGACGGACGGGAGGCAGGAGAAGGAAGCCCTGACGGTCGTCCAGGACAGGAAGGTGACCGGGAGACCGGCCGGCAGCAGGACAGACCAGGAGGTGAGAAGACACCTTGGGACAGGAAGGGCCCATGTCAGACAATGCATACGTTAAAAAGTATTGTGAAATGTAATTTTTAGACAAGGGGAAAAGAAATCTAGAAACTCCTGAAAAAGTAAACAGCACAGGGAACACCAACATGCAACAAGCAAAAGAGGAACAGAATTAGTGGAATGCGAGGAGACACTTGACCTTGATGTGAGGACGTCCCACCACTGGCGCAGAAACTGGGGCGCTGGGCCCATTAACACGGCACACAGCTGGCTAACTGGGAAAATACTCCCACTGGGATTTTTGAGGTTTTATTTTTGAGGGGAAGTGAGGGAGAGAAACATCAACAGGCTGCCTCTCGCACGCCCCCAGTTGGACCTGGCCTGCAGCCCACGCGCCCTGGCCGGGAATCTAACGGCAACCCGGCGACCCTTTGGTTCACGGGCTAGCGCCCAATCCGCCGGGCCACGCCAGCCAGGGCGTTCCCTTTGTTTTAATAACGTGAGTTTTAGTAACGTTTGTTCTCCAGCCTGGAGATTCAGCCGACAGCCAGGCTGAGGGCCAACCTGCTTCAGCCCGCAGCGCTGGAGATCCACACGGGCGACTCAGGGAGTGAGAGGAAGGGGCGGGGAGGGCGGCGGACCGTCACGGCCAGCCTCACACGGGGAAGCAGGAGTAAGCACGTCACTTAAGGGACAGGGGGCGACCCACGGTAGGCGGCGAGGGAGGGGACAGCACATGAGGGAAACTGCCTTCCTGGAGCCAGCAGAGGCTATTTACTGAAATAAACAGTTTAAGTCACTCTCCAGCCACAGACAACATAAAACAAGTGACTTTAAGTGGTCTTCTGCGGGGACTACGGCGTCCTAAGTCGGGACAGTGGTCACCCCTGGGCGGTGGGGAAGTGGCTGAAAAGCTGCTGGCGGGGGGGGGGTCCCAATGACATCCTGTGTCTGGAAAGGGGTGTGATCACAACGGTGTGGTCACACTGTGAGAATTCACTGGCTGACGTCACATCTGTGCACTTGCTCTGCGTTTTTTCAGGGACGTGTGAGCCTGAACGGACGGAAGTGTTTAGGAGCGGGCCCCTCGGCCGGCGTGAACAGCCTGCGTCCTGCCTCACCCCTCCGGGGACCAGGACGGTGAGCGAGGCGCTGGGGCCGCAGCGCCCGCAAGCTGGGCAAAGCTGCAGAAGCCCCCAACACAGGGAGAGAACTCAAAATATCCGGTACCTGATTGTCGGAGCTGTTTCGGAACTTCGGTTCCGTTCTCTTCCAGCTTCCTCTTTGCGCAGCCCTGACATGCACTCCCTGAAAGGCGGAGACGCTCATCAAAAAGCTGCTTGTCCCGGCCCCGGCTGGTTGGGCCCCGGCTGGTTGGTCGGCCGGAGCATCACCCCACTCCACCACGGTTGCAGGTCCCATCCCCAGCCAGGGCACGCCCGGGAAGCACCCAGTGAGCGCATAAATACACGGAACAACACATCGACGTTTCTCTCTAACGTCAGTCCGTCAACCATCAATAAATCAGAAGTTCCCCTTGCAGAACCCGCGCCACCCCCCCCCCCCCCCGAGCAGCGCACGAGCCCGGTTTATTCCAGGTGGCGTTTGCTGGGTTAATGCTCTTCCAGGAGAGGAGGGGGGCCCGGGGGCCGCGCTGGCGTGCGAGCGAGCGCGACTGTGACAAGCGTGCCCTTTCACAGGGAGGCGGGCCGATGCGGGAAGCTGAGCACCAACGTCGCCATTCCTGAACCGAAACCCACCGCACTCACGAGTCTCACGTCTGGGTCGCCGAGCCCTGCAGGGGCCCCGCTCCACGGCCAAGCCCCTCCTGACCGACAGACCGAGCGGCGTGGGGAAGGCCATTGTCAGGTTCGCCCAAGGAGGATGCTGGTAGCCACTGCGCTCGGCCGTCCCTCGTTAACTCAGAAGCAGGCAGAGCTGAGCCCAGCAGAGAAAGCAATTACACCTCACACACACATTAAACAGAAAACCGGACATGAGAGCTTAAGGGCCTTTGCCGTTAGAACTTCAGAAAGGGGTGGGCCCCAGTCCGCAGTCTCAGGCCAAACGCTCTCACGAAACAGAGCCCGTCCTGACCCCCCTGGAACTCTGGGCTGTGGGGCGGGAATGACTCTCAGGCGCTTCCTTGCAGCGGGGGGGGGGCTCTGTCCCCTGCCCCGCGGCGGGGGCCATCCTGCCGGCCCCACGGTGTGCCGTCTGTGGCGCAGGGGTGTTAGGCTAAGTATTTACTTTTTAAATCTGTTTTTATTGATTTTGAGAGAGGAAGGGAGCGAGGGCACTGACGTGAGAGAGAAACGCTGATTGTTTGCGCCCCAACCAGGGGTCGAACCTGCAACCTGGGCACGTTCCCGACCGGGAACCGAACCTCTAACCTTTCGGCGGATGGACAACACTCCAGCCAACAACCAACCGAGCCACCCGCCCAGGGCACAGGCTAAGTATTTAACTTGCAGACATTTTTATGATTTTACAAATAGCGACAGGAAGACGGTCGAACGTGCAGGCAAAAACCAGGCTGATAAAATCCAAGATCCGCCTTACCCAGCAGCGTGGTGCTGTCCACTCGGTCAGCGTCTGGGGAGACAGGAAAACGATCAGCAGAGCGAGCCTTCTTCGTGCGCCCCGGCCGGCCGGCTGGCGTGGACGGGGTGGCAAGGCCGCCGCCAGCTTGAACGCAGCCTGGCGCGGTCACTGCCCTCCTCTCCCCACTCCCACGGGGCGCTGGGCCTGGCACAGCTGTCACTCATTTCTGCCACCACCAGTGTGCCACCCTCTCCAGCTGGGAAAGGCACCTCAGAAGTGCAGGTACACGTCCCCGAGGACACGCAGACTCACAAGGTCTGGAAAAGGGGTGCCCGGGGGGGACAGAAAGGCGCTCGGCGGCGCGCCCCAGGAGCCTGGGCTCAGGCAGGTCCTGGCGCCCCAGACGCGTGTGCGTGTGGACGCGAGAGAGGTGGCAGCTGTGGGCAGAGGTGACGAGAATACTGTCCCTCTCCAGGGCCACCACGCAGGCCCGTCCTGGGACACCCTGAACAGGACGGTCCCCCTGTGCAGTCCAGGGCCCCATCCCAGCTCAGACACCCCGGCACCAGCCGGGCAAGCCATTCACCTCGGGGCTCGGCTCACTGTCCACCCACCGGCCCGTGGCCGCAGCGGGCGCGGTGACTGAACACAGAACTGGGTCGCGAACGTCAAATCCAGGCGTGTGACCGAGCGCGGCTCCCTTCCCGGCTCTCAGTGAGACACCGCCCACTGCCCTCGCCGCCGCACTCGCGCCCGCCAGGGGAAATGCCGCTCACACGGGCCCCTGACTGACCACTTGTGGACAGGGCTGAAGGGAAGAACTTAGGTGCTGGGTCGCCTGTGCATCTGTCACCCATGATCTCAGTGTCTCCGGTCTCCACGGTCACGGCTGGTCAGGCCCAGCCGTCTGTCCCCGTGCTGAAGCCAATGCCCTGCGTGCGTGAGCTTCCGGTCACCGTTCACCAACAGTCCGCCCAGGCGTCTCCAAGCCCGCCGTCACCCGCCAGCCGCCCACCTGTCGAGCCGGTGACTTAAGAGTGACTCGGTGACCCTGGTCACTCCCGACACGTGGACCACCCCCGACAGAGGGCCCAGGACAGCGGCTCCGACGGCGGGCTGCACGCGGCCACACATGGAGAGGGCATGACATAAAAAGTGTCCCTGCGGCCCGGGACAGGGTGGAGGTGGGAAGCACTCGCAGGACTCAGGCCCCGTCTTGGCCGGCTCGCCCACGGCATGCGTGGCGCCTGGCGCAGCCTGGTGTGCGGCCCCCTGTGGGCACCGCCCTCGGCTTGCAGACCCCGCGGTCACCGTGGCCTTCCAGTGTTAAGGCACACAGAGGAGTTTTTGGAAAATAACTAAAGGACCAGTGGGTTTCACGGTTAAGTACACTAAGACCTCACTTGTCTTCTGTGGTAGGTAAACTACGTCTCAGAAAGGAGGGGCGCGGGAAGGAGCCCCTCTCCGGGTGGCGCCCATACCTGGACTCCGCCGTCTGCAGATCCGCGAGGCCAGGTCTTGCACGTAGCCCGGGAAGTGGTCAAAGCTGGCGCCGTAGGACACGACCTTGATCCCGTGCAGCAGCATGTCGGCCTGGTGCTTGAAGAACTGGTCCTCGCCCTCCTTGAGCACGACCATGTAGTGCTCCAGGTCCACCTTGTTCGGCACCGAGTACAGGAAGAGCGCCTGGAATATCTGGTCCCGCAGCGTCTCCCCGCAGCCCACGAACAGGAAGGACTTGGTGCGGTACAGGTTCTGGAGCACCTCCTGGGGGGCCGACCGAGAGACCACTGCTCGCTGGGGGGCAGCAGGGCCGGCCGGCCCACCAGCCAAGACACCACCCTTCCAAGCCCTCGCCGCCCCAACGGCCTTTCCCAGAGCCACACCGACCAACGGTCAGAGAGGCAGCGCCTCCCCCTCTCTGGCCAGACACCCGGCCAGGCCCGAGTCAGCGTCCAGGGCACATGAGCCCACGGTGGGGACGGCCGACGGCCCGCCCTGCCCGCCAGGCCCGAGCCGAGCGCGCTCCCTCTGCCCCGTCACGCACGAGTCTGAAGCCCACAGTGAAGGACACTAACTGTCTGAGTTCACGGCTGCCGGGCCACGCCCTGCATCAACCGTCCCGGGGGGGCACGGGCAGGCACCTCTGGGGAGTGGGGACTGGTGTCAGGGGAAGAGGGTTTGGGGAGTGAGGCCAGCAGAGCTGAGGCAGGTCCAGCGACAGTGACCCAGGGGAGTGGGCACGGGGGGTCACTCGGGCCCGCAGTGCAGACCCACCAGTTCAGGCACCGCACGTCTCAGAGGGTATCAGCTCATGTGTCTCTTGACCCAGGACACGCCGCTGAAGCCCCGAGGAGCCTCAGCTACCCACCCACGTGCCACACCTGGCCACACCCCACGGGTGGCCCAGGGCCAGTACCCAGGGGCCAGCGCCAGCCCTGGGCTCGCAGGGACCCGGCGAAGTCCCTGGGGTTGCTCAGCGCTGTAACAGGGGAGTCCATACAGAGTGGGAAGCAGGCTTCTGCTTTGTGTCTGGTGTCAAGTCTGCCTCCCAGAGAGAGGAGTTCAAAACCAGGCTCTGACAGCCAGAGCGCGCCGGGGAGAGCGCGGGGAGAACAGCAGACAGCGGGGCGCGTGAACGAACAGACGACCGAGGGGGAGGGGGCCGGCGAGCGGCATCACGGGCCCTGTGGGCCCGCCCGACACTCTGAGAAACACAGCTGTCCCTGGGCAGCTGAGTCACGAGTGGCCAGTGGCCAGGTGAGTCGGAAGGGACGGAGGCCGCGCATGACGTGAGCACAGGCCGGCAGCCGTGTGGGCCCCACGGGCAGCACCGCCGGGGGCCGGGGAGCCACTCAGACCGCCGCCGGCGTCCCCAGGGGCACAGGCAACGCCAGCCGGGCGCCCTACCATCACTTCCGGGTCCTGAGTGACGTCCTTGTACCCCGAGGGGTCCAGCACCATCCCACAGGGGTCCGTGTACAAGCCGTGGATGTGGAGGACTCCGTACTTCACGTGGCCTCTTGCCCACTGAAGGACCTGTCCGAAATCGGGCCCAGAAAAAAGGAACCTGTTGTTATTGAGAACAGAGGTCAGAGGGAGCCGTCTGAACTGGATGCGCGGGTTCTTGGCGCCACCTCGGAGACAGTAAGGGAGGGGTCTGCGTCGATGATCACACCCTTGAGGTCCGAGAGGAACTCCGCTGTCAGCGCTGACTCCCGTCACGATGCGTCGGGAGGAACTGTGAGCCCGAGACGGGGACGCAGAAAACACCCCGAACCCCCGAGAGTCCAGCAGGGCCGTGAGACCGGCCGCTCCAGAGGGGCTGTGAGCACCTCCACGTCTAAGGCCGCCAGCCCGTCTCAGTCACCGCTGTGCCCACGCACGGCGCCCGGAGGAGGTCTGTGAAAGACACGACGTATCGACTGCCCCGCACTGACTTCCACCCGAGGTCCAGGACAAAGGTCCTTAAACGACACACGGGGTGAACGTCCCTTTTCACACCGGGGCTGTCGCCCTATCGGGCAGTGCCGACACACCGGACAGACAGACGGACACCCACAGCTCCAGCACAGAACGAGCGGCCGAGCAGCTAGAGCCCCGCCGTGCCGCCTGCATTTGTCCCAGAGACGCCGTCTGCGGCGGCGAGGCGGCCTCCCGGGCGGGCTGGGCGGCGCGGGTGTGGGCGCAGGCGCGGGAGCAGGGGCCCTGTTCAGGGGTACAGCGGCCCCAGCGCCGCCCTGCCAGGGCAGCCTGTGCCCCGGGCGAGTGCCCGCAGCCACCTGGCACACGCTCTCGGCCAAGCTCCGAGAAAGGGGGCCGAGGGGAGCTCTCGGGGTGCAGCCGAGCCCTCCGCCGGACCGGGCCCCGGTGAGCCGCGCTCCCGACGGCCGCCGGCACGGCACCGAGAGCCGGGCTGCGGCCTTCCCTCGGGGAGAGGGCCGGGCGGCCCAGCAGCGGCGTGCGTGGGTGGTGGTAACACACCGTCTGTGAGCAGACACCCAGACACGCAGAGAGACAGCGAGCGCGCACGGCCACTCCAACAAAACCGCACTCAACCTCACGCGCAAGGAAGATGAAAGGGTGAGACGTCCCCGTCCTCCGGGTGAACCGCATTTCGTTTTGTCTCTCAGTGACACCACGTGCGGGCCCAGGCGACGACCCCCAGACGCACTGCGGGTTCGGGCCCAGACCGCCGCACCAGAGCAAGCCCCCCCCCACCCCGTGCTGGGCAGGGTGTGGGCTGCACCCGGGGAGGACCGCCAGCCCGCGAAGCGCCAGGGGGCGGGGTCTGCCTGCGCTCTGCACGCAGCCGCTGGGACCGCGGACCCTTCCGGGAAACAACTGGTAACGCACACCACCTGTCTTCAGAAGTCGTTCCCGTGGGCCCTAAACCTCTTCTGGGAATGTAAGCCAAAGGACTAAGCGGAGGGAACAGGAGTGTGAGGACTGTCGAGGCCGCACTGCCTGTCGTCAGAGCGGAGGCTTGCCGACAACCGGACAGGACTTCCGGTGACGACGACGGCGACGAGCACACGCGGACGAGAAGGCCCTGCAGATCAGCAGGACCGGACGCGGAAGACAAGAGCAGGCAGCGCCACGTGTCCTGGCACGTGCGGCGTCCCCTCCCCTGGGGCCGCCCGCGGGAGGGGCTGGCACAGGGGCGAGACCAAGTCAGGGACGAGTTCCGCCGTGGAGAGGAGCGTGGAGAGCAGACGGCCCCTTTCACTGTGACTGACCCCCCCACCCCACTGCAGAGACCCACGCTGGCTCCACACCCACTGCGCTGCTGGGGCCTTTCCCTCCCGCCCGCCCACCCGGCCTGCGGGCCCTGGGCCGCACCTTGGTCTTGTCCTTCAAATCCAGGGACTCCATGGGCTTGTTCTGCTGCTGCCCGAAGAGCTCCAGCAGGTTGTCGTAGTTGGTGGTCAGCACCAGCGTGCCCCTCTCCATCAGGCCGAGCACGGCCTGCAGCACCAGCGGGTTCTGGATGTGCCGCTCCAGGTCGTCGAAGACCTCCATCAGGCAGTCCTGGAAGAAGTTGGGCTTGGTGTCGCCCGTCCGCTGCGGGGGAGGGGGGGGTGGACCGGGAGTTAGCAAAGACGTCGCCTCCCAGCCACATGTGCACCCCCCCAGGTACCACTCTAGATGCTAGGGACGAGGTGGGGAGGGGGCGCCGGCCGACCTCGCAGTGCGCTAAGCTCTGGAGCAGGGAGACGTGAGGGTGCTAAACACTCTGGGGAAAGTGGAGGAGAGAAAGGGGCCCAGGGGGGCTGGGGCCCAGGCATCGGGGAGGGGCCTCCGCGGAGGGAAGGCCCCGCAGCGGGAAGAACGAGCGCCAGGCCCCGCCAGGCGGGAACGCAGGCGCAGGCGAGCGAGGCGCCCCCGCGCAGCAGCGTGAGGGGCTGTGCCCGCAGGTGAGGTCAGAGAGGCGGCCGGGAACCGCATGGGGGGGGCCGTGAAGACCCAGGGGAGGCGTTTCCTCGGAGGGTGGCAAACCGCTGGTTTCCCCCTTGTCGGGGGTCCAGGAAACGGTGTGTCTTCACGGCACCTTAAATTAGGGGCAGCCGGTGTGGCACACGCCGCTGAGACAGGCCACAGGGCGAGGTGAGGTGTGGCCTCGGGGCCCTGCTCCGTGGCCGGCGCTGGGCTGGGGCGGCCGGGAGGAGGGAGCGCAGAGAGCCCTTCGGAAGCGCCCGGCCCTGAGGGGTCCGGTGAGCGGGCCTGGCAGCTGGGAGGACGGACGCGCCCCCCACCCCCGCCCATAAGGCCGCCCCTCGCCCAGCCACCCGCACCGGGACGGGCGAGGCAGCAGACCGCGCACCCACACGGAACGCCTGTGCCCACCCGCCTCACCATCGCCGTCTGCCTGAGCACCCGAGCCCACCCCGCGGCCCCTGCCGATGTCAGCCGCGGCTCTGGGCGCCCCCTTTTCTGACGCCCTCCCCAATCCCGAAAACCCTGCCAGTGCCCCCAGTGGGAGTCACGGGTAAGCCCCCACATTTCCATCCTCATCCTCACCTCCATCCCCAACACAAAGCTGCCCCCCAGGCCCCGGACCGGCGCAGGGGTGGGGTGGCCCTGATCACTGTCAAGGCTGTCTGGCTCTCCTTCCGTCGCAGTCTGTGCTGGCCTCAGGTCCACTCAGGGGACCCTTCCTGCACCACGGCCTCCACCCCTCTCCTCCAATAAGCTGGTCCCAGCTTGGCCATCACGCCGCGGCCACACCGGGGCCTCACCATCATCAGGAGCCTCTCCTCCCCCATCCGCCCAACTCGAGCACCGGCAGGCTCCCGGGATGACAGCCACCCCATCGCAACCCTCAGGCACGGACCCGGCTACGGCTGGCCTTGTCGCTCGTGCCCCTGCTGGCCACCGTCCCCCGTAAGCAGCCTAAAGACGCCACCACGGCGCCGACCCCCTCAGGCTGGTGAGCTTCCGGCCTCCCCCACTTTGCCGGGATTCATCCCCGAGGCACCCCGGCCCCGGAGCCCAGCTCCCCACAGGCCGCCTCCCCGCATGCCCCGACCTGCTGAGCGCAGGCGGGGACAACACAGCCCTTCCAGCTGTGGGCACCGTGACTCTGTTCTTACAGAAGTTTGCAAAAGCATGCAACAGTAAGGAGAGGAGCAGAACGAAGCTCCAGACACTGGTCTCCTGGACTAAACAAGCAGCAGCCCACCCGGCCTCTCTCCAACGGAATGCCCTCCTCTGGACGGCCCCGGGCCTGCCCTGTGGCACTTCTCTGTCCCCTGACGCCTCCCGCTCCCCCAAGACAGGGCCCGGTGCTCCACCCACAGGGGACCGGGGAGGAACTGTTCCAGGCTCCTCGTCTTCCAGACGCCCCGGCACTCAGCAGTAGGGAACCCTCAGCTCTGTCCCCAAAGCAGCCCGAGGTGTCCCTGACCCAGCCCCACACGGCCCGGTGCCGGGGGGCAGGGCACTTATCTGGGGAGCCCACACCCAGCCCCGCGGCCTAAGGGGACGGCAGTCTGAGGGACTTGAAGGTTCCTGGCTCAGCAGCCCACTCTGCCGAGAAGAGACGCCGTAGGTTCCTCGGAGAGTAAACGCCAGAGGGATCGATTCACCAGCCTGGCCCAGGGCCAGTCACCCCGTGACCCAGAAGTGCTTGTCTGCAAAGGACTCACAGGGGACATCTTCCGGATCAGGTCGTGGGCCACAACCAGCAGGTCCCGGTCCTTCATCACCTTCCTGCGGAAGCGAGCCACGTCCCCGGGGTGCAGCACCTCCAGCTGCTCCGCCGCCTCCAGGACGGCCTCCAGGCAGCTCCTCCAGGAGCGGAGGGCGGGGATGCCCGGGGCCACCGCTGCACTGACGCCGGTCCCCATCACCAGGAGCAGCTCCTGCGGCTGTTTCTGGATGAGGCTTTTCAAAAACTTCCTGCTTAAAAACAAGGGAGGGAGAGAGTGAAAGTCAGCACGGAAACACCTCCACCGGGAAGAAAGTCGAAGCCGGCAGGACGGCCTGTGCGGCGTCCGGGGGCGCGGCCCGACCCAGACGCACGGACGCTGCCTCCTCACCGCGCTCCCCGGAGAGGAGGCGTCGGTCCCTTCGGTGGATTCGACCTGGTCCGGCCGCGCTCCACTGAGGGCCTGGGAGCGGCTGCGTCTGGCTCACCGGGAGTCAGGCCCCTGCCTCCGCGTTAATGCTGTTTATCACCGAACACACACCTCAGCCGTTTTAACGCTCTGAAGCCGCAAAGAGCTTGTACACAACTGAGATGCCAGAACGATCCCCGCCCCCCGAGACAGGTGGAAGTCCTGGCAGAAGGCTGGTTCTCGGCCCCTTCCCAGCCACAGCCCGCTCCAGGAAAGGGGCCTCCCGCCCTGCACCGCTGCACAGCCGGCGGGCCGGCAGAGCCCGGCACCCCGGCCTGCACGGGGCCCCCGGGGCCCTGCTGCGGGGTGAGACCAGGCTGCGGTCCCTTCCTGGGGCAAGACAGCTGCCTTCCGGAATGTTTCCGAAGCTGGAGCCAAGGCGATCCCACCGCGAGAGCCCCGTCCTGACCAGGGGCCGAGTGGCGGGAGGACACGTGTAGCGGGCGACATGAGCCGCACGGAGCGGAGCACCCGCCTCATTTACCTGGATTTCTGCTCACTGCTGCTCGTCGTCTTTCCCAGCGAATCCATCCGGGCCACCTGACGAGGAAAGCCGGTCAGAAGCGACTCCTGTCTCCCCGGTCGAAGTTCTCAGCACCCTTGAGGAGAGTCAGGGCTGGAAGTAAAACCACAGGTCTGGGACGTCCCCTTCCACGGGGACGCCCGGAAACGCCAGCACAGACACCAGACACCCACGTCTCCCAACGCCGGGACCTGCAGGCCAGCAGAGGGCTCGGCCCCAGACTCTGCCCTCTGCTCAGGACAGGAAACCGGGGAGCCCAGGCCCCCAGTCCAGGCGCCGCGGTGGCCTCAGTCCACATTCTCACGCTGCCCCTTCGCGACCCTGTCCCGGAGGAGTGTCCAGCTGGTGTGACCACGAACCCCTCCCCAGGGGGGAGAAGCGGCCGGCGCACAACACGGCAGAGGCAGAACCACTCCTCGGGGAGGCGTGTGCTCCCTGGGGTGCTGACCGCCGGGGCCCCCCCCCCGCGGCTGGCGACCCTCCTCAGCAAGTCTTCCCAGGCGCCCGGCACCCCCCGCCCACCATGGACGGAGTGAAATTCAGCCCGAAGGAACCAGCCAAGCCAGAGGTCAGCTCCTCACTCACACAAAACAAGCACCGACCCTGCTCGGTCTCCACGGCCAAACCACCCGGGCCCTTCCACGTGCCTGGAGTGGCACCTCCCTCCTGACGCTGGAACCGCTGGCTGCAGACCGGGAAACGTGCAGGGAAAATACAGCCTGGAACACCCGTAACCCTGCCACCAAGGAGCAGCGGCTGTCACTAACATCCACGTAGTTCCCTCCACGTTGTCCTTTACGTTTTTCAGTCACTGGAGAGCGGGGTTCACATCCCACGCTCCCCACCCACCAGAATAAAGGCCTCTTTACAACCCAGCGCCACCCACCCAACCTGTGACAGTCAAGCAGCCAGACGGCCATGGTGGCAGCAGCAACCGCAGCAAGGCCAGCCAGAGACCCGCTGAACCGGGCCAAGGCGCTGACCCAAAGAACCGACGGGTGTTTGGAGCACTCGCGACCACCGCAGTCCACACGGGCGCGGGGGCCGGAGGGCAGGAAAGGGAGAAGACAAATGTCAAGAGGGAAAACAACCCAGCGAGTGACAGAGTTCACGAAGGTTTGAGGAGGGGGGGGAGAAAAATGTCAGGAACAGTAACTACTGCCCTGGCCGGGCGGCTTGGCTAGTTGGAGTGTCACCCCTTAAACCGGAAGGCTGTGGGTTCGATTCCCGGTCAGGGCACACGCCCAGGCTGCGGGTTTGGTTCCCCAGTCCTGGTGCGTGTCGAAGGCAACAGATCGATGTTTCTCTCCCTGTTTCTCCCTCCCTTTTCCTCTAAAAGAAAATAGATAACATCTTTTAAAAAATTATTAAATTAGCACAACACTACTTTCATTACAAACCACACTTTCACTGCACGCACACGAACCAGGAAGCTCCGAGTCTGTGGGATCCTCAAAAATACCCTTAGGAAAGCCTCTTCCCTCCCCTCTGTAAGTGACGTGCGGGTTCCCGTGCGGGTTCCCGTGCGGGTTCCCGTGCGCGCGCAGGGAGACCCCAGCGGAGCACGGCGCAGGGGCGGCAGCGCACACACGGGCCCGTCCCTGCCTCCTGCACGGCTGGAGACGGAGGTCACAGAGGGTCACCGACGTTTCAAATGTCGGCTTGTGAGTCCCCGCGGTCAGTCCGCAGAGGGACGGAACAAGACGCCCCAGACACGCGGGAGCAGCCACACGCGGTGCCGGGAAGCCGGACCACGCGGCGGGCGGCCGCTCCCAGCATTCCCAGGGCCGCTCCGCGCCGGGCCCAGAAGCATTCCCCTGTAAGAGGCGACGTGTAAACAAGCTGCCCACAGGAGACCCAAGCCTTGCAAATGCCAGTTTCGGGTGTAATCCACGTAACTAACCAGCGCGGTTCCTAAGGGCCGGGGCGTCCGTTGTGGAGGCCCAAACCGTCTGAGTACGCTGGGGGCAGGCCCCGCCCAGCACCCCGACACCGGCAGTCCCAGGTCCCGCACGGCAGCGCCCCCATCGCTCTGGTTGGAGCCCCGCAAATGGCCCTTTCCGTGGCGATCTGGTGCCCGTGGGGGTGGGGAGGGGCCGCAAAGCAGAAGTCCCCGGGCAACGAGAGGAAATTCTCCAGGTGCACCTGACGAGCACACGCCCAGCCCCCAGCGAGCCCCCGTGGCCTGGCTGACGGGCTGCCTCGGAGTTCGGTCAGGACGACTGCGGTCAGGACCACCAGGTTCGCCGGAGCTGGACACACGGCGCAAGCGGACGAAGAGGGAGCGTCCAGAACCGCGAGCGACGGCAGCCCCTCCACCCACGGCAGCACGGGCCCTCGGCGCGGAACACTCGGCGTCTGGAGTGGAGGGGACGCTGCCTCCCCTTCGGGAGACCTCCCGGACCCCAGTTTGCCAATCCGCCCCCCCATGAACGCCACACGGCTGCACAGATGCAGTGAGCGGAGCGCGCAACGAAAGGTTTGCCTGTTACCAGGAACCACGTCCGCCGCCAGCTCAGCTCCCTCGGCCCCGGCCGGCTGCCACGGCAACTCTCCCGCGGCAGCCCGCAGCAGCGCGCACGAACGTGACCGCGGGGCTGGCAAACCCTCGCCCGGGCCGCACTGCTGAGGGGCCTCTGGAATGAACTGCTTTCTGTCATCCCAGAACACACGGAACCCGGGGCGCACGCTACTGCCGTCCGAAGGGCTCACGGCGGGGAACACGCTCGGTCTGCAGCGATCAAGACGTGTTCCTTTGGGGCTGGACACCAGCGGCTCTGAACAGAGCTGCCTGGGCGCACACCAAGGAAATAACAAAACCCACCACAAAGAACGGGAAGATCACGGTTTAGTTCAACTACATTAATCACTGACACTCCTTGTACCCTGACGAGGTTCACGGCAAAGCCCTCAGCACTCCGAGCGGCAGCTCACCAACCCTCCCGACGGCCGCTGACCCGGCCGAGGCCGACGCCCGCCCGTCCAGGAGGCCAAGGCGCTCAGTGCAGCCCTGGACGCTTCCTCCTCCCGCCGGCGTGGCCCGGGATGGCAGACACGCACACGGCAGCTCACAAGGACCCTGCCGCCTGCTGAGTCGTCAGCTGCCTTACAGTGTGCCCATCAACCGTGACACACCACATAGTTCAAACATACGTGTCCCTCGACGCTCAGCCCATGACAGTGGACACGCCAGCGCAGAGGCCACGGGCCAACGGGAGGCCACTCCCCCGGGCCGAGGGGCACGAGGGACGCTCCAGAAAGCGCACGGCCAGCACGACCCGAGACGAGGCGGCTCGGACAGGAGGGGTCGGGAAGGTGGCAGGGTCACAAAGGGGAGCACGAGGCTCTGAGGGGTGTGACTCGGTCGGGGCCCCCCAGCGTTGGGGGCAAGCTGGAAACTCACTGCCGGCTCCCGGTCCGTCACCTCGCCACCACCCCGGGCGTCACCGGGTGCACCGTGACTCCAGCACCTCACCTGGGGCCCCAATCTCTACCTGCTTGCCCACCAAACCTGTCACCACAGGCCCAGCAACACTCGACCTGCCTGAATGACCAGCGGCAGTCACCCTGCCGCCTCCCCACGCCCGCAGGCGGATGTCAGGCTGCGGGGAGGAGCCTCGGGCGAAACGACCAGCTCCGGACAGTTCCCCCTTGGCCTTTGCCGGTGTTATCGCACTGTCCCCGAGGGCTGGGCAGGGAACAATGCCACCATTCAAGAGGATGTCATGCTCCCCGCAAGGGGACACCTTGAGCTCCTGTGGGAAGACGTGGGAATCCACTGAAAGAGCCCAGCCTTAGAATCAAACATCCGGGCACTCCTCGTACAACTTAGCACCGCGTAAGTTACCATCTCAGAGCCTCCGTTTCCTTTATCTGCACAAAAGGAGTCTCTCGCCACCCCCAGGGCCGCTGGAAACACTCCCAGGGGCGACACCTGAAGGAACAAAGCCTACCCCTGTCTCTGCCTCCCGTCGGAACCCTGGGCTTCTGCCTGAGTCAGTTCTTGGTGGACAGCTGTCTTCTTCTAATCCCAAATAAATGTGTGTTGTCTCTGGGGGGGGCGGGGAGTCTGCCTCCCACCAGACCCTCTGTCCATGATTAAACTCGCACTCAGACATTTCGTGAGCGCTGCCCTGCCTCCCACGCACCCGAGTCCGGACCCCAGCCCAAGCCCCTTCGAGTGCTCGTCCTGAGGCCCTAAGCCACACCCTCCGTCTCTGCTCCAAGGCCTCCCACGCTGTCTCACTGCCGAGAGCCGAGAGCCTCCCTCCCAGCGCCTGTCGTCCCACACTGTCTCCAGGGCAACGCTTCAGACACAGCACACCTGAACCTGTCTGTCCCTCGAGGGCCTCCCCGTCCTCCGGGACCCGCCCGTGTCGTTCCAGGTGTTGTTCCCTCCCCGGACACCACCTACCGCTCCGCTCCTGCCCGGCCCCGCCAGCTCCGCACGCAGCTCCCATGCGGGGCCGCAGGCACCCTGAGGAAGCCCTGGGGGACCACCCGCCCGAGGGGAAAAGGACAAAACCTCACGAGAGGGAGTAAAAAGTTCCCGACGCCACTCCCCTGGCAGGACACGGCAGTCTCACAGAGGAGAAACCTCCAACCAGCCTCCCAGGCCCCTGCCCGAGGAAGAAGCAGAGGTCCCCGCTGCCACCCCGTCCAGGGCGCCACCATCTCTCCCGTGCTCTTGCTTCCCCCGACAATTCTCCTGCAGCCCAGGCCGCGACTGTCCGGAAGCACAAAGGCATCATCAGTCCCCCCTGAACCCTTCGGCGGCCTGCGCTGCCCTGCCAGACCCCCTCCCGGCCTCCAGAGGGGTTCCTGCTTCCGTCCTGACGCCCCTCGCCCACCCCCTTTCCTGCCACGCCCCAGCTACAGCCCCGCTCGCTCAGCCACCCTCCCAGTTCCCCCCACTCTGGTCTCCCCTCCTCCGAGCACCTCCCTCTGTCCCCTTCGTCCCCTCCGCTGGCCAGCTCCCCTCTTCCTCCGGCTCTGCCCGGGTCCGCACAGACTCGGGCCAACCGCAGAGGCTGTGACTCCAGCCAGGGCCCAGGGCGGGCTGGGCCTCAGGAACAAAGCTGGATTCGCCTCATTCAAGAGTCCCTGTAACTCCACCCCGAGAACCTTTCTTCTTAGGGGAACCAATTTCTCTCCAGCCGCCCCAGAATGAATCTACATCCAGTTACACTTCTCGGTTTCCAAAACTCTGGTGTGCTTCACAGCACGCCTCCCTAGCTAGCAAACTCCTCTTTGACCTCAAGGTTCACCTGTTACCTGTCACTTCCTCCCCTCCAGAAGCCCTCCTGAACTCCCCTTCCAGGAATCCACGCCCCACCCCCAGCGGAATTCAAGGTCACTACACTGTTGTCATCACCGTGTAAAGCCAACCTCCTCTCTTCCTCACCGCCCTGCACAGGCCCTGAGAGCGGGAACTGAGCTCTCTCCAGTTCCTCCGCCAACTCCTGGAAACTATCAGGCACTCAAACAAATGTTAGATCCAGGAGTGGAAAAAAAAAAATGAAGACAAGGAGACAACCTCCAAGCATCCTTCCTTGCCCTAAGTCCCTCGCCTACTTAGGTCCACCTCCCTGCACCCCATCAGCTCTGACCCCGGACTCCCGCGGGCCGCTCGAGCCTCACGAAGAGCATTAAAAGTTAACCACTGTCCCGGCTCTGGCCCCAATGCAGCAGAAACCGCACATGCAAATGCGGGCGCTCAGATCACCGCCCTGCTCGGTTACAGAGTCATCGGGTGACCTGGAACTTGCCTCTCCTTTCGCTCGTACTGTCACCCAGGACGCACACAGCCCCGGAATAGGTTCACAGACGCCTCGCGGGGCCAGGGGCCCGCGGTGTTAGAAACCCGCCCCGGGACCAGCGTGGAGAGGGAGCGAAACGGGGGCCGAACCTCGGGAAGGGGGTAGAGCGGGGCAGGGGAGAAGCCGAGGGCGGGGAGCGGGTCCAGGGACCCGAGGGGCCAGGGAGAGATGGCACCAAGGGCCTGCGCGGCCCAGGGGGATTCTGAGGCCTGGGGGCGGGGGCGGGGACGGGAACATCGGGGACGGGAACCTCTGGAACGGTCTCGGGGATCCTGAGCGAATCTTTAGGAGGTTCCGGAACCGGGGGTTCTGAGGGGTCTCGGGGCCCTGTGGCGGTGGGAGGTCGTCTGGGGACCTCGGAGTCTCGGGAAAATCCTGAAAGGTTTGGGGGTTCGAAGAGTCCTCAGAGTGGCAGGGGCCAAAGGTAGCCGGGGACCCCGACAGGGCCAGGGGGCCGGGACGGACCCCGAGGGGTTCTCGAGAGAAGGGGGAGCTGCTGGGAACCGAAGTCTGCTGCCCAGGTGGCTGGGATGGCCGGCTTTCCGGAGAGCGTCAGGGGCCGGGGGGCCCCGGGGGCGCCGGAGCGGACCCAGAAGTTCTCGGGGTACCGGCTGGCTCTCAACCCGAGCCTCTCCGACCCGCCTCTCACCTGCGGCGCCGCCCTGATGCCGGTCGGAGCTTCGGCTCCCGCCGCCGCCTCCTCCGGCTCCGCGGTGCTGCTGGTCTCCCCCGGGCTGCCGCGGGCGCACGCCGCGGGCGCTGGGCGGGGTCAGGCGGGAGCCGCCTGCGGGGGCGGGGGCGGGGGGGCTGCGCGCGCACCCGGGCGGGAGGCGGCGCGGACGCCCTGCGCCCTCGGCCGCGACTCCCACGCCGGCCGGCCGCGGCGCCGCCGCAATGCCTTCCCCCGCGCGCGCGCCCTCGCCGCGCCAAGGTTCCGCCCCGAAAACAAGGAGCCGCCGGCCCCGCCCCCACGGAGGCCCCGCCCCCTCGGAATCTCGGGTGCCGGTGGGTTGTGCTCGCGAAGAGACCACCCGCTTCCAAACCTTTGTCTGAGCCCCAGTCTGTCCCCTGTTCGCCGTGCGTTTCGGGGTTCTCATCTGCAAAGCGGGGTCGGCGCACTTTGCTGGCACGGGGCGAGTATTCAGTGCGACCCGGAGCACCCCTCTACAGCACCCCTGCGCAGTGCCCGAGCACCCGAGCGTCCGCCGGTCCCCACACGCGCCCTGCTTCCCAAACAGCCCCGCCCACTAAGACCGCCAGTCCCCTCCCCCAGCCCCGCGTCCTTTCCCTTTAGAGTTCTCACCACGCTCCGAAGGACGTACACTTGCTTTCCCTCTCCCTTGAGACAGCCGCACGTGTCGGTCAAGTACACCCCTGGTCCCCAGAAGCAAGAACGGGGCAGGACACACGACTGGTGCCCAAATGTTTGTTTATGACTGCGTGCGCGTCCTCCTGGTGTGCTTCCCTCATCAAGAAATAATCCTCCTAGGAGGCTGATAATGGGGGTCAGCTTGGGTTCGTCCCGTGACCTGTCGGCTACGGGTGCCCAGGTTCCGTGTCTGTACACGGTGGGGGGAGGGGGGGCGGATGCTAGGGCGGCCTCCCGGGTGGCTGAGAGGACTGAATGAGATGGGCTTGGCCCCAGGGCACGCAGCCGGGTTAGTGTGCCCTGGGGGCCGTGTTATTCTGGCGGCCTCGCCCTTCCCTGCTCTGCCACTGGAAGTCTTTCCCGCCCTGAACATGCCTTCCTGTTCAGGATCTAAAAAAGCCACTTCCTTTGCCGGCCCTCCAGCCCACACGGAAGCCTCCCGTTTGTGGGGGTCGCCGGCTATGCTGGTGGGTTCCAACAGCCTGTGAACTTTGGGGGCCTGGAGCCCAGAACGCTGGGAGGGCCAGTGGCTCGGGTGTGAACGGGGCCAACGTGGGCTTCCTACATGGTGCCAGGCTCTGGCTTGAGCACTGGGCACGTGTTCCGGCATTTAGTCCTCGGAACAACCAAGCGAGGGAGGGGCCGTGGTCATTCCAATTTGACAGGAGGCCGCTGAGGCCCTGCAAAGTCGCCCAGGCCGCTTCCTGCCCCAGGCGACGCATCTCCCCACCGGAGCAGACAGACCCCTGTCCGCGGGCCTGAGATGCAGTGCCCTTCAGTCCCTGCTCAGTCCCCGTGCTCAGGGCGGGCTCCCAAACCTGCAGGAGGCGTGGTCCCAGCACGGGCCTTGATAACCGCAGCCCTGGGGGGTAGGTGCCGCAGAGGCAGGCCCAAGGTGCCGTGGGGCCTCGGGTGGTGGGCGCTGGAGCACCCATCGGTGCAGCCCCGGCACAGACGGGGGAGCTCAGCCCCTCCACCCAAAAACTCAGCGCAGCAGCCTTAGGAGGACAAGGCCAGCAGGAGGGACACATTAGGAGCAATGGCCCCCTCTCCTCCATCTCCGAGCAAGATGCGGCGTCTCACAGGTTGTGGAAAATTACTGAGAGGCACTGCCACCTGGCCACCCTGAGCGTCCTCAGAGGAGATAAGGGGCTGGCGTGACAGGCCGGCCAGCGGCCAGCGTGGTGCTGGTGTGTGTCACACGTTGCTGAAGGCCACAGGTGCAGGGGACCCTGTCCACCCCCACCCAGCTGGCGTGAGCACACCTTTGTCCGCCCGTGCTGAGCAAAGGGGAAACTGCGTGTGTGCCCGAAATGGCCAGGCTGCCCAGTGAGACGCTGGTGTGTGTGGAAGGACGTGCGTGTGTGTGTGTTTATATATACACCCCTGTTTTTTTAAGAGTTTATTTATTTATTTTCAGAGAGGGAAGGGAGGGGGAAAGAGAGAGAGAGAAACATCAATGTGCGGTTGCTGGGGGCCGTGGCCTGCAACCCAGGCATGTGCCCTGACTGGGAATCGAACCTGCGACGCTTTGGTTTGCAGCCCGTGCTCAATCCACTGAGCTATGCCAGCCAGGGCTACATACACCCCTCTTTATTGAGCACCTACTATGCGCCAGGTGCTATGCTACACTCTTTGCACACACACCTTCCTTCCTCCCCACAGTCCCCTTCGGCACTAGGTATTATTAGTCCCCTGCAACAGACTGAAAAACGGAGAGGATCTGCAGTAACTAGGCCGAGCTGGAAGGAGGGCCATCCGCTCAGAACTGCTGGCAGGGACTGTGTGGCGACAGAAGGGGATTCACACCGTGAGACGAGACAAAAGGGACAGAGTCACAGGCAGGGCCCCAGGAGGCAGGCTCCGAAGAGTGAGCGGAGAGACACCAGGGACCCGAGGACAACCCTTCCATCCTGGCGAGGGCCGTGGCTCTGTTGCTCGGACAGTCCCACATCATGATACGTGGACACCCTGCCCTGGCGTGAGGGCCAGACGTCTGCACACGGGAGACCCCTGGACCGCGCATCCTCCACACATAACACGCCACACACCCTCCCACTGTCCCCTCCTTACACACACGTGCTACGGACACTCTCGGCAGGAGGAAGGGGGGCAGCCTGGCCAGCACAGCTCGGAAAAGTCTCTCTGGCCCTCCTTCTCTGACGTTGGGTGGGCCTGCGCCCCAGCCCCACGCAGCCCACCCATGCTCCGGCTCAGGCCCCTCCCCACTGGCCTGGAAGTTGGCAACAGGGTGCTGTGAGGTTGCCACTCTCCAGTCCATGTCCGTCCCCCCCACAGCACCCCAGGCCGTGCTCCGGCCAGGGGCCAGGCAGCAGCACGCCCTGTGCTGGCAGCGGAGGCCACAGCGGGACCAGGAGCCCCTGCCCCCAGGGGGCCCACAGTGTAGACGGGGAACCCGACAGTCAACACGCGTCAGGGCGTGGTGAGACTGTAGAGGGAAGAGCGTTGGGGGAGGGACAGACACCTGTGAAAGTAAAAGAGCAAGACGCCGCCGGGGAGAGATTCGCAAAACCTGTATCTGACCAGGAACCGAATCTAGAAGACAGAAAGAAGTCGTATCTCCATGATAAGACAAGCAACCCAATTTAAAAAAAATGGCCAAAAGATGTGTACGCATATTCATCAGAAGAGATGCATGGTGGGAAGTGAGGTGCCTCTGCAGACCACCGGGGCGGCCAACACTGAAGAGACTGGCCGCCCCAGTGCCGCCGTCATGGATGGGGACGAACTGACCGCTCGCACGCTGCTGGCGGGGATGCCGAGTGGGCCAACCCCCCACCCCCTTCCCCCCCCACCAGGAAGGGCTAAACTAGGAAGCGGGGGTAACACCCGATGCTGGTGAGGACGCAGAAAACCTGGATCGCCCACAAGAATGTACAGTGACTTCCAGCCAGGACAAACAGCCTGGCAATTTCTTTTCAAAGCAGACAAGCTTCCTGTGCAAGCCAGCAGTAGCATTCTTGAATAATTATCCCAGAAAAAAATGAAAACTGTGTTCATGTAAAAACGTTACACAACTGTTTGTAGAAACTGTCCTCGTAATAGCCAGAAACAGGAAGCAAGCTCATTGTCCTCCCGCAGCCGAGCAGGCAAACAATCTGCAGGGCATTTGTATCCTGGGCTCCTCCTCCGCACCAGTAAACGAGAAAGGGCTACTGATATTTGCAACAACTCCAGCGGACCTCAGCGAAATTGTGCAAAGGTTACAAACTGGATGTTTTCATTCCTGTAACATTTTGAGATAACGCAGTTGTGGAGATGGGGAGGAGACCAGTGGTTGTAGGGGGAGGGGAGTGTGTGGCTGTAAAGGGACAGTGGGGACAAGCCTTGTGATGATGGACCAGTTGTGTATCTGGATTGTGGTGGGGGGGACACAAGTCTGGACGCACAGCAGCACACAGACACGGAGCCCAAAGCACAGGGAAATAGCCACAAGCTCCGTGGAGCTAGGGTGCCAGCGTGAGCCTCCTGCTTCTGACATAATTCAGCTGCAGTCCTAGGAGATGTTAGCATTCAGGGGACGGGGTGAAGGCTACCGGAACCTCCCTGGACATTTTTTGCAACTTCCTGCAAATCTATCATTATTTCAAAATAAAGCTTTTTTTTTTTTTGTAATGGTACAAGCACTTTGGGAAACAATGTGGCAGCCTCTTTAAGAATGAGTCACACCCTACCACACAATGCAGTCGTCCCACCCCCACGGGCTCGCCCACGAGAAGTGAAAGCCATGCCTGTACAGGGACACGAATGTTCATAACGCTCTGTTTGCAATAGCTGCAGCCTGAAACGCCCCCTGCTGCACACAAGAGGTCAGGGGAGCCCAGAGAGGTTACTTCCTGGCCCAGAGTCACACAGCATGTCTACAGGGATCAGCGGATGGCTCCTGATGGGGGTGGGAGGGAAGGAAGGCAGCCCCGAAGGCCCCACCCTCCCAGCCAGAGGGAGGAAGGGTCCCTCAGGTCTGAGCAGGGAGCTAGAGAAATGGCTTCTGTGGGTATTTATAACTAGAAGTTTCTGCGAAGCCTTGAGTCCAGCCCAGAGCTCACGAGCCAGCCCCGTGTCTCCCGCCCACGGCCGCCCACCAGCCCGGCTCAGTCTGCGGGAACCGGATCGCGCTGGCTGGAAGGTAACAAAGGCTTCCGCCCCCACGGCCCACTGACAGATGACAGCGTACCTGTCCCTGGCGCTGCACCGAGGGGGAGCCGCTTCTGACGGGGAGCGACGGAAGCAGGAAGGGCTGTGCGGTCCGATGACGTGCCGGGGTGGGTTTAGGGGACACCGAGTAGCACTGTCACCCTCTCAGTGACGGTTCTGGGACTGAGGGTGAGAGCAGGTGCCTCCCGGGTTGCCCCTCCTTCGGGGCCCCAAAGAGGAGAGGACTCTGCCCCTTGCCTGCTCTGTATCTCGCTGGGGCTCCCAACACCATCCTGGCCCAGCAGATCAGAACGCCTCGTGGGGGTGTTTGGCCCCGGGACCGCCGGGGCCAGGCGGACGCAGTCGGCTGGTCACACACACACACACACGCACACACACACCCAGAGCCCTCGGGAGACAGAGACAGCAAAACAAAGAACCGAGGTGCCAGGCTTCCTCGTCCCACGGCCGGCACCGGCACCGGCGACGGCTGCTGCTGAGCTGTAGGCTGCCGCGGAGGAGGGCCCCTGCGGCTGGGAGCAGCGGCACCCAGACCCCCTGTGCTCCGAGCCTAGACCAGAGCAGCCTCGGGGGAGCCGCGCCCCAGCGGCCGACGTGGCCCGTGCGAGGTCGCTAGGGGGGTAGCTGCTCCCCTCCGGTGACGACCAACCCCACAGGCCCGGCGTCACAACAGAGGGTTTATCTCCCGTCTGCGGTCTGGGTCGGCCGGGGCTCTGCTCCACTCGGCGTCTTCACGCCGGGCCCCAGGCGGACAGAGCAGCGCCCAGCGGGGTGTGTCCTCGGGCCGGAGGGATACGGGCAACGGGCAACCACCGAGGGCTCCCGCAGAGCCACTGGGAAGTGAGCAGGGCGAGGGGGGGGCAGTGCATGGCTGGGGGAGCACTGGGCCCGCCCCGCTCTGATCCCTCCAAGTCACACACCTGCAGGCTGGCCTGGGCACCAGGAGAGAGCCGACCCCCAGCGACTCCCACGAGGGGTAGCTGCTGCTAGCGGAGAGGGGCTCCGGTCACCTGAGGGTCCTGCTTTTCAAATGGGGGGCGGACCCAGACTAAGGGACCCCCAAACCCTTAGCTAAAGATGGGGCCTCCACAGTGACCACTGGACTCCAGCACATTCTGCTATTGAAATAAAAACAGTCGTGGCTGGCGTGGCTCAGTGGACTGAGCGCCGGCCTGAGAACCAAAGGGTCCCTGGTTCGATTCCCAGTCAGGGCACACGCCTGGGTTGCAGACCAGGTTCCCCAGTAGGGGGCGCTCAAGAGGCAACCACACATTTGATGTTTCCCTCTCTTCACCCTCCCTTCTCCTTTCTCTAAACATAAATAAATAAAATCTTTACAAAATAATAAATAAAATAAGCACAGGTCACATGGCTGGTGGGAATGCAAAACGGAGCGGCCACTTCGGAAAACGGGTTGGCGGTCCCTCAGAAAGCCCACTGGAGCACGACAGAAGGGCCCGTGACACGGTAGCTCCTCTCCTCGCCATGGGCCCACGGGGACTGAGAACGTGAGCAAACAGGCACGCACCTGCCCGCCCCTAGTGGCGCCGTTCCCAGTGGCCCCATGTGGCTCAGCGGCCCGGCGTGAAAACAGCCCGCATGCCCATCCGCCCTGAGTGACGGGCCCGGAACGTGACTCGGCCACAGCAGCGGGGAAGTGCAGATGCCGCCAGCTCCCGTGTGGACGGAGGCACAGTGAGCGAAGCCCACGAGAGGGTCACGTGCCGCCTGCCTCCACGGGCAGGGGACGTCCCGGGCCGCGGAGTCCGTGGGCTCTGGTGGGGGAGGGGACGGGGGCTCCCCTTCGGTGAGGAAGGCGGTTTGCAGTCAGGGATAGCGGTCTCCCGGCCCTGGGACCATCCCGAGCGCCACCGAGCTGTCCGCTCTGAATGGTCAATTTTATGTTACGTGAGTCTCGCCTCCACTTACAAAGGGAAATAAACACAGGCCTGTTGTAACGGAGAACGCAGGTGGGCATGAGTTCCCAACAAGGGCAGACCCCCAGGGAGCGTGCCCTCCGTCTGCTGCTGGGGGTCTGCAAAGAGGCCTGGCCGGCTGCCCGCCAGGGGCCAGGACTCTGGGAGGGTGCCCGGGACGGTGCCCAGGACGGAGGAGGGAAATCCAGTGCCCCCAGACCCCCTCGAGGGGCCCAGAAGACCGTCTGGGGGATCCAGGAGGGGGCCCCGGGCACACCCAGGCTGGCCGCCCCCCTACCAGCTGCGCCCCCACTCCCTCCTCCCGTTTCCACGGCCCGGCACTGGGTCCTCTGGGGGTCCCGCTGTCCGCCTCCTGCCTTCCCAGCTGGAGGACCCCTTGTGGATGTGTGCCCCCCCGCCGGGCACCGCCAGCCTGCGGGCTGTGTCCCCGCCTTGGCCACCCCCACTGTGACAGGCTCCTCTCCTTTCACGACAGGAAGCGGGCCCGGGACTCGTCCGACCCACGGAGGGGAGCCGTCTCGCCCCTGACTCGGGAGACAGACTCGAGCCCTCTGAGCAGAGACGGGGGGGCTGGCGAGCCCTTTCACGCCCCGCAAGTGAGCCGGGCGCCCCCCACTCTCTGTCCCCCAGCCTTTTCTGCCCTCCCAGTGGGATGGGAGGGCTGGGGAGGAGCCCAGGCTGCTGGTGTGGCCCTGAAATGAGCCGTTGGCATCAGCCCATTCCACAGACGGGGAAGCTGAGCCCCGGAGAGAAAGATGACTGTGGGTGACACGCGGCTGCCGGAGAGCGGCACCCAGGATGCATTTCGGCCTGCGGGTCTCCGGGACCTCACAGGTGGTGTGCCCCAGACCCCACCCCCCGTAACTGCACGCACAGCCCATCCCCGCAGGACCCCTGCCGCTCGGGTGCGGGGTCCTGACCCCCCCACCCCACCCAGAGAAACGGTCCCCCCCCCAACATGAGTGGACGCGTTCCCCCGCGGAGTCACCCATTGGTGCACCTTCGCTGAACCCAAATCCTCGGGAAGACTTTATTGATCGAAAGTGTTCCTGCCGTTGGACCCCCGGCCCGGTGTCACGGCGGGTGGGCTCGGGGGTGGACACCCGGACACCCGCTGTCCTGGGGAGAGGGCTGCCGGCTGGCGCCCCGCTCAGGCCTGGAGCTTGCCGCCGTACGCCTCGGCCCTGTCCAGGGGCAGCCGCCGGGTCACAGCCCCGTAGGAGGGCTCCGAGGTCCCCAGGGACTTGGGGACGGCCTCCTGGGTGATCTGGGAGTCGTGCGTGGTTTCCCCGTCAGAACCGCCCACGTCCCTGACCGAGAAAAGGAAGAGAGCCGGGGTCAGGGGCGCGAGCGAGCCGGAACCGCACCAGCCGGCCCGGGACCCTCCTGCGCAGACCGGCTTCCAGGGAGGCACCTCAGGCCCTCCTCCGGCAGGCCGGACTTCCCAGAGCGCCTGCTGTGCGCCGAGTCCTGGGGCCAGGAAGGGGTCACCCTTTTGGAACTATGTGTGCGATGTACAGGTTCGACCATGAGCTGAACACTCGGGGGCTAAGACCGCATGGGGAGACGGACCACAGCAATGACCAGAGAGAATGGGCGACTCCAGGTGGGAGCCACCGGAGGGCTTTCTGGAGGAGGGGGCGGTCAGTCTGGCCCTGAAGGAGAAGAGTGTGGGCATACACGGGCACTCCGGGCGTTCGACAGGAATGGCTGGGGGGTGCCTGGGGCAGCCGGAGCCAGAAAGGACAGGAGGGACAAGGGGAAGAGCCAGGCCCACGTCAGACAGCAGGACACTCGCAGCCAGGTGAGGCGCTGCCCCTGGGCAGGGAGGGGCAGGTAACCACTGCTGGCTGCTCCCGGGCTAACCTCCTCTAGTATTTCTGTTGTCACTAATGTAAATGTCAGAAGGCGACTTGATTTCCCAGTTCGCCAGCTTCTGACCCCCGACGTCTCCTCCCGCCTGGCTGATTCCTACCTGTCCACTGCCTTTCGCCTCTGCCGAGAAGGTGTCCACCTGCTCCCGGCCCGCCCTGGGACGGGCTCCCTCCTGACCTTCCAGGCCCCCTGGGCCCCCTCTCTCGCTGAGAAGCACACTGTGTGTGGCCTTCCCATCCACCCCTGTCTCCTGGCCTTGATGAGACTCTACTCCTGCCGTTCCTTCCTCCAGGAAGCCCACACTGATGCCCCAGCCAGGATCCGCCCTGCCCTCCCCCAGACTCCCCCGGCACCTGTGGGGGCCTGATTCAGCCTGCCCAGTGCTCCCAGGAATAACGGGCTGCACGCCCACCCGCCTGCCCTCCCCCCCCGCCCCCGGGCAGCCCCGCTAGTGGCCGGCTCCAGTGGCTCCCGGAGACCCGGTCCAACCCGCACAGACGCCAATCAGAGCTGTTGGTGAGCTCAGGGCACCGGGGCTCTGGCCCCACCTCTGCTTTAATTGGTGACCCTGCTCCCTCGGGCCTCAGTTTCCCCATCTGTGCTGCCGCTGGGGGAGTCACGGTGACCACGGAAACAGTCCGTGTTTGGTGCCTGGGCTCTGCCCCGGGGCGCTCCACAGGGCTTGTTTGGCTTGACCTGCACAGCTCCGAGGGGGGTGACACTTACCAGAGTCTTCACTTTCCAGAACAGGGACCTGAGCTGGTTCACCTGTGTCAGACCCGGGTTCTGCCCACCAACCCCGCCCTGCCCAGCTGACCGTGACCTTGGCTGCCCCAGGGCTCAGCTCCCCTCCCCCCCACCCCACCCCACCCAGGGTGGAAGGTGGCTGTCTTGCCTGCTGGGCCGCCCCCCCCCGAAGACCCTTCCCGGGGAGCGTGCCCGGTGCGTCCCCGAGCCCTGCTCTCCGGCTGGCGGGCACTCACACAAGGCTCAGGACGACGGCGCCGGCAAAGCCCAGGAGCAGGAAGAAGGGCAGGGAGCCCAGGATGGACGTGACGACGATCATGCCGCCGCTCCGCCGGCCGGGCCACGTGTCGATCGCCGCGTACGGGGTGGCTGGCAGGTGGCAGGGCGCAGGCCTGTCACTCCCCAGACCCTGCACCCCCCCTGCCCTCCCCCTGGGGACGCCCGGGACTGTCCCAGCGCCCCCCGCCACCACGTCCCAGTTCCCAACTGTCTCTGGTGCGTGTCTGCTCTCGTCCCTTTTGACTGTCCTCCTGCACAACTGTCCATGGTAAACTGACCCACGTCTCCTGGAGCGAGGAGTGGGGTGCGGGTTACAAGCCGTCAGAACAAACGCGACGGGGGTGGGGGGCCTGGGCTGGGGGAGCCGGGCGCCCCGGGGCTCCCCTCTGCTCCGGCCAGTGTCACCCTTCGGGACTACGTGAACAACATCGGGACCTGCTGGGAGCGGCCTCCTTCCAGCCGCGGTGGCACGCTGGACCCTCCAGACCCCCGTTCTGCAGCTGGCTCACCCCAGCCTCAGGAGACGGGTTCGCTCAAGGTCCCCCCAGACTCCAGACTCAGGCCTGTAGGTCTGTCTGCGCCCCGAGGTCACCCCTCAGGCCCAGCGCTCTCGGCCGGGATCTCCCAAAGGGCCCTGCTGGGGAGCCTGCGCGAACGTCCTCCCCTGCCCCCGGTTCTCAGACGCCGAGGCCGAGGCCCTCGGGCTCGCACAGCAGCCGGCACCAGAGGCTGGGCATGCACTCGGGCCTCTGGGAGGTGCTGTCTCGGCGGGACCGAGATGCACAGGCGCAGAGGGGGACGGGCCAGCAGGAGCTCGCGCCCAGGCCCAGCCCCAGCCCTCACTAGCTGTGTGCCCTCTGGCCGCCTTCCAGAGCCGCTACCTGGCTCACCAGGTGTCTGTGGGGCGGCAGGAGGCTGCATGCTGGGCCCGTCTAGGGGACCGAGCGTCTCATCCTGGGGTCCGAGGTGTTGCAGGAGGTGAGTTGTAAAGTCAGGGTCACGTGCCATCGAAAGTACCCTCGGAAATCCCTGTTGTGGCCCCTAAGGCTCAGCAGACACGATTCCGTGTGTGCAAGCCTCAGGCGGGAGCAGAGGCCTCAGACGGAATCTTCTGGAGGGACTGGCGGTGGGCAGGGCCCCGGGCCACGGGGCCTCCTGCTGCTCCCGGGCTCAGGCCCTGCTGCTGAGGGAGCCTGGAGCCCTGGGGCCCAGGACCGGCGTTTGCCGCTGTGAGGGGTCAACACGGGGCCGCCTGGGCCTTATGCACCATGAGGGCTGGGACAGTGGCGACTGACCCCGCCGCTGAGGGTCCAGCCGTCCAGCCGGCCCATCACCACAGGGAAGCTGGGGGGAGGACGGTATTTTGGGGTAAATGATTTTAAAATGCACTTTCCTGATAACCCAGTGGCTGCCTGTGTCTGGGGAGGGGTTTCAGAGTGACGGCCTGAGTCTGCCTTCCCCAGGTTCCCTTGAGGACCACGTCCCCCTCGTCCCCCCACCCACTCGCCCCACCCCAGATCAGCCCACTCACGCCGGCGGGTGCGGATGGGGTCGGACCACAGGGTCTCGTCCTGCACCAAGCCCGTGGACACGTTGACGAGCACATACTTGAACCTGGAAGGAGACAGAGTGAGGACGACTTCCGCCCACCCTGTGAGCCCCAGCCACAGGGCGCTGGGGTGGGGGGGGGTTAGGGCCGCTGGGCTTGGGGACCGAGTGGGGACTTCTGGACGGAAATCTAGGCAGCCACAGGGGGGCTCCGAGTACCAGCCGGACAAAGTCCAGGGTGGTGCTGGACTTTGCGTTGGCCCATGTGCCACACGTCACGGCCAGGACCCCTTCCCCGGTTCGGAGGCCACCTCCTCCAGGAAGCCTTCAGCATCGGAGGCCCTCGCTCCAGGCCCTCGCTCCGGGGGCCCCTCTGTTTCTCTGTCGGATGCGGGATGCGGGTGGCGCATCCGCTGAGTGTTGACACATTTGTCCTCCCTGCGTCCTCGCCCTCCATCTCCCCAGCCCCGCCCTGGGTCCCGCACAGGGGCCCAAACAACAGCGATGACATGCACCCCCCCGCCCACCGCTCCGGGGTCAGGGCCGCATCTTGTTGCAGACGGCCCCAGCTGAATGCCAAAACCTGTACAGGAAGATCGGAGACGCAGTGCAAAGCACCCAAAGCGGACTGAGGGTCAGTTTAAAATCATGGATTTTCTGCGACTTACCAGCCAATCACTCAACATGTAAGAAAATTATAATAATAAGACCCTCAACATCTCTAACCCCTGCTTCTCTAGGTTTAAAGATGAGAACCCCAGAGCCTGGGACGCCGGCGTGCCCCCAGAGGGGGAGGGGCCTGGCAATCAAGGAGGATGGAGAGGTTAAGGTCAAGGTCAAAGGGGAGGATTGCAGGTGGAGCGGAGGAGGCTGGGGACACCTGTCCTGCCTGGTGGCTGGGGCCAAAGCAGGGGCAGCTGAGACAATGGCCAGCAAGTGACGGCCTGGCCACCGCCCAGTGCAGCCCAGAAGGTACAGAGACCCCAACCTAGGCGTCTCCATGGCAACGAGAGTGGCTTTGGCGCCAGGTCAGACCCCCTGGCCATGGGTCAGGCCTGAGCCCCCAGCGCTGCACAGCAAAGACGCTTGGCAAACGCCTGTGGACACGAACGAGGGACCCCCTTGGGTAGGACGGGCCACACAAAGGCGCGCCGGAGGGGAGCAGGCGCTGGGGAAGTCTCAGAGTGGGCTCCGGGTCACGCTGAGCCCCGGCTTTTCACTGGGCGACCCCCTTCGCTCCCTGGACCGCAGCATCCCTCCCTGTCAGATGGGAGCGTGCTGAGTGGGTGACAGCCAGGCCAGGACCAGGGTATGACTTGAGGAGTCCGGTGCAACATGAAAACCCAGACCCCTGGCTCAGAAGTTAAGACTTTCAAGGGGGCAGAGCGTGAAGCCAAGTGGGGTCCCCGCTGCGTGGGTGGCCCTGTGCACCGTCGCTCGCCCCAGAAGGCCCTCGGGGGACCCGAGATGCTCTTGGCACACGGCGGGCCCTGGAGACGCGTGGCCTGTCCCACTTGCTGGCTCTGAGGGGGGGCCGGGGCACAGCTGCCTGGCTCTCGGGGGCCCTGCACCCACCTGTACTCCGTGGCGGCTGACAGGGGCGGGTTGCAGAGGCCGTGGAAGTTAGGGTCGGACAGGCAGGTCCCATTGGCGCCCACCCGGAACAGGTAGGCATCCAGGATCTCCGAGGCCCGGGACACATCCCCCACGGCATCCAGGCTGGGCAGGTCGCTACAGGGGGTCAGGTCAAAGGCCGCAGCCCTGTAGGGGCCTGTCCTCCCTCCGCCCGTCTCCTGGAAGGTGGCGCTCAGCGGGGCATGGGCCCCGTCCTGCACGGAGGCGTTCCTGAGGCTGCCTGTAGGGGGCAGTGCAGGGAGGGAGTGAGGCCCCTGGCCACCCCAGCTCAGTCACTCACTCAGTCATTCACCAAACTCCCCTGAACATCCTCTGAGCCAGCGCTGTGCTGGGCCCTGGGTCGCAGGCAGGTGCCAGGCAGCTCAGGCCCTGCCCTCGAGGACTCCCTGGGCAGTGGAGGTGGCGGCAGGGAGCGCCTTCCGGACTCCGGCCTCCTGCGGCTCTCACCCTCCTCCTCTGGCCGCAGGCCTGTAGTCCCCCCACCCCAGCGGACCGTTTGCTTCCTGAGCGCCTGGGTTCCGTCCTCTGGAAGGGGGAGGAGGGTCATGGAGCACGGAGAACAGCATGGAGGCAGGCAGCCCCAGGGCAGCCCTGGGTCTCTTCCTCACTAGCTGGGTGACCTTAGACAACTCACGTCCCCTGTCTGGACACGGGCCTGTGAAATGGGAGAACACTGCCCCGCCGTGCCCACAGCTGGGGCCTGGGCAGGCGGGCAATAGTGTTTGCTGGAAGAAGAAAGTGAGGGCCCTACGTGGGCTGTGGCACGTGGCTGGCTGCACGTGGCTGGCTGCACGTGGCTCGTTGCTAGAAACGTAGGAGGTTGTCACTGAGTTCCTTCTCTCGGAACCCCAGGATGGCTGCCGGTGACCAGGAGGGCTGGATCGGAGCCAGCAGGTTCCCTCAAAAACACTGATCTTTTTTTTCTTTTAACTTTTAAAAATGTCTTGATTTTGGAGAGAGAGGAAGGAGGGGAAAGAGAGAGAGAGAGAGACATGGATTTGTTTTTCCAATCATTTATGCATTCTCTGGTGGATTCTTGTATGTGCCCTGACGGGGGATCAAACCCACAACCTTGGCGTGTCAGGACAACTCTCTAACCAATGGAGCCACCCGGCCAGGGCGAAAACACCGACCTTGAGCCTCCTCGGGAGCAACCTGGGCGTGAGGACCAGAGAGTCTGGACGTGCCGCCCAGCTGCAGGAGTTACCCCACCGCTCCGAACCTTGATTTTCTTCTCTGCAATGGGCACCCTAATACAGTTGACCCTTGAACAATTTGGGGTTAGAGACACAGTTGAAAATCAGCATATAACTTTTGACTCCCCCCCAAAATAACTACTAATAGCTTACTGTGCACTGTGCATTAATGCCTTATTAATAACATGAACAGTCAGCCCTGGCTGGCGTAGCTCAGTGGATTGAACGTGGGCTGCTAACCAAAGTGTCGCAGGTTCGATTCCCAGTCAGGGCACATGCCTGGGTTGCAGGCCATAACCCCCAGCAACTGCACATTGATGTTTCTCTCTCTCTCTCTCTCTCTCCCTTCCCTCTCTAAAAATAAATAAATAAATCTTTAAAAAATAAAAATAACATGAACAGTCAATTAACACATATTTTGTGATAATGGAGTATACAACTAACACATATTTTGCATGTGATAATGGAGTATATACTATATATATATTCTCACAATACAGTAAGCTGGAGAAAGAAAATGTAAGAAAAAACACATTTACAGCATTGATTGAAAAAACCAGCACGTGAGTGGGCTTGTGCAGTTCAGACCGTGTTGTTCCAAGGTCAGCTGTAGCTAGCTGCCTTGTGGGCTGGCTGCCAAGGTCAGCTCACAGGTGTGCAGAGCACCTGGCATGAGGTGAGGGGTGTTGCTGGGATGTCCCCCCAGACCGGGGTCCCTCCAGGGAAAGCCGATGACTGTGGCCGCAGCCCCCCGGCCCAGGGCTGGCCCAGAGCAGACACAGGGCGGGCTGGGGAGCTGCAGGGGGGCGGCTGCTCACGGGGGGTGGCGCGCCCCTCTCCCTGCCTCCTCCCCTCCTCCCTGCAGACGGGTCAGGCCCCTTCAGTGCCCCTCACCCGAGTCGACCAGGCCGTAGAGATGAATCTCGTAGGTGCCGTGGAGCGCCTCGGTGCTGTCGAACATGCAGAGGGGTTTCTCCAAGGCCACCGTGCTGAGGGTAGGGTTGTTGGTGGCAAAGGTCACGCTGGCCAGCTGGGGCTGGAGGCTCACCCCTGGAGGAAGCAGTGAGGACAGGAGCTGGCCCCCGGGGGACCGTCCACATCCGTGGGCACGCCCTTCCCTCCCCCAGTGCGTGTGCCCACATGTCGGCGGCAGCAGGTATGAGCACCCGCTGTGTGCTGGGCCCTGGGTCTCTCCCTCCGCACGGGCAGCACCCCGGGCCCCACCCAGCCGCCGTGGCCAGGAACTGGGCACGAAGCTGAACTGCCGCTCTCTCTCCCCCCAACAGCAGACGGTCAGTCACCGAGAACCCCATTGCCCCTCCTGAGTGTCCCTCCGCCCCACCCCCTTCACCTGAACCCTAGTAACCAGCCCTCCCCCATCCTCTGCTCTCTGACATGCAAATCCGACCCAGGCACTAAAGCAGTGCAGCCCCTCTGGAGGGGTACGGAGGCCCCCACTGTTCTGGGCCTTGCTCCACGGGGTCCCCAGCCTCGCCTCTGTGCACACCGCCCTCACCCCAAGCTCCAGGCCCCCAGGTGGACGCTGGGGAGGAGGTTCCCAGGACAGAGCATGCCACCCCTCCTCCGCCCTGAACCTGCCCTTGCTGCCCCTTCGCCTGGAATGTCCCTCCACCTCTCCAGTCCAGGCGGCACCGGGAGTCCAGTCCAGTGCCTTCCAGGCTGGCCCACAGCCCCCTGTCGCAGGGCCCTGGAATCCCCACCAGGGGAAGCTTATTAAGAAGTGTGGGCCGTCACTGCTATCTGGGCCCCGGAGCCCGCACGGGGTCTGCCACAGAGCAGGCGTTCTCCTGGAGTGAATCAGTGAAGTGCCCATTTCCAACGCTCCTCTCAGGACTCCTCTGGAGGGTCGGGGTGCAAGACACGCCCCTGGGTCCAGCTGCCCGCCCTCCCTGGGCTTGGCGCCCTCCTCTCGCCAGCCGCTTACCCCAGCACAGCGGCAGGCAGCCCAGGGCCAGCAAGGCACAGAGCCGAGGCATCGCCCTGGACCAGCGCGCCGCGCCTCTCCACCGCAGCACACCCGCCGGCCCTGGGCTTTGGGCGCGCCCCGCCCCCGTCCTCTCCGCCAATCCGCGACCTTCTGGAGAACTATTTGCATACGCCACGCCCCCAGCTCCCTGGCAACCAGTCATCCCGCACGCACCCCGGAGCCTTTACCCAAGCGCCTACTGAGTGCAGAGACCTGCCCCGCGTCTCCCTCCTAAGGGAACCTGGGGACAAGCCCCTCCAATCTGAGCCTCCGTGTCCATACTGTAGGGGGGCGCTAGTTACAACCGTTTGTATGGACACCCTCCTCAGTACCAGAACTTCCTGGCTCCTGTGAAGATGAACTGGGTTGAACAGCCACAGTGCTGTCATGGAAACCTTGAAGCCCCGGGCCCGGGACAGGTCCGAGACCTGTGGTGTGACCCTATCCACTCACAGGTGCAAGGACGAGGCCGCGCGTGGACTCCCTGGAAAGTCCCGGGCTGGATGCACGTGGGGGCCCAGCTCAGGGTCGTTTCAAACGGGAAGGGGCGGGATTTACGGCCCGCTTTCTGCGGGGAGCATTTGGAACGAGTGAGGAAGCCTGCCCCTGGATCAGATGGTTCCTTCGAGCACCAGAAATCGCGCACATCTCCGAGTGCACGTTAAATATGAGATTTTACATTTAAGAAAGAAAAGTCGGTCAACCAGGATGGCGGGGGGAGGACTAAAATCGGAACTGCAATCCACAACGCAGGTGAGCCCCTTGAACACGGAGCCGGGCCTGCCTTCCCAGGGGGCTGCCTTGCCCGACAGGTACCCCGCACCTCGGCTGCTAAAACGGGGTGGGAGAGCCTTTGGACTGGGCCGCAGCAACCTGTTCCCCAAACACCTGTTTGCAGCCAGAACGAGAAAGCAGTCGCGACTAAGCACTGGACTGATGGCTACTGGACTGCAAGTTAAAAACAGCGTCTAGAATGAAGGCCCCTGCGTTAGCTGGTCGGCACGGACAGAAATGCCCTCGTTCTATTGATGTCACAGTCCCCTTCCCTGTCCCAATAAGCACCCAGAGCCTCTGTCTCTTCCTCAGAACATTATTTGGTTGGGTTTCTGTCTGAAGCAGTGATCCCTGAACAGCTCTTCTGATTGCTCGCAAGACATGCTGGTGGCCTCTGGCTTTGAAAGGCCCTTTTGTCTGTGGGTGGGCTGAACCCAGCAGAAACTGACAACCGCGTGGCATTGAGGACAGTCAGGTGCAGGAGAGAAAAGAGGGAGACTGTGGGGGAGACACCGGGCTGAGCTCGTGTGCCTGTACTTCCACCGCAGGGGGGGCGCTACTCTCAGGACAGAGGGCGGTCACTGAGCCCTGGGGAGGGCGGAGGGGCTCCGAGGAAACTCCGGATCCTCGGGACGGGCAGTGGGGCCCGGGCCCTCACGCCCTGCAGGCCGAGGGAGATTGGAATGGAGGAAGAGGAAGAACTCAGTGGTGTCCGTGGTTAGTAGGGTGGCTGTGAAAAACAGCAACGGTACACACCTCGCTCCGGCCAGCGAAAGGGCCGAGAGGCGATGGCCCCCTGCTGGCAGGAGCTCCCTCGGCCCTCTTGGAGCCGAACGAAACGCCATTCCCCAGTGAAAGGCACCAGCGCCCCATGGAGAGCCCTGGCCTCACGGGGCCGGCTCAGGAAAAGTGGAGAAGAGCCTGGAAAGGAAGGGAGAGCTGGAAGTGCGATGGGCTGTCCAAGGCACTGGCACCGGGGGCGCTGGAGCGCCTCCCAGTGGTCAGATCGGAGTAAATGTGAGCATAAAATATGTAACAGAAGTAGTTCATCTAGCCGCTTGGAGAGTACTCAACCCACACGTCAAGGCTGATGCTTTAGAAAATGTTTCAAAAGGAAGAGAATTTCTTCTTTAAAGATGAACGCAAACTAAGTAAAATGTAGAAAGAATGACAAATTGAAACTAAAAGTTTTACCGTCATCCTAGTAATAACGGACCCACAAAATACTAATAAAAATATCATCTCAACACATGTTGAAATCATAGGGTGAGAGAATTCTAGGGAACAAGGTGTGTAGGGGTCTGGGGACACCAATTTGATAAAGTAAACTCAACGTCACCAATTAAGGGACGGACTGACTTCCTGGGTACATGGCTCCAAGGAGTTGAATTAAAAGTTGTCCAGAAAGTTTAATTCACCTGGCTGGTGTAGCTCAGTGGATGGAGCATGGGCTGGGAACCAAAGGGTCACCGGTTCGATTCCCAGTCAGGGCACATGCCTGGGTTGTGGGTGCAGGGAGCGAGAGAGGCAACCACACATTGATGTTTCTCTCCCTCTCCCCCTCCCTTCCTCTCTCTCTAAAAATAAAATAAATAAAATCTTTAAGAAAAAAGAAAGTTGAATTCGAATCTAGTCAACATAAAGCCCTCGGGCACGTCCAAACTGAGGAATTCCTGCCGACCCACCGGCCTGGAGGCTTTGAAAATGTCGATGTGGGGAAAGAGAGAGGCAGCAAGGAAAGAAGGGAGGAGCCGAGAACGTCATCAACTGGAGGAGAGTAGGAGACAAAGCCAGCTGCCCCCGCGGCCCTGGACCAGCTCTCGGATGAGAGCGAACAGCCCGCCGCACTCTGTCACCGTCAGCACGGCGGCGAGAGACGTGCGGACTACGGAATGTGCGTTAGATAACAATCGTGATCAGATGTGCAACCGTGTGGGTGTGACCTCCATGTTGTGGTTATGAAAGAGACACATGCCGGAGTCTTGTGGGTGAAGTGTCGCGGCATCTGGAACACACTCGCACACTCACACGCACTCACACGCACACACACGCACACACGGAGTGAGGGAGAGAGAGGAAGCGGTTAAGCAAACGCAGCACCATATTAACAATTGGTGAGTGCGGGTGTTCACTGCACAGTTCTACAAATGCTTCTATTGATTTGAAAATTTTCAGGTTTTTATTTATTTATTTATTTATTTATTTTTTAGAGAGGGGGAGGGGAGAGGGAAAGAGAGGGAGAGAAACATCGATTGGTTGCCTCTCTCTCGCATGTCCCGCCAGGGACCTGGCCCGCAACCTTTCTGGTGTCCGGAGCGACGCCCAACCCACTGAGCCACGCCAGTGAGGTTTTTGAAAAATTTTAAAGTGAAAATGGTGGGAGAAAGCGATTTTTGTGCTCAGCCAGAAATGTGCTCTGTCTCTCTGCGGGCCTCAGTTTACCCTCTGTGCAGTGGGGAGGGGACTCGGCTCTGAAGGCCGAGAGTGGATCATCAGGTCTTCACCTCCGGGGAACAAGAAAACACCGGGAGATAAGAGAGTCCTCAGCAGGGGTGAGGCCACCCTCCGAGAATGTGCATGGACTGGCATTTCTCGCTCGACCGCGGCTGGTGAGCCCCGGGGTTCGTCAGGGGCCAGCGGCAGAGCTGACCTTGCAGGCTCGGCCGGAGCCGCGGGGCCAGGGAGGAGGCCCAGGAAACTGCCGTCTTCTGCAGAGCCCAGCCATCTGCAGGAAACGCAAACAATAAAAAGTCCCCTGCTCGCTGGTCCTGCCCAAATATGGAGAGAACATTTTGAGGGAAAAGTTAAAATAATATTATCTGCTAAGGCCCAAACATGTTCTGCAAAAAAAAAAAAGAGAAAAGAGTCTTGGATTTATAAGCAAGTCCCCACTTCCCAGAGGCTGCCTTTTGTCTGGAGTGTTCTGGGGGGGGGGACACGCAGGAGACACGGACCCCGTGGGCTGATTCGTTCCGGAGACACCCATGCGGGTCTGCAGGGACGGAGGCCGGTGCAGCAGGGCCCTGACGCCTGCCTGTGTGCCCCCACTGGGGCCCGACCCCCTGTGTGGGTGTGCCGAAAGATTTTTTGGAGGAAAAAAAAGTTCCCCCTTGTTGATTGAGTGGATGCCAGGGCCCCGAGCCTCGGTGTGACTCGGGCCTGTCCCGACGTCTCCGGCCGTCCGACCGTCGTTCTGAACCCTGGCCCAGAAGGGCCCGAACCGGGAAGCCCCGCCGTGTGAAAGGCCGTGCAAACCCCAGCCCTGTGAGGCCTCCTGTGAATTCAAAACCCGGGGAATTTATGGGCTGGAAATTCTTGACCCAGAAATGTCTCTCCAAGGGTCAGAGAGGCCCGAGCCAGTTCCCCTGACAATTTTCTTTAGAAGTCAGGGAAGTTGTGGGCAAGGCCCCCCTCCCCCCCACTGCCATCCCCACCCAACAAGAATTTGCTTTCAGAGGGTTTTTTTTTTTTGGTTCCTGGGAGCCAAGCTTTCCTGCCCACAGAGATTGAGTCACTTTAACCAAAACAAAACAAAACTCAGGCAGAGAGACCCAAGCGCAGCCCCAGCTCCCTCCCTGCCTTCCAGCTCCCAGTGGCGGCTCTCACAGCCCCCCACCTCTCTCCCGGGCCCCAGTAGGGCCCACCTCGGGGTTCCAGAAGGGGCCCGGCTCCGGTTCTCCCTGAGGCGGCCCCCGCCCCTCTGCACAGCCTCAGCTTCTTTTGGTAACGTAGGGGTGCTCGGGGTGCCCCCTTGCAGAGCAGAGGCATGCAGGGTGACCCCCTGGGTGAACAAGTTTCCTGACGGAGCTTAGAGAGGTCGCGCCCACAGCCCCCAGGCCGTCACCCTCCGGCCCCCCTGTCAGGCTGGTCCCGCCTTCTCCTGTGCCCACAGCCCCCCGCCCCCGTCCCCTCTGGGGCACAGCGCCACCACAAACATCAGCACGGGCCTCAACCCCGTCTCTCCCTCTCAGGGTCTGCCTGCCACGGCTGCCTGGGGCGTGTCTTCCCATCCGCCTCTTTCTAACCAAATCAGTCAGCTCCGGCTGCTGGGACAGACACCCCAGGCTGGGCCTTATGGGCCGGAAACT